TTAATATCGGTGCTCGTATCGAAATTAGAGATAATGTAATGTGGGACCCCTACTGCCTATGCTCCTGAAGGGTCATGTGTAAAGTATTGGATTGTTCTATTACAGTCAGAAGTAGAAGACCTTTAAATTAATATCAAATAAAAGTGACCTTACTGTTTCAAAGCATGAAGGAGCTTTTTCTTTTGTTCAAGTGACCAATTTTGCCTATTCTCAAACTCTAGTTCATCTGGTTCATAAATCTCTGGCTGTATTTTCTCTCTGACGGATCTCCTAGATGGAGGAGGGGGTGGAACTTTTGGCTTGTTGGGATCTTTACACGGTCTACCCACGCGTCGTTTCTTAGGTGGAGGTGGTGGCATATCTACTGTATCTACTGGGTCTGGTTCCATGGTGCGTTTGTATCACAACTTGATGGCTAAATGAGTGACTGGCTGACTGACTACTTGTTAAGTTGGATGGCTAGAAGAAGAAATAAAACAAAATTCAAATAATGTAGGTCACAATGGCACTGGCAGATTTCACTAATAGTGGAATTTTCTTTAGTATGAAAACTATACTCAATTCAGACAATAGAGATTGAACAATGCAGTACTTTAACTGTGGTAAAAAGCATTAATAGTCACAGTTTGAAAAGTATATGTAATTACTGTAGCTGACAAAATATTCAGCTTGTCCAGGATGATATAGTCTGCCTTAGGTACTTCAACGTTTTTGAACAATGTGTAGTTCAGAAGAAATTCATTGTCAAATATTAAATTGAGATGCTTGTGGTTGTTCACGTCAAAGGAAAATATGACAAGATAAAGGTGATGTAATAAATGATGAGAACTTGATTGATTGCATTAGGAAATCCAAAAACTTGATTGGTTGCTTTGGGAAATTCCAAGAACTTGATTGATTGCATTTGGAAATCCAAGAACTTGATTGATTGCATTAGGAAATCTCAAGAACTTGATTGGTTGCTTTGCGAAATCCCAAGAACTTGATTGATTGCGTTTTGAAATCCAAGAACTTGATTGGTTGCATTTTGAAATCCAAGAACTTGATTGGTTGCATTAGGAAATCTCAAGAACTTGATTGGTTGCATTGGGAAATCCAAAGTTTGATTGGTTTCATTGGGAAAATAACATTTTGGGAAAAATTGCTATACCTGCACATGTTATTTTCTCGTACAAAATAAAGTATGAAGGCATGTGTAAATTTTGTTGCTTTTTTCAGGAAAGTATCATTACATTGTCTTCTTTCAGTAAATTTGGTAGGAGTTCAATGGGAACTCCTGGAAATTCTGATATTTCACTCTTTCTATTTTTCCAAATTTTCTTTTGAAGTTCCAAGACAACACAGGAGCTACCACTGACCGGTTTCCAGGTTTACTAAAAGTAGACAATGTAATGATACTTTCCTGAAAAAAGGAAGGAAATACACACATGCCTTCATACCTAATTTTGTACCAGAAAATAACATGTGCAGGTAAAGCAATTTTTTCCCAAAATGTTTTTTTCCATCTGTACTACATAATGACGGTTGTGCCAGGCATGAGTCAATAGACAATGAGGCAATAGACAATGTTATATAATATTGCAAGGCCTGTCATGACCGTAGTAATGTTAAAGCCTGATATGACCGTGACAATACTATACTATATTGCAAGGCCTGTCATAACCGTGGTAATGTTGAAGCCTGATTATTAAAAGAGTACTCTTAATAACCAGTACACACTCATCGGAGTGCTTGCCCGACCCTCCAGACAAGCCCCTGTGGGGTATACAGGCCAGGAAAGCATTTCCCGCAATATAGATTAGAAGCGCTAGTGTGTTCGACCGTATATGCCAATAAAAAATAAAAAATAAATATCCAAATAAGAAAAAATAACAATAAATAACAATAAATACCAGCATATGACGGTCGGATTTATTTGACTAAGATTTTCGACATCTAAAAAGTTAATCGACTTTTTTGTGACTTTGAATCACAGAAAGCATTCTGAAGTATCAAATTGGAGCCACATTAAATTTTGGCATCCGCCTAATGTTTACCATTTACCTTTTATTGATTCTTTCATAAGTTTCGTCATAAACTCAGTTTGACCAGAAGTATCTTTGTTGCCGCTCGATTTTTTAAAAAAATGTCCCTTTTCTCATCATCCGGATGTGCGGTTTACTTGGACTCGCCCAAAACGAGGGGTGTCAAACGCAAGATGGTAGAGATGAAGACATGTCGCCACTCTCAGAGAATCTATTCCATAATTTCAACATTACCAGATTTTCTTATTTTTCGCCCATGGGCGTATAAGTGTACTACTTTCGATTTTTGGCCCAGTGGGCGTAAAGGTGAGAAGAGCTGATGAATACAATGGTTTAGTACTAGGGGTGGGACGGATAACCGAAATACCGAAAAACCGCGGTTCATAGCCTTCGGATCGGTTTTCGGATCACGGCCCTACTTTCGAATCAGCTTTTCGGATCGTTTTCGGATTAATATTTCATTGGTCAAGTATCAGTAAAACAGTTAAAAACACTGTTTTACAGCAACATTTTTGATATTCCTAGTCCCTACCTTGTCTGTCTTGTCTGTTGCTAGCTCACTCGTTTACTAGATTCGTTTCGTATCCGCGTATTCGTATCCCTCGGTAATCAATCATGTGGTCCCTGGTACTATATTCTTTAGTCGTGTATTCTAAATAATATGTATTGTTCATGAAATACTATAACATTCCATCTATAAAATGTTGTTATAACGTGGCATAATTGTCTAATTGATACAAAGATTTGCGCAAATTTATATTTGCGCAGGTTCGATATAGGGTATTATTTTGTGCGCACCAACAATACATTCAAATATGGCGTCTGAATCTCAAATTCCCGTTTTCCCAAAAGAAATGAAGATTATTGCAGCCCCCACAGCCGTTTGGACGTACTTTGGGTTCGCAGAAGTCGATGGGAAGTTGCTCACTGATAAAACAATATGTAAACTGTGCAAAAAGCAGCTAATCATGTCAATCAATACAAATCCTTAAAATGAATGAACCGAACCGAAAAAACCGAACCGACGGCTGATGATCCGAAAAACCGAACCGAACCGAACCGTCCCATCCCTATTTAGTACTGGTAGGTGCTCAAAATACTGTAAGATTCATGTAACGCGCTATAGGCTGCGCGGTAACCTTGGACTTAATGTTGAAACAAAGTAACAACAGAACGATCCACCATTGCCACTTATGGCTCAGCGTTGAACTTGATGTTGAAACAAAGTAACAACAGAACGATCTGCCAGTGACAACATACTCTTGAATTTATTGAAAAAATCAATAAATAGTCATTTTTATAGGCCCATGGGCGTATAAGCATACTACATTCGATTTTTGGCCCATGGGCCTAAATTTAGGGGGGCGAATATGCGAGAAAATCCAGTACTTCATTGAACTACGCAGTTTTACAAGCGAAAAATATAAGGGCAGGTTGTATATAGGACTGGACAAGATGAAAAGACGAAATAAGATGAACTGAACCAGGTTACGTGACTGATTTCTTAGAAGAAATTACGTCAGAAAAACAAAAGCTCCGTAGAGAATTTTCACTTGAAATGTTGAAAAGCATGCCCAGTTTTCTAAGGGAATATACCGTAATTAATAGTTACGTGTACAAGTCAATATTACCGAGTTAGATGGTGCATAAGTTAGGCGGTGGACGACGATGTGAATTCATGCGACTGTTACTTTTTGGAAGGTTTTTTGCAAAAAAGTCGAGTAACTTTTTAGATGTCGAAAATCTTAGCCTACAGTTTGGAACAAAACAAATGACAGGTGGATTTTCTATCACTATATCCAAACCATGGTGTTTTGAAAGCCCTATAGTCTCAAATATTGTCTAGATACATATTAGTGTTGTCGCGATTAATCGATATATCGCGATATACATCGCCAAAGCTGATTCTGGCGATGCATCGATGTCTGAAACAAAACATCAATGTTTTTAAAAAAAATCAATTTGCTAAAAATCACCCTTTCTTATCTTATTTTGACCCAAATCGCTTACCTCTCTCATGTCTTAATTCATTTTCCAATGTTTTCTGATATTCTTTCGCTTTAAAACTGTTTTAGCTAGTCAAAATGAACCATTAATCTAAAAAAATTACTTTACTTTTAATTCACCGTTACTACAAGTTCTCGGATGTACCAGGCAGGCCCGTAGCCAGGGGGGGTTCACAGGGTTCAGTCGAACCCCCCTGGCCAAAAAGTCTTTCAAAATCATGCAGTTTTCACCATTTTGAGCATTTCTCAAGTGATTTTATCCATATTTGGACCAAAATTGTCAGATATGAACCCCCCCTGGAAATTTTTGAAAACTGAACCCCCCTTAGCAAATCCTGACTACAGGCCTGCCAGCGTACTCTTATTAATAAGTTCTGTTCCGCATTTTAGTGCATTAGCATTCGGTATTTCAGTGCACTTTTCTCTGACTTTTTCTCGATGTACATCGCGATGTGCATCAATGTTTACTATTTGTACTGAAAATTGCCGATGTATCGATGTACGATTATGGCACATCGTGACAACACTAATACATATCCTTAAATTTGTATATTTTGCATTTTGTGTACTGTCATCCACTGATGCTTGACCTCTTGTAAATTCTCTTATTTTTAACATGGGAAATCCTCACTTCAGCAAAGTGTCATTATTTTTGTTCCAAACTCTTGAAACTGTACCGGCGAAATTCCTGATTGATTCATAGACTAGATCTATTTACAACAAGGGAGAACTTGTGGGGTCAAGTACTACAGTTATATGCAAACCATTTAACAAACCTCAAGTTAATCCAATTATTGCTTTCTAAGGAGAGAAAATGCAAGAAGTAGACGATATTTTGACATGCAGCATTCCACTCCGTGGGAAAATACTCACGATTTGATGACGTCATCAGAAAAGGTGTTTGTAAAATCGGAAACAACCGAAGAAAATAGCAGTAATTTCATTGGTCAATCAATCTAACGATTTTCCCCGAATCTAAATTATCGAAGTTACAGCCATTGGAAACGAGGTTTTGGAACAAACAGGATTATCTTATGTCCATTTTAATGCCTTGGATTCAATTATTAGTGCACCGATCACGTCAATTTATACCCAAGGATATAGTGAAAGTATTTTAGTTGTGTTAGACCACCAAAAATAAAGCCTATGGCCAAAAGATAACGTAAACCGAGCGTGGAAACACAAGAAATTTGGATAAAAAATTAAGAAATTTCATGATTTTTACCTCTGTCCATTCATTTCTGTACTGAAATGTAACTGTGGCAAACACAGTGATCAAGACGTCTGGGAAAACTAGGGAAGGATGAGTGGTCGCCCTAGGACTACTTCATTTGCAGAAGGTGCCAAAGGAAACAATCCAACTTTCGGAGGCATGAAAACTATAAGTAAGTGTTGCTGGGAAAATGATGAATCAATGGGAAAATGGCTGACCCCAGATCACTCATGTTACACTGATTTTCACAAAGGTTTTTCTGACCTTACACAAGGGTCGTGAGATATAGCACGATGCACATGTCCTAGTTATTCAGGTCAAACTAGACATGATCTGTTGAAAATGTACATGTGTGAGAAACTCACTATTTCGCTAAAATATCAGCAATTTCAAGAAGACACCAGTTCAGTTGTCAGTTATAAGCTTATTAAACAGCCTCCCGTAACTCAGTTGAAGTTACAGTCTGACGTAACTTTCGCAAATGTCAGTCTTGGCTTAAACTAGTGATATCACCACCATCATCTCTCATATCACCTCTACTCAAACATAACCTTACTGTTCAATGCCTCCGAAAGCTGCAACACTTGATGTTGTGTCAGTTCGATGTTGTTGTTTATAATAAATTGGAATATTATGTATGTTATATTGAATGGCATTTCAAGTTGCATGTTAATTATAATGTTTCTTATTGATTATATGTACATTCACTAATATACAATGTATGCATGTTTGTCATCTGATAAATAATACTATTTTCAGCATTACACTTGTATAATTCTTTTGAAGGTACACATACTGACTAATATCACCATCTGAAACCAGAATGATGTAACTAATATTCATCATCTTAGCTTTCATGCAATGAAACCTGATATAAAGATATCATGTATCAAGTATATGTATCATGTATCTGCAACTAAATATGGAGCATATTAACATTAATACTCATTTTAATTAGAATTTAGATATTGGCTAAATGTCCTGGTAAACTAAATGTGAACCGTCTCATGAAATCATAATTGAAAGACTTTAGAAGGATAAGAAAATGTAAATGTAAATTGTATATTGTAGCATGCTTTTGATTTAAAAGAATATGATACAAATATTGAACTTAATCAACTGTCAATATCAATATCAATTACAGTCGTAGCTAGAGAGAATGTCCTTATTTGAACTGTTCATGTTCAATATGACTAGAGGGTTATCTATATAACCTTTATTGGTATTCTAACACATCTTGGATTACCAAGGTATGACATTTTCATGAAAAATCAAACTGGTTTGCGAGTATTGACCCAAACACTAAAGCAGCCAAATGATGCCTTTCTTTATTTGGCACATGTAATATGCTGTTATTAAAGTCTTAAAAAAGAATAAAAAGCTGCAATTGAGCATTATGTGTCAGTCAAGTCACCTGACTGCTCTTCAGCTTGTTTCATTCTCATACATGGGATGATCAATACTCCCAGTTTACCAGTAACATTGATGAATGGTTCAGTTACATATACAGTATGTGTAAGTAAAGGTCATGAATGATTTCCTAATGGATTTAACACCTGTGGAATCCAGAAGTCCTGTATTTTAGTTTTCATTGTATAAATTACTAAATAGATATTATTTTGGTAAAATGTTCATTTTGTAAATCATATTTTAAGATCCATTTACAAATATAATTTATAAACGTTTGGTTTATGTTCAGCCAGGGCTTGCATTAACGGCGTCCCGTACATGTTAAGGACTCAAAAATAATTTGAAGGACGCAAAAATTGAAAATATTTCCGTTTTTTGGACGCAAATTTTTTTTAGGTCAATACTACAATGTGTTTACAACGATACCTAACAAAAACAAATAATTATGATCTCTCACCTTTATTTGAATCGTAAATAAGGCTCAACATGTTGAATATTTACAAATAATCATGATTCTCTCGAATTTTTTCGACTTTGTTTATTTCTAGATTTGAAACCATGTCACGCCACAGTTTTTCCTATTCAGAAACAAATATTAGGTTATTCATGAAATAAAATGTATTCATTGTCGAATGAACGAACATGCATTTATTCAGTCCGTACTTAACGTTTACTTCCGTTTTAAATTTATTATTAGTTTGTCCCCGTAAACATTGTATATGTTATCATTGTATACGTTAGTTACATCTGTAATAAAAGTAACATTGGAAAGATGTTTTACTGACCTATTGTTGTGTTGAAGCAAAGACAATCATGTGACAAAATTAACTTCAAGGTGTTTTGGTAAAAAATACTTTTAAAATAAAATACCTCAAAACAGGCTAGAAATAGGGGACACACTTTTTTTTAAAAGGACACACTTTTTTTAAAAAATTGCGTCCTTGGGACTCACAAATTTTCTAACCTTATGCAAGCGCTGTTCAGCCTATACTATTTCATTAATTGTTTGGACAGTCACATTAGATTCTAAAATAAATGAAGAATTAAATGTATTTTGATAGATATTGCATCTCTGTTAATATACAAAATCTGCCAAATTGGAATATACACTGAAATAACATGCATAAGAGAGTACATATTATGCATACCAGTAGATAATGTTAATTAAAGTAACAGAAAATGAAGTAAATCAGATGAGCAAAAAAGAAATTTCTGTCAGGGGGATAAATTCATCAACTTATATTGAAATAAGATCTTCATATATTAAATCTATTTCTAATGATTAATGTACATATTACCTAGAATTTTCCAACACTATAGTATGTCATTGTTAATTTGTTTTTGATTTCTTGGTTAGTAACAACATCTTTATATAATATACATACTGTGTAACTCTACACTTAAACCTTCTTATCTTAATACCTCTTCAAATTTTTACTTTGACAATCAAAATATCTAATAGATTTGAATGTCTTGTTTACTGAGAATTCTATGTTGAACACATTTAGAAAATTCCAAAAGTGTACACTTCAGAAATATGTGACTGCATACTGTATTATACATGAGTAACACATGTACTTTATCAACTGTATGGCAGAGGTAGGGGTGAGATAAGGTGATGCCTTCTGGGTCATATTGATGTCAAGTACATTCGTGATAAACTGGCTGTTTTAATCTCATGCTAGTGCACTCCCACCCAAAAGTTTGGAAATGTTTAATGGTAAAAACCAGTAATATTTTGGCTTATTTTTTTATAATGAATTCATATTTTTTTCCAGTTCCTCGAGTGAGTGAGGGAAAAATACATGTTAAGATGAAAGGAAGTGAAATTGAAGTCAGTTTAATTCACAAGCACAATTTTCAGACAGGATTGCCTTTGAACATGTAGCTCACCAAGGGAAAAAAGGGTCCAAACTTTTGAAGGGAGTGTACATTGTGGTTCAAACAATTTTGAAACTTAAATGAAGCATATTCAAGGTGTCCCATGGTCTGATTTTATAAATTTCACATTTCTTCAGAGATTGAATGTTTAAGAGCAGATTCATTCAAAAACAACTATCTGAATTTTAAAGAGTATAATAAGTCAATTTCTTGAAAAGGATGATAATGATGAGGTTATCTCCAATTGTAGTAGTGTCAACATAATAGGGTCCTTGATTTTAATATACAGTATCTGGTATGTATACAGAGATATCATATTTACATGTTACTTTGAACCAAGAACCTTTAAGACTCTATAGACAGTATAAGAAGCATACATTGTTAGTACATGTGTGAATGCTGCAACGTAGTAGTACAGAGAGTGAAAAATTGAAGTACATCATTCGAGATTATTCATTACTTACATTTCAATGAGAACGTGTTGAAATTATTATGAGATGGCAACATCATCAGTGCGACAAGTTTATTATGGTAGGTAAAAGTAATAGAACATTTGTAATATGATGTTTCCAGAGCTAAAAATTTAAAGTTGGAGTTTCATCTCAATCATCTGGTATTTATTTTAATCAGTTCTGTCACATAAATGATCAAACAATGAATTTAAGAAAGTAGCCTAGCAACGAAATATGATGTTTTAAGGTCTACAGTATTTTGACACTGTGACACATTTTTATAAAACAGAGCAGTGTGACTTAAATCATGTATTTGAAAGTGATACCACTTTGTTAAAACTAATAGGTAAGACTATGACGCAGTTAAAATTATAAGTGTTTGTGTACATTTTATGTACTGTACTGTACCGTACCATACTTTCATAACATTATTTTGCCATGTACTAATGAACTATTCAGGATACAACAAGTAATAATGATCTTGCTGAAAACTACATTGGTTACATGTTTTCAATGATTTGTGTTTTTAAAGCCATTTTGGATCTTTGAAGAACCTATGAAGTCTTCAACCTCCCCCCCTCTCCCTGATATTTGTTTTTGATATCCTGAAACATCCCCTTGTTGACTCCTCTCTCCAAAGTTGATTTTGGAAGACCAACCATGACTAAGCGAAAGTCCCTGTTAAGTCCAATAATAAAAAGGATTGGACATTCTGATTTATCACTCTCTTTATCTAAAGCTAATTCCAAGGGATAGTAGAGAATATGAATCTCACAATGAGGATTGAATATGGATTGAGTTTTACAACATACGACAGACATCTATACAAATTACATATGTACATCTCATAAAATTGTATTGATGTTTTTTTGTATATTGATCGATTGTTGCTTGCTTAGTATAGTGTCAGAGCACATTATAAAATCAAGGCTGAATAAATAACAGAGACGAGTTGCAAGGTTCTTTTTCTAAATGTCTGTCTCCTACTTCAGGTTGTTTGTCAATGAAAGAATCTTCAAGATCAATTATTTTGGAAATTCTCATTTGAAAGTCATGTCATACACACAGGGCTGTCAACTTGGGACCACCTAATATGAGTGACTTACAAATGTTGGACACCAAAGTCCAAATCTGAACACTTTTGTCCAAATTTTGAACACCTTTGGCCAACTTTTAAACACTTTTGGCCAAAGTTTGAGCACCTTTGCCAAACTTTGATCACCTCAAATTTTTCGCGCTTGTTACGCTCGCGATGTCGTCAACAGGGGGGGGGGTGGGTACGAAAATTTCCAATTAACATGCGTGATACATACGGGATTCACGTGACAAATCCGAACAAATTGCGTTCGGTTTTTTTCCGACATTCGTATTTTTACCGTATCGTAAACATATTTTGAAAATTTGTCTACAGAAATATTTTTGCTTGACAATTACCAGGTAAAAAGCGTATTTGCGTGACATTTTCTGTCACTCAAAAAACCTGGCGTGACTTCAAATTCTTCAGCAAATGCGTGACAAATACGCAAATTGCGGGACAGTTGACAGGCCTGTACATACTTTCAATAAAAAAATTTGAGATTATATTTAAGAAATTTTTCTGTTTTCTTTGCTCAAAACCATCAAAGAACCAACAGGTCTATAAGTATGACAGCTGGAGGAATAATTCTCAGAAAAATCAATGAATAGAAGATCACTGTAACCAGAATAAGAATTGATGAAAGCCTTGGAGTTAGGTTATAATATCTCATGATTGATTTACAGAGTTTAGCAAGTAATATGTGGTAATTCTCCATTTCGCTGTTCGCTCTTTGAATCAGAACGTTCGCATATATGGTGCATATATGTACTCAAAAAGGACAAAATTTGATTGGTCAATATTTTTCAACGATGCATTTCGTGTAGCTATTTGTGAGACCCGAAAGTTCTAAATCAAATTAATTACGCAATTTTGTTTTTACACCCGCAAGCTAAATAAAAAAATGACACCATCGGAATTCTTCTTCTTTGTCATTGAATTAATAGTCAGTATACCAGATTTAATCAATAAAAGATTATACAATTAACAACAAAATTCGGAAACGAGTATGTAAGATTTGCTTTCGAACCACTAAACTTGACCTAGATAATAGCGACGTGTCTTCTTTGGTCAAATGCTCAGTTGTTTGTGGGTTTTCAACGTAACTCTATAATGTAATATGAAGATGAGTACTTTTATTCAGTTGTTGCATCGATGTTACAGTTTGTAGTGCGGTAATATTGGCATGAACGTGTTGAAAGTCGAATGGAATTGCTTTTTCCAATATGGCGACTAGTCACGTGACTTCTTCTCTTCCGGAATATACTCCCATTTTCAATCATTATTTTCACCCCGTTAGGAGCCAATAAAATGAAAAAAAATATATGTTATATAAAGATTATTAAAAGACTAATTGTTTCTGATAGTTTGTTTTCTCCGATCGCATGGAGATTCGATCGAAAATATCGCTTGAAAAATGGGTATGAAAATCCCCATGTTAAACCAACGGGGAAAAACAAGGTAGAAAAATTTTGTTCCCCCGCGAACTGCATCATGGGAAATATTTTGACCTTATAAGGAAAAACTTTCGCGCCATCTTTATTAGAGATTCAATACTACCGAATCCGCGATTTTAAGAATTGCTAGTTATGTTGATTGCAAATAGATTCGGTTCAAATGTCATTGTTTTTCAAATCACAAAGGCTTGGCTCTGGTCTTGACATCGGTTTCTTTGTTAACGAAATAATAAAACTACATTTGTACTTATTTAAAATGGAATCAATATTGAAAAATTTAACCCAATTCAACCCCCGACCCATTGAAAACTGATATAACAAAAATTATATTACCAATAAATGCCAATTTCAGTTTTGATGTACATCTACAAACATTACATTTAGGAGGGGGAGGTCCAAAGTATGTTTTTCCAGCTAACATTGCTATTAATAGGAACAAACTGGGAAGAGAATTTTTTCGAGGGACTGTACCACTGGGGGAGGGTCAATCTAAATTCTAGTAACTATGTTTGAGGACAACAACCTGGTTTCTTTTAAGTCCAATTTGTGTTTGAATAAAACACTGCTAAAGATGTAACGCAGCTGTTACATATTCTTGATTGACCCCAGATGACAATCTAACACTTAAAGTTGTCAATCCTGGAAATTCGGGTTAACATAGAATGGTTATTATATAATTTAAAATTCTACATACTTTACTTGGAGAACAGTATGATATTGCAAGACTCGAAATACATGTAGATGGCAAGATTGAACTGAGACAGGGTCAATTAGATACTGAATCTTCCATCATTATACAGAAAATTCTAGTTTTGTTTTTAGTTTGATTATTGCAGTGATCATCTTATTTAAGTTTTATGAGAGTAATGTTTACTTGTCATCTGATGATCTATTTTGTTGTTGACATCGCTGGCTCACTTAGAATAGGTAATAATTATAGTATATTCAATGCATGTATATGTACTTGATGTACATGCATTTTCTTGGTCAATCTGTTGTCAGTTTGCAATGCCTTATTCTAGCCTAAAGCCAAATACTCTTCCAACATACTATGCAAATTGTAATCCAATTAGAGAGTCTCATAACTCTTGATTATCAATCTGAAGAAACTAATGTTCCAAGATAGCCTGGTGTTATTGGTTTTGAATACAAATGTATACATACAAGAGAAAGGATGTTAAATTCCATGGCAACCAAGGTGATGCATAATGGCTAACTGCCATTGGTTGATTTGGTTATCATAGCAACCATTGATATGTAAAACAAAGCATCTTTTAAGTTGCATATTTGCTCCAACATTGTATCAACCAGGTGCTTCACCCAAATGACAATCCAGTTGCACCCAGTTGAGAATTTGGATAAAGATCAGTTTCGAACATCTTAGTAAGAATTTATAGCAAATTGGAATACTATTGGGAAAACATGCTGTCAATGGTTGAACTCCACAGGTGAAGTCACCTTCTATAAGATATGAAATTAATTAGTTCTTAATTACCTTGCTCATGGAATGTATTATTGTCACTAATGTATGGATGAATATCACTTGTGTTAGCCTTTAGGGGTTTGTGTATGAGGGTGCCAGTTGTCACATATGTTCTAATATAGTGACCATATACTTAGAAATGATGGACATGTAATTACAAATGAAATATGTTGAATTTTGCCAATATAGGTCAACTTTGAGATGCCATAGTTTCAGTGAGAATGAAGGCATTTAATTTCTCCCAATTACTCGTTGATGTCCTGACTGATTATTTTTATTTTTGTTATTTTTCAGGTGAAATCAGAACAGAGTCAACAGAAGCAGTATTGTAAAAATCTATTATTGGAGTGAATAGAAATTTCTATATTCATTGAAAACAACAAATTAAGTTACACAGGTTTCTTAATATTATATGATGTTTCCATCCATCTGTAGAAAAATGCATTCATATTTTTACATTATGTAGGCCATTCATAGAAAATATACTGTACTTCTACTTAATTTGGCGGATTCGCCAAATTGTTAAGTCAGCCCAAATTAAGTAGCCGCCAAATTCTCCGGTGATTTTAGCACCATGTAAATTAGTTCCATTAGTGCATTGTAATATTGCAAGTCCGCACAATTAATTAGCCGCCTAATGTGAAAACAGCAAATCTGCTAAATTAAGTAGAAGTACAGTACCAGAATGTACTGGAATCTATGTTTTGACTGAACCATTTGCTACACTCGTACATATACATAATCTTAAATGCAGTATTAGCTAAATACAAAACAAACTTTAATTATCGTAGCCTTGGAACCACTTGTATTGTACATCAATATATAGTATGATATTAATGTTAGATGTGTTTGCAGGTAAAGATGGGGGTAAGGTGACGACTGTGGTGGCCACACCAGGGCAGGGCCCAGACCGACCACAGGAGGTCTCCTATACAGATACTAAAGTCATAGGTAATCGCATATGAGTTTAAGGAAACCCTGAACCAATTTTTCTGAAAATTATTAGGTATTTCTTCAGGATATTGAAAATGAAGTTTAATTTTTTAAATGTCCTGTAATAACGAGAAAAATGTTTTGAACTTATTTAATCAACACTTCTCTTTTTATTTTGATGACTTCCCAACCTGCTTCCTAAGTGCATTCAGGGTGAAATATCTTAGAAATCTATTTATATTGACAGCAACCTACCTAGTTTGCATATGTTATTTGTTTTACTATCTTGAAGTAGGCTCTCATATTACAAGAAATGTAGTAAGGTGGTCATATCATTTTGAAGTTGTGAAGGTCACTTTGTTTATAAAAAATGGCACAACATATCTATACTTTCACACCCCTAAGGGCCAGGTACAAGATTAGAAAAAGGGAGACATAGAAATAAAACATACCTACTGTATACACATAACTACCTTATACTATACAACTTTCATTTCTTTTACCCTTTGAATGTCAGATTGACATTAAGATTTGTAGAAATATTTGAGTTTTTTTGAGTACAAACCACTAAACCACAAACTCATGTCTATAAAAAGATCGATTAAATCTAAGGAAAATAAAAGAACTCATGTTTCAGACATACTTAGATCTAAATGCAACGTGTTGTTATTTTTGTTCACAATGATTGATAGATAAAATATTCTACAAATTTTTATTTGCCGACTTTCATCTCTTTTTACCTTCACATGCAGAATTTTATCTTCATTTCCCAAATGACATCAATCAAAATGAATAATGGTCATATTTCTAGTGCTTGTAAATGTGTCACAACCAATATATCTTTTAGTTTTTCCTCTTTTAGTTCCTATTACTCAATTCCAGCATTTCCCAATGTGGTTGTTTCAATATTTCAATATTTAGTGATGACTTCAGTTCATTTTTCATATATTTATTATAACAATTTTCTGTGTTTATTGCGATATTATTTTCTTTTTATATATGCCATTTCTTGCAAATTGCAATACATAAGTAAATATATTCCTAGATCCTGTGTGTACTGCTATGTTTCCCTGTGTATATTGTAATGTTTCCCTGTGTATATTGTAATGTTTCCCTGTGTATACCCTTTGCATTCGTTCGACTTCACTTCTTAAAAGAGAGCTCCGTCTTCACTCTTTCAAACTAAAACAAACCTGTGAACTCACCGCGCCAATCAGTGCTCGTCGGCCAAATTTGACCGACGTTCTATATATGGTCATTCCTTCTGACGTCATCGTTAAGCCCGGAATTGACCAATGACAATTCAGAATTTATTTTGGCGCGTGTTTCTTCAAGCTCGCTAATTGGTGGAAGAAAGCTCAGCGCGTAGGTCAGAAGTGATTTATTACCCGAACTGTCACCGGCACCCGTCGTGGGGGCGGGGCTACTGAACTGTAATATAGTTTCTACTAGGCAGAGTGTAGTTTAACTAGACTCTGCACGCAGGGTACCCTGTGTATATTGTAATGTTTCTTTGTTTTATAGGCAATGGGTCATTTGGAGTGGTGTACCAGGCCAAACTCTGTGACTCGTCCGAACATGTTGCAATAAAAAAAGTATTACAGGATAAAAGATTCAAGGTAGGTGCATTTTCCAGCTCATCTAGGTGCATTTGCAAGGCAGATACATTTTTTGGTTCATGTAGGTACATTTGCAAGACAGGTGCATTTCCTCATTCTTGTTGGTACATTTGCTAGGCAGGTGCATTTCCTAGTTCATGTAGGTGCATTTGCAAGGCAGGTGTATTTCCTAGTTCATGTAGGCACATTTGCAAGGCAGGTGCATTTCCTCATTCCTGTTGGTGCATTTGCAAGGCAGGTGCATTTCCTAGTTCATGTAGGTGCATTTGTAAAGTAGGTGCATTTCCTAGTTCATGTAGGTGCATTTGTAAAGTAGGTGCATTTCCTAGTTCATGTAAGTGCATTTGCAAGGCAGATGTATTTCCTAGTTCATGTAGGCACATTTGCAAGGTAGCTGCATTTCTTAGCCCATGTAGGTACATTTGCAAGGCAGGTGCAACATATTTAGAAGAATGATGATCTATTTCTTCATATGTAGCCCTAGCTGGAGGTGGTGGGGGAGCTTAAGTAGGCAGTCATAGCACTGTAATTTGTTGAGTCTTTCTCGTATCTGAGTAAGCCTAATTATCCCATCGAACGAAGTTCGGAGGGATATAGGGAACGCCTCCGTCCGTCCGTCCGTCCGTCCGTCCGTCCGTACGTACGTACGTCCGTCCGTCCGTCCGTCCGTCCGTCTGTCCGTCCGTCCGGGCAATAACTCAAATACCGTTGGCCCGATTTTGTTCATATTTTGTACACATATACCCTATGGGGGTAGAAGTTCTGCTCGTAAGCCGATTTTCAAAATGGCCGCTCATTTCAAAATGGCGGCCATTTTAGTGTCGATTTTACAGTAATTTAGGTACAATATGTAAAACTGTAATAGCAATATGTTTTAAGTGTAAAAAAATTATAAAGGACATTAATAAAGCTACAAATGTAGATATTAAAAAAGCACATGGCAGCCATCTTGAAAAATGGCGGCCTTTACTCGTTATTTTACGATTTTTGCTGTAACTCGAAAAGTAGTGGAGCGATTTTGTTCATATTTGGTATGTGAATATTGTAAGCATGGCACACTGTCCCATGACACTTTTGGTAGAAGGCGGCCATTTTGAAAAAAAATTTGAAAAATGGCCGCCATTTTAACGTATTTTACTATAACTCAAAAAGTAGTGGAGCGATTTTGTTCATATTTGGTATGTGAATACTATAAGCATGGCCCACTGTACTATGACACTTTTGGTAGAAGGTGGCCATTTTGAAAAATGGCCGCCATTTTAACGTATTTTACTATAACTCGAAAAGTAGTGAAGCAATTTTGTTCATATTTGGTATGTGAATACTATAAGCATGTCACATTGTCTAATGACACTTTTGGTAGAAGGTGGCCATTTTGAAAAATGGCTGCCATTTTAATGTATTTTACTATAACTCGAAAATTAGTGGAGCGATTTTGTTTATATTTGGTGTGTGAATACTAAAAGCATGGCACACTGTCTAATGACACTTTTGGTAGAAGGTGGCCATTTTGAAAAATGGCCCCACGTATTTTACTATAACTTGAAAAGTAGTTCATCGATTTTGTTCATATTTGGTATGTTTCATATTTTATATGTGAATACTATAATAAGCATGGCACACTGTCTAATGACACTTTGGGTAGTAGGCGGCCATTTTGAAAAATGACCACCATTTTTACGTTTTTACTATAACTTGAAAAGTAGTGAAGCGATTTTGTTCATATTTGATATGTGAATACTCACGAGCCTTGCACACTGTCTCATGACACTTCGGATAGTAGGCGGCCATTTTAAAAAATGGCTGTCATTTTTACATTTTTTACTATAACTCGAAAAGTAGTGGAGCGATTTTGTTCATATTTGATATGTGAATACTCTAAGCATGGCACATTGTCTAATAAAACTTTGGGGAGTAGTCGGCCATTTTGAAAAATGGCCACCATTTTTATGTGTGTTATTTCACAAGTACATGTGTGCGATTTTTCAAAAATTTTATTGGTGGCTACTAAAAGCATATTATTTCTTCTGATAACAACTTGGCTAACCATTTTGAAAATAGTGGCCTTTCTGGTGTGTTGTTTTATGATATTTGCTATATATTTCATTTGTAAAAATGCCAGCTATTTCTGTTCGATGGGATTCGCTACGCTTTGGCGTTGCCGTTGTTCTGGTTGTTTATGAATATGGAAGGAATCTACATTTTCTTGCATTTTATATGCTTCCCTATAATTGAGATGTCAGGTATGAGTGAAGAATGTTAGTCAGTAAGAAGGGAAGATTGAAGTTGACTTGAACAGGGAGGCCTACATTGATCTTACAATCACCTCAGAATTGATTTGTTAATTAATATGAGAGTTCTGACGTCTTAACTCATATTAAACATTTCCTTGTCTTTGTAGAAATATCAGAGATGCGTAGATGGAGAGAAGGAATGAATCCTATACTTGATTATTATTAGCATGTTAGTAGAAACCATCAATTCTTGTTATAAAGACAAATGTAACTTCATTGCAATTAGAGATATAATGTTAATAGCTTCTACATAACCAACTTACACCTCATGGCATTAACATGATCTATGAGGAATCTTTTGGGTTACTTGGTTAAACCTGTCGCAACCCAGCTGAATTAGATTTTACTGGTATATCTAGAATATGATGTATGAGCCATAATAATGTATCTAAACACAGCTACTCATCTATGAACACAGACCAGTGTGGAGTGTTGCTACTCCCTTGTAATTGTTTAGAATACAGGGATATCAGGATACACTTATTGGCAAATCATTGGATAACAGCCTATGATGTATCCAACCCAAAAGTCTACTCATCTATGAACACAAACCAATGGAGTGTTGCTACTCCCTTGTAATTGTTTAGAATACAGGGATATCAGGATACACTTATTGGCAAATCATTGGATAACAGCCTATGATGTATCCAACCCAAAAGTCTACTCATCTATGAACACAAACCAATGGAGTGTTGCTACTCCCTTGTAATTGTTTAGAATACAGGGATATCAGGATACACTTATTGGCAAATCATTGGATAACAGCCTATGATGTATCCAACCCAAAAGTCTACTCATCTATGAACACAAACCAATGGAGTGTTGCTACTCCCTTGTAATTGTTTAGAATACAGGGATATCAGGATACACTTATTGGCAAATCATTGGATAACAGCCTATGATGTATCCAACCCAAAAGTCTACTCATCTATGAACACAGACCAGTGTGGAGTGTTGCTACTCCCTTGTAATTGTTTAGAATACAGGGATATCCAGGATACACTTATTGGCAAATCATTGGATAACAGCCTATGATGTATCCAACCCAAAAGTCTACTCATCTATGAACACAAACCAATGGAGTGTTGCTACTCCCTTGTAATTGTTTAGAATACAGGGATATCAGGATACACTTATTGGCAAATCATCCACATTGGTCTAAGCAATCACCTGATCATAGAATCTCAGATACTACAGTGGGTTTACGTAATTCTTGGGAATAATCATCTGGATTATCTTCTTCACTCTATTAACTAAGTCCTCTAGTGGCTCCTTGTTATTTGAGTAGATTATAAACACCTAGGCCAGGCCACATCTTTCCGCAGTTTTTACTTCTTTAATAATGTTCAGTACTTATGATAAGCTATGACATCTCATACCATTTGTACATGTTTTTAGTGAATAATACATGTTTTTGCAAATGTATAGCAACATGTTTCTAGTGATTGAGACATGTTTCTAGTTGAGATATATTTTAATTGAGATTGTTTCCAGTTGAGATATGTTTTTAATTGAGACATGTTTCTAGTTGAGATATGTTTTTAATTGAGACATGTTTCTAGTTGAGATATGTTTTTAATTGAGACATGTTTCTAGTTGAGATATGTTTTTAATTGAGACATGTTTCTAGTTGAGATATGTTTTAATTGAGACATGTTTCTAGTTGAGATATGTTTTTAATTGAGACATGTTTCTAGTTGAGATATGTTTTTAATTGAGACATGTTTCTAGTTGAGATATGTTTTAATTGAGACATGTTTCTAGTTGAGATATGTTTTTAATTGAGACATGTTTCTAGTTGAGATATGTTTTTAATTGAGACGTGTTTCTAGTTGAGATATGTTTTTAGACATGTATCTTTTGAAACAGAAAGATGGGACAAGCAAATAGTGACATTTAGTTAGAGTGTGAAAAATTGATTTACATCATTACAACATTAAGTCTTGCTTTATACACTTGAAACCACCTGTTAGTGTGACCCCCCCCCCCCCTCCCTCACAGCTTCCTAGTCAACTCGTACCCAAGACAACTCGTACCCAAGATTATTTTCAGTATAATGGGTGCACATTGGGGAAAAATTGAGTTTGTATTGCTTTCAGGTTGTAATGTGAATCAAATAAGCCTCAATATTTTTTTGAATTTAGACGACATTTTTTCTCAATGGATCAGTAAAGCATTTTTTTATTAAATAAAAGAAGTGCTTGAAGCGCTTGTTCACAACATTTTTTTGTCAAACATATATACAAATAAATATAATTACAACATTAGATCTGACACTTGTTCCAAACACTCATAAACATACAATATTTTGAAAAATGATTATGAATATGTGGAATAAACATATGTCTCTTCACTCGAACATCCTGAATCTGTGACCAATATAAAATAATAGTCAATATAAATTGACACTCAGCTCAAAATGTCACAAAATTAATTCAATTTCTTCCGAAAATTCTTCTTCAAACTTTAAACTATTCTGAACAGTATGTTACAATTATAATATGTATATCTATTCACATTCCCAGTCCGAAATATATACTTGGGTACGACTTGTCTTGGGTACGAGTTGTCTTGGGTACGACTTGTCTTGGGTACGAGTTGACCAGTTACCCCCTCACACACCTCAAGTGAAGTAAATAGATTAATGCAGAACTACATAATATTTATTTTTCTTTAATTATCTTTGTTTAATTGATCCATGATAAACATGTCTGAAACTAAAAAGGTATTGTAAATAAACAAGCCAAGTGTGCAGTGTTTATCAAAACTGAGGGCACTATGTTTTAACAGTAATAACATCTCTTGAGTCTGAAATCTAAAAGTAACCTTGGGCAAAACTTTCAATGTACAATAGAAGGCCATATTTAAAGGTTCTACTTGAAAATCTCCAAGTATCTCTAGAGAAACCTCCTGAGAAGGCATACATATATGTGCTTTTATCAACAATTTCCAAGTTTAACCTCAAGGAAAAACATCTTATCTTCTCTAATTTTCTCTCAAGATTGTCCTACAGAAGTATTTAAATTGAATTAAGTCTCCAAAATAGTAAATATTGATGTGGTTAATTGAATTCCCAATCACCAATTTCAATGGTGGTTGTCTATTTGGGACCAAGCAAAAGTGTTCATATTGAGAAGTGTATGATTAGAGAGGTGTTCACTGCACTGAGCCATGTTTTTCATTTTGATCAATACTAAATCATTGCTGTTGTTTTATTCATGATGCCAGGGTTATGTTATTGTGCCATTTTCAATAGGCTGGGTTTGTGTGTTATAACAATCATGAAATATTCATTGTGTGAACAGAGATATATATTTTTGTGACTTAAATACAAAACTAGAATACAATGTAGGAGTTTTATCTTCTAACAAATACTTTTATCAAAATGATTAGTGTCTAATTCTAAATAGTGCTGTATTTCTCAAACAAAACAGAACTCCATTTTCATATTGTCAGAATCAACTTATTACAAAAACTCATAGCAACCACCATGAGATATTTAAACAGCGAACTATCAAATCCTGTCTAGTAATGCCTTGGTCACGTATGCTCCGATCCATCAGCTGGCGCCCGGCCGATTGAGTGTTTTGTTCAATATTGTATTCAATTTTGAAGAAAATACTCAATCAGCCGGGCACCGTAGTGAAAATCGGAGCAAATGTGACCAAGGCATTAGTACAGTTTATATCTTTATATCTGAACATCTGATCCAAACACCTCCTGATGGTAACACTTTTTCTCCAATTTTGTTATCGCCCATTGACTAACATATACAATTTCACTCGAAATGTGAACACCTGCTACTTGAACACTCTTGGCTGGTTTTAGTGCTGTTCAAATATGAAAGGTTTTAATGTATTGCTAATTATAAACAGAAAGATGTAATTAGTTTCAGAATGCATATCAGCAGACTCTACATATAATTAGTGTTCAATTAGAGGGTTTCTATTAACACTTCTCTCAGTTCTTTTAATTGTGACAGTTTGCATAAGAACATTAGCTCTGCAGTTGTAAGATTATTGGTTGATTGTAATATTCACCTGGTACTCAATTCATTATCTAGTTCTTAGGTATCTGAAATTAAATGATGTAATCTCTAACATAAATCTTATTAATTAGAAAGACATCACAAGATGCTTTCCTTTTGTTAAGCATTTTTAAGTCTTGTTCTTTCACCATAAGATGTCATGGTAACCATAGTTACAACAATTGATTTAAGGAATTGTCATTTTGAAACTCTTTGCATTCTAGAAGACTTCCTTCCCCTGTCATCTGTTTCTCCTGAAAGAGAACTTTATGAAAGAGAAACAGACCTTATTATTATGCAGGTATCGACTTTCCAATACCTGTAAGTTATTGAGTATTCTGAATTAGTGTTTTCAAGTAGGGCTTATTTCTCCATTTCCCTGTGATTTCAATTATTGAAGAGCTACTGACTACTAAAGAAATAAAGAATACCAATTTCTTTTATTTAATTAAGTGTAATCAATATATCTTGGTAGGTCATCCTGATCTTGGATAACAGATACCAATTACAGCCCAGGGGTACAGATAGACATGGAAAGTAATGAAATTAAGTCTAAAAATTCCTTTGCTTGAGGGGCTAGGTATGAATTAGATGAGTTATCATTTGTACAGGAAAGCAATTTTGTTTCCAGGAGAGGATACATCTAGAAATGCAATTCAATGAGTATATGTTAAGCTTTGAACGAAGATATGAGAGACTGGGTGTCATTTTACATTAAATTCATTTTGCAAAATAATCCTTACTAGTTGTTTGACTGGAGATCTTATAAAATGGAAGATATGATCGAATTATCTCATATTGCAATGAAGTAAAGGTTTTTGTCTCTTGGAACATTAAACATGATGCAGTGATATAAATTATTCAATAAAGATTCATATTACATAACATGCTTAAACCTGATCATTTTACTATTGTATTTATTTACAGTTTGTCTTTCAAGTCCCTGTTGGTCCTTTCCCAATTATCTATTTTCTAAGTTTACAGTTAAACGTGTCTAATCCGAATGCATCTGGGACCTGCCAAAAGTGTTTGGATTTACAGGTGTTCATATTTATAAGTTTCATAAACATGTAAGTCAATAGAAGGACTGGAGAGGTGTAGGGATATATAGAGGTTATTTAATGGGAGGGATGGAAAATGAATTTATTTCGAGGGAAAATATGATGTTGACCATGTCGCCCTCGGTCAATATGATATTTTCCGAGGCCAATATCATATTTTCTCGATGAAAGAATCACGGGATTTTGGCTGATGCGGGATCTGAAACAGGATTTTTTGAATATCAGTTTTATTCCCTGTTATTTTCCCGGGAATAACATGTTATTATGGAATAAACAGATTTTACTGCATTTGTGTCTTTTTTTCTTTAACGTGGTATGTTTTTTTGTTTCAGAATCGTGAGTTGCAGATCATGAGGAAGTTGGAACATGTGAATATAGTCAAATTGAAGTTTTTCTTCTACTCCAGTGGTGAAAAGGTAAGTGACTGCTATAGGTCATGGTGATTTGGTTAAATGGGATCATTAATGCCCCATGGGTCTGCCCTGCCAGATCTCCATGACCCAAACTGACACAAGTCAATGTGAAATTACATTGCTTTTAAACCACCTTACTTTTTTTGATTATAGCTTGTACCTGTAGTATGAATACATGTATTGGCTATCAAGTCGTTGCTAAAGTTAAGCAAGTTTTGCTTGACACATTTTTGTTCTTGAAAGTATGAATAGACCTTGACTGGATGACCCACATGCAAGAGCCAAAACATAACCCAAATTTTGATCAAACAGACATTCTAGATTGGCCAGTCATTTGAAATGACACTCTTCATACAAGTGTTCTTTTAGTGCCTAACTGATCCTAGCTGTGAACTAATTTTGGTTCAGTAGAATTCTTGTTTTATGGAATTCATGGTCGATAGATTTTTTTGATGAAATTAATGAGCAGTAGAATATGTAGGTGCTATGAGCCTTTGATCAATAGATTTTCACTTTACATGTTTATATCCTCTTATTGTTTGATACCATTGATTATCTCTCCAGTCAACATCTTGGCTTAAGAATTATTACCCTTTATTAAAAAAGATTCATCTATACTCTGAATAAGAAATGATTTGTCCTGTCTATCCAATCAGAATCGTATCAATATTAAATTTAAATCTGATTGGTTAACATAATGCACTGTCATCCACCTGATTGTAACTGACATTCTTTATGCTATACGAGTTATGTAAGTGAGACTATTAAGATCTCATCATGTAAGTATCAAAACTGTAATATTATTATAGATCTATAGAGTATAGAATTTTACTTATAGTCCTTTCAGGTTTCAGGGTAAATAAGAATGAAACTCAGATGATTATCTTAAAAGTGTTTAATTAGAAGTACTGGTCACATCTTGTTGTTTGAATGTACGTTTTAAAGGAAGTTTTCATTTGTACAGGAAGGATAAGTACATCTTTCAGCTTTGTCAGAACCAGAACGTCTTGTTAATAGATGTTGAATATTATAAGGGCCCAGTCGTTTGATATACTCTGTTTTTGTGATCTCTAAGTGTATGAGGCTGATACATGTAGAGTATTCTACTCGTGCCTGGTTATTTTACTAAACCACTTGTTAGCTTCCTCCTTTCTTCTCTAATTTTGCATTTATATAAGGCGACTTCCAGGGCTTAATTATTGCAAATGCCTGGCATTATGAGGCATGATCTGAGATTATCTGCCTGAAACAGTTGTCCAAGTTGGTATGGAAAGTCAATTTATATTTATAATATCATGGGTATAATATGGACATTCTAAGTGCTAGGTACATATTCACCAGTGAGTCTTGTATTAATTTTGGATTTATGATCTTTAGAAGTGTAGAAATCGACTCATTGTTCATTGTAACCAGTGTTTGAAAACTCATGGTTGTGATTTTTAGCTTATGTCCATACTATTGAAAAAATGATATCAGGCACGTAGCTTGGTAACAATGCTTTCAACCAGTGGTTGTTCTAGTCTATGCTATATTCTCCTTGAGGTATACATTCATCATATTTTGTCACTCTTGAAATGGAAAAATGCTTTTGCAAGGTGCAACAAACCCATTTTCAGTTTTCATATTAATATAACCATTCTCTGTGATAGGCTTCACCTTCATTGATGTATAAATCATAATTAAATACCTCTGTCTGTTCTTCTAATGTAAAAAGATTAAGAGTCCCTCAAAAACATGACATATAGGGCTGCTAGGTAGGTGATCTGTCAATTGGAACTAACTCTATATAATCCCAATGTCTCACGCTTCAGTTGCATGAAGATCTGCGATTGATTCCTTTGCTTGATTAGACCCCCCTGCAAATGGCAGACTTAAGTACTCTATCATACTTGATTCAGGTCATCTCAATATAGGATAGAATCCTGCTGTAGGATCAACAATCAGGATATAGTAGAATGATAGCAATTACCAATTTGCAATTAGATTCACGACATATGATATTTGTTATAGCTAAATTAGTCAACATTTGCTATAGCCATAGACTCAATGTAATTAGTAATAAAAAACATTTTTTTACTAAGATATAAGAGTCTGTGATAAATATAGATACAAGCCTCAGCCTGATAAGAGATGAAATAAATGAAATACATTTCTTCAAAGAAAATTATTTTTGAGAGATAATACATGAGGGTTATTATGTCACCACCAAAAATCCTGAGGGAAATATAGACATCTTGTTGGAGGGTCACATTGTCAGAGATAAGATGTCATATTTTGTGAGGGATGTTTACCATATTTAAAACAAAGATATCATTACTATTTTCCACTGTTATGTGTCTAAAATCATTATTTCTGAGATAAATACATGTAGTCACTAGTATAAAAAACATTTGTTTGATTTTAGAAATGTTAGTATAATTACATGTTGAAAATGATTCTTATTAAGTAAGAGGATAATTTTAATGATCTTATTTTTTACACATCTTGATATCCCATTTATACTTGCATATACATGTATATGTATTGAATCAGGTCTTATATCATTATCTGAATTATTTTCAACAGTTCTGTGCTCTGGCATTCCTGAACAAGTTATCGACCATTCTTTATGCTAAGGCATGGTATAATTGAATAAAATACAACCAGGAATACCAGCAAATCAATTTACAATATTCTGAAGGTTAATATATAAGGCTAGAATGAACTCTGTGTATGGGAAGATAAGACAGCTGTATATTGAGAATATCTTTCTAAGAATAGGATAGTACATGTATGTACAGATATATCAGCGAGATCAATTGTGTTTAGTTGATATATGAGGGGTAAGGATGACGTGTGGAAGATCATCATTCACTATATATCTTGTTAAGTTGATATATGATGGGTCAGGCCAGTTGATATGTCTAAATCATGGGAAGGAGTATCATACACATGTATAAACTAAAAAGGACATACCCCAAATTTATAGGCTGAGCTCTACATTATTTGAAAACTACCATTTTCCATTTCAGTAATATTGAAACACTCAATAAAATCCTATGAGAAGGACTGATAAAACAAGTAAAAAAGTCACTCCACCCTAATGAGACTTGAACTCATGACCCTTTGATTAGCTGTTCACTAATTTACTGCTGAGCTACAGAGCTGGTTAATTCATCCTCAACAACATATATATCCTCATGGATAGCATTGCAACCATGTTTTATATGTCTAGTTTCTTAGACCCATAATATGTTTAACCTGGTTTCCCATGTGCTATACCTGAACCTCATGTTGTCCTTCTCCCCTTTGGCCTCTACCTGGGGAATAATTATTGGTCAAACAAGAGAATTATCCAAAGCTAAATTGCAATACTCTTCTGCACTTAATGACCTTAAATCTTCAATAGAAGCTATCAGTTAGTGAGCTTAGGTTGTAAGACCCATCTTCGTGGTCATATATCATCCATGAAGTGAGCATTCAGGCAGAAAAGCATTCATTATTGTAAGCTTCATACATTGATACTCTCTCATCTGTTATCCAAGACAGCATCAACTGTGCTAAAAATGTAAGTCATTTCATGCCTATTTCTCATGTTTTCATAATAAGTATGTGGAATTGATTGATTTTCTTACATTTTTAAATACTTCAGACTGTCGATTGTTGTATCCTTGTTCGTTTTTTTCATTATTTTTTGGTTGTTCTACTCGATTTAGCATTTTAAAATGTGCTCTTGATCATGTTTTACCATTGGGTTATCTCATGTTATTGGCAAGTTCTATCTCTGTCATTTACTTATTCTAAATGATGTTGGTTCAAAAACAATTACACTGTCCCCTGTCTTATATTGGGGCTACTCCTCTACAACTAGCATTTTCATTTACAAGAGCCCTTCTTTATCTAAAGCTTACTACAAAAGAAAATACCACAGTGCCCAACCAAGGTTTTGAGAGAAAGGGTAATGGTTGCGGCATAATCGCTTGATTCACTTATCAGGAAATAAGTTTATGTGTCTCTCGTAAATAAGGATTCTGTATATAAAATCTGTGTTTTATGTCGGTGTTGACATAGATTTTAGGTTTATATTAGAACGAGTGGATGTTATCTTTATATCCAGATCACAACAGGCTAAATATGATATATTCCAGATTTGCATGTAGGTAAAGCCTCAATGTTCTATATTTGTATTATGCAGAAAAATCAATGCTTTGGCAGAAAAGCATATGTGGATGTTTATATATAGAAAACCCAGGAAGTACATATGATTTATATCAGTATAGGAAGGGATTCGAGAAAAGTTTTGTCAATAAGCAAAACACTCAAAGTATTTAATGATCAAATCCCCAGACTGAGGCTTAATAGCTTTCAATTATAAGTAAAATGCCTGTATTCATATCGTCACAATTTTTCACGGGTGTCTCAATTTACTACTAAAAAAGCTGAATAAACAAGCACAAGAGCTGTTTTAGAATGAAAGTGTACTTATTGAAGTAGCTGAATGACCTGAATTGTAACTAATGTTGTTGTTTTGTGCATTTCAGAAAGATGAAGTGTATCTCAACTTAGTGCTTGAGTATGTCCCAGAGACTGTATACAGGGTGGCCAGACACTATAGCAAGTTAAAACAAACAATACCTATAATATATATTAAGGTAAGTAAGCAAATATGCAAATAAATGTTTAAAATATTTTCAAACTAACAACTTTTTTTTGTTGTCTGGATCAGAGTTTGTAGGTGGCATTTGGTATCTGTAACAAATTGTCACACTTTTAAAACCATTTGTAATAACTTAACAGTTGGGGATATGTTGTCATGGTGATGCCAGGTTTGTGTGTTATCACACTTGTTTTGATGTTATTTCTTGAAATATAACAAGGTTGCAATTTTACATCCTGTTCAACCACACAGTCATACTCAAGATTTGTAATACTTTGATGGATGAAGATGACTACTGTTATGTAGGGGAAAACCTTGATAGGGAAAAGTCAGTACAGTCCATCAGCTGATCTGAGCCTTGTAAGAATACTGTACATGTGATCAGTGCCACGAATGTTGCTATTATTACATATACCTGAATAGGATTTGCTAGTCATCATATTATCAAACAATATAAGTCATGCCATTGTACTTTAGTAAATACGTATATATAGGTTACCTATAATGATATTATATTTAACATTATATCTACTGTATAAGGTTGACAGCTGACTCCTGATCACTAGGGATTTGTTGATAAGCATTATTCAAAATCCTTATTAAAAATTCATTGTCTTCTAATATAATGTGATTTATAACTGAAAGGGGTTTGTTGGTACAAATATCGCACATAAGTGTTATGTACTGGTCTGGTAGGTGTTGGATACAGGGTTTATCCTGAGGGAATTATGTATATCTCCCTAGGGACAGGTTCAACCTGTATCCCAAGCTGACCCTACATAATAAATGTATCCCATACCTAATGAGGTTCTCAGTACATCCCATCTGCTTAGGTTGATAAAAATAGATTTTTAATATCTTTATCTTTAATATGTAAATGTTTCTTAAATAGGAAAAATCATTTTTTTTAAAGTTGATATTGATAAATTGATATTGGATACGTCTGTATTCTGAAAGTCCCAGACTACTAGAGCGGAGAAGATACAATTTTATCCATCCCATTCCAACACATTATGTATCTAGAACCTCTGTAGATATGGATACTATACAGAAGCCAAGACAAAGGAAATATAAGCACCTGATTTAAATCTAATAAGTTTATTTTTATTATTTTCTATTGTATATTTTCTATTAGTTCATTAAGTATTATAACTTTATAACGTATGATTATTTGATATCATTATTTGATATCGTAAAATTTCTATTAGTTCATTAAATATTATGACCAATTACATATTTTTCAGTTTCTCCTTAGTTAATATCTTAAGATAAACTGCTTCAAAGCTTGCTATATGCTGTTATATGCATTATTTTGGTTGTTTTTGATATTGTGTGTATAATTTTCATAAACTACTAAAAATTAGTTTAGGTATATTCATAAGTACAAAATAAATCATAAATTGGTTTTCATGATTATAAATGGAAATTACTATTAGTTTCTATCATGAGATAAATGATAAGCATGATTTTTGAAAAGCTTGGTTAAGTTATCTTGATGTTCTTGAATCCTCCTATTCCATCCCTCTTCCATTCTCCTATTTTCATAGCAGTGTTTTAGGAGTTGAGATGAGTAATGAGAGAATAGATGACATGGAAATGGGAAATTGACTGATTTGTTTGCTTTAGTTTTGATTAGTTTAGCCTGATTTTCTCTTCGACATTCTCATGAATAGATACTGATCAGATACTTATATAGGTTACATTTAATACTGTTTCATATTGTTATTACATAATGAAATGAATGCTATTGATCACATCTCATTGAATCATCCAGTATTTCTAATCCATAACCTGAAATTACCAGAGCTTACATGAACAGACAAAGAAATCTGTAATGCCCTTCTATTTCCTTATGTTATCAATCTACATGTATCAATCTATTGATTACATATATCTGGGGATATTAATAAGATATGATAGGCTTTGCCTTAGTGAGGTCATACAGCAAAATTGTATTCAACTACACGATGCTGATACCAAGGGACATTAAGGAGCTCAGTTCAAGAAGAAATTTTCAAGATGGCCGCTTTTTATCAAAACGGGTTTTGTTCGGTGGGATTTGCTACTCCGTAAAGTTGCTGTTCTCTAGTTGTAAAGAGCTTACCTCTTAGTCAAAATTGTATTCAAGCACATATTTATTCCAAAAAGCCTACCTCCTGGCCAAAATTGTATTCAAGCACATATCCCTCTGACTAGTTTCAATTAACCATCGCATGTGGAGTCTGATCAACTCTGCAGGGGCAACCTCCATTCCAAATCAGGTATACTTCAGAGAGCCCCGAAACCTGAGGAGGTAGAAGTACTGATGATGCGATGATAGTACTGATGATGCGACTAGTCCACTTAATTGACCCTCCAGCCCTCATTACCATCTTCAATGTATGTTTAATAAAACTATTGCAAAAAGCCTACCTCCTGGTCAAAGTGTAATCAAGCACAAATTTTTGCAAAGAGCCTTGCCCCTTTATTTAATGTAAGCAAAGGTAATTGTGAGTGTCGTGTTTTTACAGCTCTGCTCTTCGGCATTTGCTTTCAGTTATATATGTATCAGCTGCTCAGAAGTCTGGCCTATATACATCAACTAGGGGTCTGCCATCGGGACATCAAACCACAAAACCTCCTAATAGATCCTCAGACTGGGGTGCTCAAATTAATCGACTTCGGAAGGTGAGTTTTCTTTATAGATGATACTTAAATGTCTCTCTTTCTTGCAGCTTTACATGTACCAGTTGTTCCGAAGTCTCTCATATATTCACTCTCAAGGTGTATGTCATCGCGACATTAAGCCGCAGAATCTGCTCCTTGACCCCGAGTCAGGAGTTCTAAAATTGTGTGACTTTGGGAGGTAAGGTGATAAAATAGGGGAAATTGGGGCAAGATGGGCCATGTGGTAAGATTGACAGATGCAGAAATGTCCATATTATATTTTCACCAGAGAAAACTCAAATTAGTCGAACTCTTGAGAAATTTTAGAAAAAAGCGTTAGATAGAAAGATGAGGACGAAAAATGTATATTATAAGGGAAACTGCCCTGTGGTCCATATTGCCCCAGGTTCCTCTGTTTTATTACAGTTATGGTTACGAGGCTTAAAGTTAAACCTACTGTTTCTCATAACAGTACCTTGTGAGTTAAAAATGTCAATTAACATGTAGGGTCAACTGCATAGCCTAAGTATGAATAGGTCATATATGTTTATTTTTGTTGTGTTATTTGTTGATTTGAATGCATGATGAATTAATTATACTGTACATAAGCCGTGATTGTTCTGAAGTTTGACTGATTATTATCTGTTTCAATATTTATACAATCATTTTCATGAAATCATTACCATTACATGTACTTACCTCACCTCGAACCTGTTTCATAAAGTTAGTTATCTTTTATGGCCTAAAACTATGGCAATATTGTGAAAGACAATCTATTTTTACTAACTATATTAATTATTAATCTATAGACAACTATAGAGTATGGTGTAATAGTTGCCTGGCCAAGATGCACTTGGGAGGTATATTTCTGCCACCCAGCTAGAGCATTTTTGCCAGTAATAGTTTGTTGTGTCACTCACATGCATTATATATGACACCACTCATATACATATATATGACATCACTTAAATATTATATATGATATCATAAATCATGTGTTATGTATGATATCACTCATATGTAATTTATGGCATCATTCACATTTTTTACTCACATATATTATATATGACATCACTCATGCATATATATGACATCACTTAAATATTATATATGATATCATAAATCATGTGTTATGTATGATATCACTCATATATGCTATACATGACATCAGTCTTGTATTATATTATGTATGGCATTATTTGTATATATGCCATCACTGTTTTTTAGGAGGGTATCATTATCCTACATGATAAACCCAATTTACAATCTTGCCTTGGGTATTTCCTTTACATATTCATCTATTGTGGATATTTATATATGTGGGTGTAATAACGTATTTTGATTTTATCTCAGGAAATGTTCTGATAATTATACAGGGTGGGCCAAAAAAACGCCACTTTTTTTCTAGACACTACAACTTTTTATTTTCCAACCTACATACCCCAAATTTTGCAGTTATATAGTGCCAAGGGTTCTGAGTAATAATATGATATAACAGGTCCTTCAACTTGGATTATATTTGATCTAAAATGGGAGTTTAATTGGTCCCCCACCCTAATTGATGATAAATTTTAGTTTTAGTCGTCTTGCTGATATTGCAGTATCAATGAAATGTTAGCTAAGTTTTTTTCAACCTGTCTTAATTGCCAGCTTTAGTTGAGCAATTTTCTAGATTGGGTGCCTCCTTCATACAATCTCCTGGAGACCTTCCCATACCCTATACTCACTGGGGTTTGCATCAGGGCTATTAGCTTGGCGATCATCAGGCCGTATCATTTCAGGAACATTTTGCAAATTATGCTTATTTCTCATGGCACACCACATGTTTAAGTGAGACGCTGGTCACATATTTTATTCAAGTAAAAGTGTATAATTCATGATCAATGGCTAGATAACAACCTCAAGTTTCATTTGGTATGCAAATTATGATCTAATATCAAAAATTAAAAAAAGTCATAGCATTTTGAAAAAAGTGGCATTTTTTTGGCCCACCCTGTAGATCTCATAATGAGTAATGAATGACATGTCTATAACAGACACTTATTGAATACATTTTGAATTAAATCATAAATCACTTTTCATTAAGTTCCTATTATAGGCTGTACAGTGCCAGTGTCACATTAATAAAAAGTATAAATTATATTATGTCGCATTATGTTCGAGTGTTGTAACTTTCAATTTCACATTAGTGCTAATAACTAACATGGCCTTTGAATAAAAGTTAATAAAAGACTGCTAAGTGGAACAATTCAGTTCACCTAAACAGAAGATTTCAAACAAACTTAGATGGACATGACATCAAGCAAACCTGTCTGATTTTATTTGAAGCATTTCTAATGAGAGTAAGAATAATGTTATTCATTTTTGCAACTAAAATAAAAGACAATGTCGATTCATGAATAATACAATATCATCTAAAACTATAAAATCTCCTATTTTTCTACTGGAACAAAACCATTTGGGATCTACATAGTTTAAGTCGCTTCACCATTTAAGTCTTGTGTGAGAATTTGTGAGAAATCATGGGTTTAACTGGCTAAATTACCGGTAATGTATCTGCCAATCATTCATTAGAAGTTTTAACATAAATGTAAGACTTTTACATATTTTGATAGTGATCGCTTAGAGTGTCAAGGTTTGACTAAGTAAATTCATTATGTAGTTTATTCTAATTAAATTACCTTTAACATGGGTAGTATCTACCCCCTCCCCCTAAACCATGCACTGCTCAAACTCATAGCATAATTGATGTGTGGATACTAATACCATCACACAATATGTACAAATGAATTAGAACTAGCACACTAATAGTGAAATATTAATTAGAATTATATAAGACTGAAGCACCTGCATCTTTGTTCTCATGTACAGGGTGTCCAGAGGGTAAATGTACAAATGCTTTATTTTGAAAAAGTTTCTAGTTTATCAATGAAATTATTACAGAATGTAGAATCACAATTATATTTTTAAACAAGGAATTCCCTTAAAATTAGTACATGTAACTGGTAAAATAATAGTATTTTTCAGCTTCATGGACCGGGTAGTTAGTTTAATGAGTAAATTGAAAATCTATATGATGTATTTCTATATTTCAGTGCTAAGGTACTGGTGCGTGGGGAGCCAAATGTTTCATACATATGTTCCCGATATTACCGTGCCCCAGAGCTCATCTTTGGTGCTACCGACTACACCTCACAAATAGGTATGTGCCTCTTTAAGGAAGTACATTTTGTATCTTGCTTTTCTTTGGATCAGATAGATTGACTTTAATGTTAGGCATGTGGCTTGGTTTTCGAAAAATCTCTGAAGCAAAGTTGGAAAACTGACAATACAATGTTCAATTTCATGATTACAATTTTTCATAAAATGACTTGTTTTCTGGGTATTTTCCTTTCTTGGCTTGCCTAGATTCGGTTTCCAAAGCAAGGCAACAAGTTCACAGTATATATGTAATTTTTCTCTGTTTGTTTGTTTCAGATGTATGGTCAGCTGGGTGTGTGCTGGCTGAGTTACTCCTTGGTCAGCCTATATTCCCCATAGTATATGTGTCATTGTTCTATGTTTGTTCCAGATGTATGGTCAGCTGGGTGTGTGCTGGCTGAGTTACTCCTGGGTCAGCCTATATTCCCCATAGTATATGTGTCATTGTTCTATGTTTGTTCCAGATGTATGGTCAGCTGGGTGTGTGCTGGCTGAGTTACTCCTGGGTCAGCCTATATTCCCCATAGTATATGTGTCATTGTTCTATGTTTGTTCCAGATGTATGGTCAGCTGGGTGTGTGCTGGCTGAGTTACTCCTTGGTCAGCCTATATTCCCCATAGTATATGTGTCATTGTTCTATGTTTGTTCCAGATGTATGGTCAGCCGGGTGTGTGCTGGCTGAGTTACTCCTGGGTCAGCCTATATTCCCCATAGTATATGTGTCATTGTTCTATGTTTGTTCCAGATGTATGGTCAGCCGGGTGTGTGCTGGCTGAGTTACTCCTGGGTCAGCCTATATTCCCCATAGTATATGTGTCATTGTTCTATGTTTGTTCCAGATGTATGGTCAGCTGGGTGTGTGCTGGCTGAGTTACTCCTGGGTCAGCCTATATTCCCCGGGGACAGTGGAGTTGACCAGCTGGTTGAGATCATCAAAGTCTTAGGGACACCAACCAGAGAACAGATCAGGGAGATGAACCCCAACTACACTGAGTTCAAATTCCCACAGATCAAAGCACACCCATGGACTAAAGTATGGTTCAACTCTTAAAACTGATCTTTTGTAATGACATTATATTTTACAGTAGAGGGACTCTTGTTACATTGCAAGTGTATAATGTACTCTCTGTATAGAAATGACATTGAAATTTTGATTTATGTGATTGAAATGATGCTATAGACCTTGGGCATGTGCTAGATATCATGTATTCCAAGTCTATTAAAGTTTATTCATTGTGTATACATTCAATTTATCACGTGTAATATGTAATAACCTCGCTATACTTATTTTAGTAGGAAAATAAAGATAGATAAATGATGAATTCAATACTGCAGAATTGATCCAGTTTTTCTTTTCTTTATGAGACAATTGCAAAAATCAGATGTCTGAGTTTCCTTGGCCCCATTTAACTTGTTAATCTATTTCAGGTGTTCCGGCCTCGCACACCCCCTGAAGCAATAGGGCTAGTTAGCCGCCTCCTGGAGTACACCCCTGGGGCTAGGATTTCACCCCTTGAGGCATGTGCACATAATTTCTTCGATGAGCTTCGTGATCCAAACTCACGTCTCCCAAATGGCAGAGAGCTGCCACAACTCTTCAACTTCACACAACAAGGTAGAGACAACTTTCTCTCTCTATATATCTGCAAAAATGTGCACTTCTTTGAAAATTTTGAGCCTTGCCTAAATAAATAAAGAAGATTATTTGGATAAATAAAAGAAGTAAAAAAGGGACATTTTCATCCAAACAATTATATTTTACTTCACGTTTTGAACTGGACATAAATTGAATTCTAATGAATTGAATCTACTGTTATAATGTTTTATTGAGTTATAAGTTATTTCAAAATATTTACGTGTAGAACTGTTATCTCTGTGTGACTGAATAAGCTTTGCGTAAAATGGCACATGTATAGTGACTGACTTAGTTAACTGATTTTTTCCAGAGCTGGCAATTCAGCCGACCCTAAATTCAGTCTTGGTGCCATCACACGCACGTACACAGGATTCACGTTCCTCTCCTGCAGCTGCCGCGGCCTCCGACAATCCAGGACAATCTGAGTCAGGTGGAGCCACTGCCTCAGGCACGTCATAGCCATCTCACACTAGAATCATCTTTCCAATGATTATTACACGCACCCTCAATTGCACGTATCTGGATTGTAACACACGTCTGGATTATGGATTACATCTGGATTTTAGACGACATCTTGATTATACAACACATCTGACCAACAGGAATATTACTAAGTGCCAATATGTTTCATGTATTGAATACCGATGTACTATATACATTGTAATTGGATATCAATATATTAAAGTTGGATGTGTATTTCTGAATCTAGTACAACCATGAAGACTATGTACTATGATTGGATACTAGCACTACAATATACGGGCATATGGAGTACCACACAGTGTAAATACAGTGATATGTGACACTTACACTATGACAATAGGTGCATAATAGAGTAATATAGAGACACCAGGTGTTGTTTATGTGCTGATTGAGTGGAGTCATTGGATATAGGCCACTTGCTGAGAGCTGGTCACTGTTTGTAGGCCAAGCTCAATATTTGTCCACTTCAGTATGCCCCATGGGGGATTATAAAGTGCTACCTATGCACCTCTGTAAGGAGAGTTTAACTACAGGGTGATACATGTGTGCAGGTTGATACACAGGTGCAGTAGCCATGTGTGTGTAGGAAGATACATGAGAGCAGGTATTTACATGCATGCAGGAAACATCCATGGCTTTCTTTATGATAAGCAGAGTCACAGTCTGTTGTAAACAATGAAAGGTAGCACTGACTTTGTGGTACAGATATACATGTTCAGGGCCAGGTTTATTGCACCAGGTGGAGAAAGCTGGATTTACTGAGCTTTTAGGCTCACATGGCATCATAGTAGATGTATAGTGGAGAGGAAACATCAAATTTCTGTACATAGTATCTTTGCTTATATATTATTCACACAGTGATTTCCATACAAACCTGGATGAGGAAATTTTCAGAAACTTTTAATCTTCAAAAAATTTGAAATTTATATGCACATTGACCTCACTTCTGTGAAGTTTTGACATTTTAGAATGTTAACTAGTATATTAGGGGAACATCAGGTTGTATGTTTTCTTTCAAGACTCCTAACTACTGGCCAGGTTTGTATGGGGGTCACTGATCATTGTTGCACTATTTCAAATATTAGAAGTTTAGGATATCTGGTGAAAGTTACCTTCAAACACTTTCTCTGTGTAATGAGATAAAATTGAGGCAAATGATAAATTGAGGCAAAGCATGAATTGAGGTATGTCAATATTGGGAGAATTAATTTTAGTCCAGGTTCGATTTTAGTTCTACTGTTGTATCACACCTCTGTGCTTTAGATGAAGCTTTAATGAAAAACTATACATTGAAAGATGGCTTATTTTTCAAGAAATAACATGTAATTAAAGCAACTATGGTATGTTGTACTGTAGATGCTACACAAATTTTGAATTTGATTAGCAGATTCAGTGAAACAAATATTTTAATATACATCATCAAATGATGACAAGTCTTCTGGTTAATGGAATTATATCATCAAATTTGTTCTAGTGAACTTTATGAAAAATACAATTTATAGTTCTCTCAATATGTTACATGATGACTGTTACCTTGTGTATAGTGCACAAAAGGGCTTTAGAGCAATACAGAACATTTGCTCTGCTCGGCCCATTTTGGTATTTTAGGGAACACTAATATTGAAATAAATTTATTTAATGTAGTTTTGTTTCTGTGTATTCCAATCGGATCAGATCATATCAATATATGTGGTATAATTTAGAAAGTTGTCAGGTATTATTTATTTGGACTTTGTTACATTTGTATAACTATCTGCATGATTGTGTTCATTTGTGGAATTAATGCTTCCATTTTGTCACGTAACAATTTGGTAGATTAGGTCAGCTATCGATGAATGGTAAATTATATCATAAATTAATATAATACTAATATCTATGTACGCCTCGTATTAACATTCACCGCTAAAACAGTCCTACACTATAAGTTTTGTAAATTAATTTTAAATGTAAATATGATGTTATTTAGGGAGAATAATTCATGAAATTGCAACTTTTGAAATGATCTCAGATATTGAGATCTACTTTAAATGCTGCATAATGTAATTTACTACTGATCTACTGTCTGTTAATTCCATGTGAAAACCAGAGAACTGCATTGAGTTCTTAATATGATTTATTGTGATTGGTATTCGGCGTTAGGTTTTTCAGTCACATCTGTGACAAAGTGTTACACTTTCGTAACCAAAATTCTCATTACCTCTATTTATATTTAAAAATGTCCCAAATATATTGATTATACATGTACAGTAAAACCTGTATATCCGAACACCTCTCTACTCTGAATACCTCAATCTGAACACCTTTTTCAATCTCAAATTTTAATCTACCATGATAACTTCTATGTTAAAAAACATTGAAATGTGAACACCTGCCAATCGGAACATTTTCGGCCAGTTCCAGCAGCATTTAGATTTAAGGCCAATCAGAACATTTTCGTCCAGTTCCAGTGGCATTCAGATTTAAGACAGGTTTTACTTTGATGATTTTCTATATTATCAGCTGAGTGTATTATGATATTTAATTAAGTCAAAAGTTCATTCTCAACTTTGTGGTTAAATCATTTCTGGGTAAATCACTGATAGCCACTCATATCATTTTAACCACATTCCTTAAATGAGACACTCAATGTTGCATTTTTGGGATGATACAAATATTGAGAATTATTGTCACTTGTCTTTGTGCATTAAACTACATTAAACTAAATCAAGCTTAGCCAGGTATTTATGAAGTAAATTACAGCAACCACTACCTTTTGATGTACTACAGCAACCTTATGTCTTGCATCTGCTCCCTTTCCCTCCTCACCCCCAGGAAAGTTGGGATGGGGGAGCGGGGACCTTTTGCTTGGTAAAAATCTCAATATTAAATTTTCACAAATGATTTGATTTTTGATTCACATGTTTATTATGTACACACTGCATACCCTAATGTATTTCTATGGCTATTTGAAAACTCAAATTGTGTTCATTGTTGAAATTGGAAAAGAAAAAAGAAAATATATGACCTGTACTTGATGTAAAAACTTGCAACACATTGAGCTTTCTATTTCTCTAATTTTACAGGATAATCAGGATTGAGAAAGAACTTTCAAAAAGTAAATTGCAATTGCTATCTACATCTAAAAATCTTGATGAAGTTCTGAATTAGAATCTTATTTTTTCAATAAGTTAGCACATTTTCTTTTGTCATATTGCCTAAAGTTATAATAATTTAGAACACATAATGTACCTAGTCCTTGTAGATGATTCATATAATTTTGAGTTTCAAAATGTAAATATTAACATCATTTGCTTCTTATTTTAATTCTATCCTTATGTGATTGTATAATATATAACAAGCATATTATATATCACTGGTAGACATGGATAGGACTGTAGGACGTAGTCCTCTTCCTTATCCCTTTTTAGCAGTGATTTAGAATTATTATAAATTAACACTGTTACCATGGCAACCATGATTAGACCCTAAGTTATACTTATTTTGTTGTTCCCCCCAACATGAGATGAATTTGCAATGTGATTTTAGTTTTAGATTTGCATGTATGTTTGTTTGTATCATGTTGGTTGCCATAGTAATTGATGTGAATGTATTGTACATATAGAGTATTAGGAACCTACAGGTGGAATTTTAGTGAACTGTTGTCGTCATGTGCAACAGTGAACAAGGAGTCTTCTAAAGGGACCCCTTATCTACTTCATAACTCAATGTAACTCAAAACTAAGTTGTATTGCAGTAAAAATATTATAGTAATTGTGAATTTGTCTTTTGTTGATGATATTTGAAGTGCAGTTACTCAGATAGGACAGACGTCAGAAAACATTCACACATAGCTGGACAAGTGGACATAGTAAACCCTATTTAATTAGGTGAGGGGCATTGATTTTTAGTTTCTCATTTATAGTCTTGATACAAAACATACATGGTTTAAATCATCTATAAATCCTTGATATCATACAATGAAGACAAAAATTCAAATAATTATTTTTTACTTAAAATAATTTTATTCAAATCATATAAAATTCTTTGTCTAATTTTTAACCACACACTGTTTAATCCGAAGTGAAGACAGAAAATGCCTGGTTTTACCAGTAGATGGCACTGTCTTTACTATTTTTGGCTATTTCTGACTTAAGATCATAGAGTGGCACAGTACATGTTTTTTTTTTGGGGGGGGGAGGTTTAAAGTAACAAATACATTTTGAAACCTGCAATGGATATGGTTATAATACTGTAACCTTGATAAAATGACTTCAAGTTGAATACATCAAATATTTTAGGAGGAAGTAGACTATACCTCATAGTCCATATTACTACAGAGAAATATAATTATTTTTATTGATTTTGGATCCAATACTAATATAGACAGCACCTCTTTAAAAATCCATATACAAAAGTCATACATAGCGATAAGATTTCAATATTCCCAATACAAAGTAATATGTATATGTGATATATCTTTAATGCTACTTGTCAACCTATATAATTATAATTTAATTGATTAATTAATCATAAATACTAGTATTCCGTAATTCCGCGGCGTGGACGGAATTTGACAAAACTTCAATTTTTTGCAGAATCCCTGATTTTCATGAAAATCCCGCGGAATTACCAGAATTTCCAGAAATTACATATTTTACGATCTCCTACCTTTGCGGGGTATTTGGAGAGTGTCTGTTATGTCCAACAATCAATCATTATTGAGTACAAGTACGATTTCACCGTGAAATTCAACATTCTATCACGTTTAAATTCGCTAAAGCGAGTTCGCTAATGACGCGCAGTTCTTACCTAGAAAGTAGCTGACTTCCGTTTCCGTTTTTCATCGTTTTAAAAGATTGCAGAATTTGGACTTTTTTTAAAAATTTGTGCAGAATTTTGATTTTCTCCTTGCAGAATTTGCTTTTTTTCTTGCAGAATTTTTTGCAGAATTTTGATTTTTTTCATGCAGAAAACTAGTATCTGTGATTAATAATTGAATTACTTTATCAATATTGAATTTATTGCTTTTCATTGCACATAATTTCTTCAATCATTTGATAAAATACAATATTTTTTACAGGTACGATGGGTACCCTTTCAAATAATAATAATAATTATTCCAATAATTGTATAAGTATTTAACTCAATTCATTGAGTTTACTCTACTCAATTCAACAAATTTACTCTACTCAATTCAATGAGTTTATTCAACTCATTCCAATGATCTGGCCTATAGAATTTGGACCCACCTCTGTAAATGGAACACCTCCCAAGTGGAACACTTTTTGAGGTACCAAAGGTGTTCCAATTGCACTGGTTTTACTGTATTTTAACACCATCAATCATACAATCACTGTACATTAACACTACTACAATTACATACACATATAATTTGGCCTCATTGGTTTTCAACTTATAATAAAATAAAATGTCTTAATAATTTGAAAGTAATATGATAAAATACAATATACATGTATAAGACATTATAAGTATGTTTACAAAATGCAGAATAAAATATGAAAAATTTATGATTATAAGAAAAAATGATACACACATCATAAAAATGAATGTTTTCTGTATATACTACTTCTCTACTTTTCTGTATATACTATTTCTACAAATATTTGAGGTTAAAATACACCTAACTGCAAAATGGTTCATTCTGAGATACCCTCCCATAATCTCAATAAGACACTTAATTGGTCATATTCTCTGATATGAGGCTATGCTGAAGACCATGTAGCATGTACACAAATCATAGTCTCTTAGATCATCATACCAAAATAAAAAAAAGTTCAGTATACGGAAGTCCAGTGTACGACAGTAGTTTACTTGGATCATGCTAGTTATTTGCAGGATAAGTAAATAGTCCTCCTTGACTCAAGACACGGGATCTCCATATCATATTGCGATAATCAAAGCTGCATCTCGCATTAATTTGAGATAAATTCCATTTGGTTCCATTAGTTGCCTGTGTCACCTGAGAGTTTCAGCAAGGATTAAGAGTCCTACGCTAAACAGAACATAAAGTCCTCCAGGTATAGTCCTGTACATATTTATGGATCCACCTACACTTAACAGAAAATAATCAAAAAAAGATAAAACAAATGCATTAGATTTAAGTAACATAAGTGAAGGAATATTTGTAATAGTGATATGCAAAACAGTTCAAGTATTAACCATACAAGGGACAATCAAAATATTTTGCAAAGTGACTATTTGGAATCATGTCATGAGACTTGGCACAAATTTAGTACATTTAAAATAATTTAAATTCAAACATAAACAGTTTAACATGCCATCCAATGTTGAGTCAGGCTGGACAAACCTTTTTTTTTTGGGGGGGGGGTGTACTCAATAAAACAAACTTTTGAGGGGATGTACATCTTGTATAAAACAAATTTTTTAAGGGAGAATATGGATGAACAAGAGAAAAGCAGATAAACTTGATATAAGAGCAAATCTTGAAATCTGACGTACCTGGTACATCCTTGGTCTCCCAGTGCATTGCTTTTCCAACTGCTTTCTTCCATTGTGCAAACCTTGCGTCACGGCCTAATAATAAAACAAATGCATAAACTAGACGGCTTTGAGTTTGGTATTACAGAAATCTAGTTATAAAATCCTGTTTATGTGAATATTTCTTCAATGGTTGTAAAACTGATTAAAAACAAATTTTTGAATATTATCTGAGTGCTTGAATTTGTAAAATGCAGATTCACAAGAAACCAATGTTATCAATCTCCCCATCCTTACACAATTACATCTTTTGTGGAAAGTAACCTACTAATGGAACCCTTGTCAATGTATTTAGCAGTTATGTCCCTATCATTGAATATATGCCTAAGGTCTGTCACCAATATAGCCCGAGCTTGCGAGGGTTATATTACGACAGACTGAAGGCATATATTCAATGATACGGACATAACTGTTGTATTACATACTTTTATATCATGGCTACGTTATATCAATGACGCCACGTGTCTGTGTGCGAGTGAAATTAGGAAGAAATGAAACATGACGTCCCGTTTGGCGGCTATACAGGAATATATAGCCGACCTTCAGCTCCATTGACTTCAATACAAATGCTTCGCTGGGTATGTAATACTGTATATTATGTTGTTTCGATAAAGGAACCACAAAAACTGAAAATTATTTATAATACCATCATCAGTGATGCTAGGACTAAATGTGTCAGTTGTGATTTTTGTTAAATCTTCAGATTTGAGACTCCAGACTGCAACACCTTCAGCATTTCCAGCCGCCATAGCTGCCCCAAGAGCTGTCGTCTCTGGCATAGAGGGCCTCACTGAAATTATAATATTTTTGTTAGATCTTCAGATTTGAGACTCCAGACTGCAACACCTTCAGCATTTCCAGCTGCCATGGCTGCCCCAAGAGCTGTCGTCTCTGGCATAGAGGGCCTCACTGAAATTATAATATTTTTGTTAGATCTTCAGATTTGAGACTCCAGACTGCAACACCTTCAGCATTTCCAGCTGCCATTGCTGCCCCAAGAGCTGTCGTCTCTGGCATAGAGGGCCTCACTGAAATTATAATATTTTTGTTAGATCTTCAGATTTGAGACTCCAGACTGCAACACCTTCAGCAGTTCCAGCTGCCATAGCTGCCCCAATAGCTGTCGTCTCTGGCATAGAATGCCTCACTGAAATTATAATATTTTTGTTAGATCTTCAGATTTGAGACTCCAGACTGCAACACCTTCAGCATTTCCAGCTGCCATTGCTGCCCCAAGAGCTGTCGTCTCTGGCATAGAAGGCCTCACTGAAATTATAATATTTTTGTTAGATCTTCAGATTTGAGGCTCCAGACTGCAACACCTTCAGCATTTCCAGCTGCCATAGCTGCACCAAGAGCTGTCGTCTCTGGCATAGAAGGCCTCACTGAAATTATAATATTTTTGTTAGATCTTCAGATTTGAGACTCCAGACTGAAACACCTTCAGCATTTCCAGCTGCCATAGCTGTACCAAGAGCTGTCGTCTCTGGCATAGAAGGCCTCACTGAAATTATAATATTTTTGTTAGATCTTCAGATTTGAGACTCCAGACTGCAACACCTTCAGCATTTCCAGCTGCCATGGCTGCCCCAAGAGCTGTCGTCTCTGGCATAGAGGGCCTCACTGAAATTATAATATTTTTGTTAGATCTTCAGATTTGAGACTCCAGACTGCAACACCTTCAGCATTTCCAGCTGCCATGGCTGCCCCAAGAGCTGTCGTCTCTGGCATAGAGGGCCTCACTGAAATTATAATATTTTTGTTAGATCTTCAGATTTGAGACTCCAGACTGCAACACCTTCAGCATTTCCAGCTGCCATGGCTGCCCCAAGAGCTGTCGTCTCTGGCATAGAGGGCCTCACTGAAATTATAATATTTTTGTTAGATCTTCAGATTTGAGACTCCAGACTGCAACACCTTCAGCATTTCCAGCTGCCATGGCTGCCCCAAGAGCTGTCGTCTCTGGCATAGAGGGCCTCACTGAAATTATAATATTTTTGTTAGATCTTCAGATTTGAGACTCCAGACTGCAACACCTTCAGCATTTCCAGCTGCCATGGCTGCCCCAAGAGCTGTCGTCTCTGGCATAGAGGGCCTCACTGAAATTATAATATTTTTGTTAGATCTTCAGATTTGAGACTCCAGACTGCAACACCTTCAGCATTTCCAGCTGCCATGGCTGCCCCAAGAGCTGTCGTCTCTGGCATAGAGGGCCTCACTGAAATTATAATATTTTTGTTAGATCTTCAGATTTGAGACTCCAGACTGCAACACCTTCAGCATTTCCAGCTGCCATGGCTGCCCCAAGAGCTGTCGTCTCTGGCATAGAGGGCCTCACTGAAATTATAATATTTTTGTTAGATCTTCAGATTTGAGACTCCAGACTGCAACACCTTCAGCATTTCCAGCTGCCATAGCTGCACCAAGAGCTGTCGTCTCTGGCATAGAAGGCCTCACTGAAATTATAATATTTTTGTTAGATCTTCAGATTTGAGACTCCAGACTGCAACACCTTCAGCATTTCCAGCTGCCATAGCTGCACCAAGAGCTGTCGTCTCTGGCATAGAGGGCCTCACTGAAATTATAACATTGTTATAACACTGTTTAAAACCAATAAGTCATCTGATATAGTCAAAGGGCTTTGTTGCTGGTGGATACAGATTCAGAATGGCATGTACAATTGAGCTTCATCAAAATACTACTCACCAACTGGTATCCCTGCCAGATCAGCTTGTAATTGCATCAAGAGTGTATTCTCTGTCATCCCTCCATCCACCTGAATGGAAGATATTGGAATGCCACTGTCCTGGTTCATAGCATCTAACAGCTGAAATACAATGAAATACATTGCAATATATGTTCATGTAGCCTACATGTAATTACATCAACAATGCATTCTCTGTCATCCCTCCATCCACCTGAATGGAAGATATTGGAATGCCACTGTCCTGGTTCATAGCATCTAGCAGCTGAATCACAATGAAATACATTGGAATATATGTTCATGTAGCATACATGTGTAGAAGTGCGCATTAAGCCGAAATGAAGGTCTACAGTATTTGCCTAGAAGTTCACGTTGACAAGACTGAAGTTCACATATATTATTGAATAAACTAATCTTTTTTGAGGAAGATATACTTTAAATAAAAACTTGGAAGACAGTAGGCATATTCCTGAAATTTTGAAAACAGGATGTATATTCCTGAAAACATGAAGATATTTCAGGCTGTTAAGATGATATATTTCAGGCTGTGAAGATGATATTTCAGGCTGTGAAGATATTTCAGGCTGTGCATCAGACTGACTTACCTCTCTGGATTGAAAGCAGACTGCTTCAAGACATGCTCTGGCAATGTGAGCTTTGTTAGTGAACTGTGTTAAACCACATATTGTCCTGAAAATCAAATCAAAGAGTCAGTGTTGGCAAACATACATATATGGTCAAACATAGTGAACAAATCTGCCATATATATGTAAATCATTAACTGATAAATATGGTACATGTATTTCTCTTGTTTGCTGGATATGTAATAGTGTACACATAGGATAAGACATTTTATAATCATGAAACACATTTTCAACACATACAAAGTATGCACCCATACATACCCTCTTGCATCAGGTTGCCAGTAGGGACAGAAAAGACCTGAGAATGCTGGTACAAAGTAACAGCCATGGGGGCTCTCCACAGTACTGGCTAGTTTCTCTATAAATACAAAACACCAAATCTTTATAATAACAAAGTAACAGCCATGGGGGCTCTCCACAGTACTGGCAAGTTTCTCTATAAATACAAAACACCAAATCTTTATAAAACAAAGTAACAGCCATGGGGGCTCTCCACAGTACTGGCTAGTTTCTCTATAAGTACAAAACATCAAATCTTTATAATAACAAAGTAACAGCCATAGGGGCTCTCCACAGTACTGGCTAGCTTCTCTATAAATACAAAACACCAAATCTTAATATAACAAAGTAACAGCCATGGGGGCTCTCCACAGTACTGGCAAGTTTCTCTATAAATACAAAACACCAAATCTTTATAAAACAAAGTAACAGCCATGGGGGCTCTCCACAGTACTGGCTAGTTTCTCTATAAATACAAAACACCAAATCTTAATATAACAAAGTAACAGCCATGGGGGCTCTCCACAGTACTGGCTAGTTTCTCTACAAATACAAAAAAACACCAAATCTTAATATAACAAAGTAACAGCCATGGGGGCTCTCCACAGTACTGGCAAGTTTCTCTACAAATACAAAAAAACACCAAATCTTAATATAACAAAGTAACAGCCATGGGGGCTCTCCACAGTACTGGCTAGTTTCTCTATAAATACAAAACACCAAATCTTAATATAACAAAGTAACAGCCATGGGGACTCTCCAAAGTACTGTCTAGCTTTTCTACAAATACACATCGTACACATTTATAATCCACTCAAGAAAAAAATATGCTCATTGACATAGTTGGCATAAGTACCAGTTTCACCACCAAGTAGTGGTGTCAATTAACTGCTTGAGCATTAACCGGTTAACCGGGTGTTTTTACCGGTTAAAGTCGGTTAACCGGCGGGAAATTTGAACTGATAATTTCAGATGAAATCTTCATCTTCGATCTTGAAAGTTGAACAAATTGCAAAAATGATATATCGGCGTTTATTTTTTACGTTCGTCAAGCTTTACTCTATTCTCTTCATACACTACCCGACTACCTCTAAATTACTTACCACACTGGTTTACCCTTGGAATCTCCACGAACGCATCATAACAACGAGAATTGCAGCTGATTAGTGTTTATTTTAATTTTAATTGTCTCACTACCAAAGCGAGGCTTTGACCTTTGACATTTTGGCGACGTTGATAGACAACAATAATCACAAAACTGACGAATTAAAAAATGCATTTATTTATTAAATTGTTTTGCAAGATGTAAAATTAAAGGAATTATCTGGCCTATGAGTTGATTACACATGGCTGACACTTGAAAAACAAACAGATTAAGATGCAAAGTAAGCGCGGGAAAGCAATGTGGCAGGGATTTAAAGTTGCTGATTGGATGTTTGTAAGGAGTTATCGAACCTATCACATGTATGAGTAGCTCACATGAAACTGACGCTTGAAAAACAAACAGATTAACATGCAAAGTTAGCGCGGGAAAGCAATGTGACATGGATTAAAGTTGCTGATTGGATGTTTGTTAGGAGTTATAGGACTTATGACATGTATGAGTAGCTTACGTGAAACTGACACTTTAAAACCAAACAGATTAGCATGCAATATAAGCGCGGGAAATAACAGTATTATACACGGTCAACTAACCACCCATAAAAACACAGACCGGTCAAGGCATTATCGGCGGTTAACCGGTTAATACTTGACACCTCTACCACCAAGTGGCTGACTCATCAAATAACATGGTATAGATGTACATCCAAACAACCAAACAGATTACTCACCTATATCAGAAGATTTCTCTATAATGCCAAGGTTGTCTCTCAACCATCGAACAGCTGCCCCTGCAATAGCCACAGACCCCTAGGAAGGAAGAATAAACATGGTAGATTGGCAGCATTTCTTTTTCACAAAAAAAGTTAGTATGGGTGAAAATTTAACATGCTGGTTTTAAGTCCCCTTTATGTTCATACTGAAGATGTCATGCAATGTACATGTAATCTACAAGGACTCAGGTAGGAATTCAAGTATATTGTACATGTACATACAAAAGTGGAACAATTTGTTGTAGACACCAAATGCCTATTGCCGACCACCAAACTTTCTTATACGTTAGCTTATCAAGATTTTGGTTGCCAAAAAATAATGGGTAGAACAATATGCCACCACATCACTTCTTGGTAAAAATGGGATACATTCAGAATCTAACTGGTTTTCAAGATCAATATCTTCGTACTACAAGGATTCATTAGAGACTTCACATTGCATGGTGTCTACAATATACAGCAGTAGATGATTAGAAAACCTCTAAATATAGTCTACAAGCACTTACTTCTAAAGCATAGCAGACTGGAGCATCTTTGCCCAGTTTATAAGCAACAGTGGTAAGTAGGCCATGCTCAGACATGACTGCCTCAGAGCCTGTGTTGTAGAGCATAAAGCAACCTGTACCATATGTGTTCTTCACCTGACCTCTTTTAAAGCATGCCTGACCCACAAGAGCTGCCTGCTGGTCTCCTAGAATCTGCAATGATTAATATGATGGTCATGAAACTGAATGATTGTCATAAAACTGAACCTGTAATGAATATTGTATTTTCATGTATGTTGTAACTAAATCACATTTTCTATACTTTTTGATGTTTTCTCATTTAATTATGAACAATGAACATTTATCTGATTATTATTATTATATTATGTGCATGATATCACTGATTTTACAATGAGACTACAATACAAATCCCTTGGTTAATGAAAACACAGAATGATATTCTGCGCTGACGTGAAAAAGTCAGTCCACCCTAGTGGAGATCGAACCCACGACCCCTCACTTTCCAGACAAGTGCTGAGCTATGGGACCACTGAGCTATGAGATTGACTGACAACTTACTCCAGATATGGGAAGCCCTTTCAATGGACCCTCAGAGAGACAACCGTAGATCTCAGAAGAGCTTCTAATCTCAGGTAGTATTGACATGGGGACATCAAAGAATCTATAAAATACTAATGCAATTACAAAGCTGGAATAGAAGCAGCTTTCAGTGTTATTCACATACTGGTCAATTCTTATTTATGATATGTGATTTTCACCATTTTTTCATTAAGAGGTGTGATTCATTAGATTCATCTTCCAACTACCAGATTCCAACTTTTACATCAAAGGTTAATGTAGATTTGTTGATTTCATGATAAAAATGATAATATTTAACTCAAGCAGTAAAAATCGTTTATAATAAATTTCAGCCTTTAGATGATTATCTTGAATTTACAAAGCATGAATCAAAAAGAAAATACATTACAAGGAATGTATGTGCAACCCCTGAGGATCTGACGCCAAAAATTAGGAATTACAGGTTGATTGATACATTTTATCTACATGCTACTGACATTTTAAATATTCATTTCCATTACAGTACTTTGATTTCAAATGAAAACCTGGTTTGTTCACTAAAAATTTCAGGCAGACTTTATTTTTGGCATTATTATTGTGCTGACTAACTTGCAAAGATCTGAATCCCACTTTAGAGAATGTACATTCATGAGCATGGTGCGACTAGCATTTGTTACATCTGTAATGTATACACCTCCATTCAGACCTCCTGTCATATTCTGAAAAAATCAAACCTAATTTTGATAAATACATTTGGTATGGTACATTTGTATTTGGTATGGAGAGGTACATTTATATTTGGTATGGTGAGATACATTTACATTTGGTATGGTGAGGTACATTTGTATTTGGTATGGTGAGGTACATTTGTATTTGGTATGGTGAGGTACATTTACATTTGGTATGGTAAGGTACATTTTGTACGGTAAGGTACATTTACATTTTGTATGTTAAGGTACATTTACATTTGCTATGGTGAGTACATTTACATTTTGTATGGTAAGGTACATTTACATTTATTATGGTATGGTACATTTACATTTTGTATGGTAAGGTACATTTACATTTGGGATGGTAAGGTACATTTACATTTTGTATGGTAAGGTACATTTACATTATGTATAGTAAGGTACATTTACATTTGGTACGGTAAGGTACATTTACATTTTTCATTTGCTTATCTTCAAAACAAGCCTAGACATTTTTATTAGGTGATACATTTCACCACTTCATGTCTGTGTTTCCTGTTCTGATTCATATAAGTAGAGCTCAAAATGGACACTTTAGCACACTGAATATTTAAGCTAGATCATAGCACCTATTTCTTGAGCTCTCAAATGAAATGTTATAAATAAGCAGTTTGGCTGTAGTTTCAGTGCTATTGGGTCTTAAAGCATTTAAGTAACTTACCCACAATAGCCAGGTGTCAACTGTTCCAAACATGAGGCGACCATCTTGCAATGCTGTCTGTACAGCTGTTTCATTGTCAAGTAACCAACGCAACTTCACAGCACTGAAGTAAGTGGAAATAGGCAGACCACATTTAGGCTGAAAGTACATTATCTTGAGCTTATGGGTACACTACCATCTAACTACGAAAGATCAGTTTTGCCTCCCACCCAGCCATTGGAATTGGAATTTAAGTGTAATAACAACGTAATATGATGGTATACGTATATAAAAGTGCCACGCCCACTTATGAAATTATTTCCAACTCTTTAACAAGGCTTCACCTGCAGAACTTGCTAATATTCATGTAGACATATTGAAGTTCTACAAATAATATAGATATAAGAATTTGGCCAAAATATTACTTAGTTTAGATATTTTGCAACTGATTTGGTTCTTTTAAAATACATGTATGCCAATTTCAAAGGTTTATTAATATGGGTTTGTTTTACACTCTCTCATGAACTTACTTGCAAGTGTTCCTTGGTCTGTTTAGGGGTTTTACTAACTAGAGAGTCCACTGTAGTTGCAGTTCTCCCATCTAACCAAACTGAAACATAGTATGTAATGTCAGAATATATATACTAGCATCTAAGCACAAATGTCCATGTCTATACTAATCCCACAATATGCAAAATTACTATGACGAAAGGCTCATCATCTAATATTATAGCACTGCAATGTTGCAATCTACATACCTATTGCATTGTAAAGTGGTTCTCCTGTAATCTAATATAGCACTGCAATGTTGCAATCTACATACCTATTGCATTGTAAAGTGGTTCTCCTGTAATCTAATATAGCACTGCAATGTTGCAATCTACATACCTATTGCATTGTAAAGTGGTTCTCCTGTAATCTTGTCCCATACAATGGTTGTCTCTCTTTGGTTTGTGATACCTATAGCTATAGTAAAAAAAATCAAAAATATGGGAATTATTCAAATATAAATACCAATAAAAAATTAAACTTGGGCCATTTATGTTCAGTGATCATCAATGGAGACTTGCAGATTAAACTTCACCTGAATGCCATATAATGGAAACAAGACACACAGTGATATAAATCACACTTGAACAGCAACATGGCCACTTTATAAATTACCCAGATATGACAAAGATCTCAAGCTTGGTTTTGCATGTATAAGAATTTTAAGTTAAATAGTTTTTCTACCTTGGATGACATTTCTTGGCACAAACACACCCACCCATCAGCTCAAGATGATGGAAGTATAGCATTTTTCAAGGGCCATAGTAAAAAGCAATTCCTTTTTGTTAATCCCTACCTTTAATGTTTGATGATGCAATGCCTAAAGCCTTCAGATTCTGCACAGCTTTATCAATACAAACATACACTGAGGACAGTATCTCTTTGGGATCTTCTTCACACCAGCTGTAATAAACAATTCCAATACTTGTATTAAATACATTCTACATCTCATAATAAACAAATCACATATCAAATGGACATTTAATATTTTTGAACATTTTCATTGAATTTGTACACAATTCTGCACATTTTCAGCAATTCTGATTGAATCTATTCATTAATTTAACATAGTACATGTATTGCAATTATAAAATTTAAGGCAAATATTTTAATTTCCAAAAACTTTTTTAAGTGTTGGAGCAATCAAAACAACCCTTGCCATTGATGAACCCTGCCTTTGCTCAAAAACAATATTATGAGGTATTGAAATTAGCCTACCCTTCTTTTGGGAACTTCTGGCTTATCTCAGTCTGATGGTAGGTAATTAACTCAGCAGTCTTGCTAGAAAATATCTGAAAATATGAAAAGCATCCAGTCAACAATATAGAGAGATCTCCATGAGGCAATATTTTGAGGTTATGTCACTATGACAAGACATATGCCTGAGTTCTCCCAATATAGACCGACCTTGGGAGGCTCTATGTTTGGGCAAAAAAGAAGGCACATTTCACGTCATCATGACATAACTGATATATCACATACCTTTATTCCCATAGCTACTTTGTATCAATGAAGTCACTTAACTGTGTGTGAGTAGAATTTGATCGATCGATTGATGACAAAATGGAACATGATATTAAAGAATCTAATATTAAAACGAGGTACTGCAAGTGGGCAATATCGGGTAATCAGGCAATATTTAGAGGTTATGTCACTATGACGTGAAATATGCCTGAGTTCTCCCAATATAGGCCGACCTTGGGAGGCTCTATATTTGGGCAAGAACGAAGGCATATTTCACGTCATAGTGACATAACTGATGTATTACATGCCTTTGTTCCCATGGTTACTTTGTATCAATGACGTGACGTCATTATATTATCATGGTTATTAAAGAAATCTAATATCAAAACGAGGTAAGCGGGCTATATCGGGGTAATCGGGCAATATCGGTGGATATAGCTCGCTAACTTTCCCATTGACTTCCATACAAATGCTTCGCTAGGTATGTAATACTGTTGGATATAGCCCACTAACTTTCCCATTGACTTCCATACAAATGCTTCACTATTGCAAGGGGGCAATATCGGGTAATCAGGCACGGAGGTGGACTGACTTTTTCACATCAGCACTTAGCACAGGATTTCATTCTGTGTTTTCATAACTATAATTGTCCGACAATTAGCCTCCCTGTCCACTTGCATTGCAGGGACAGCATACATGTGCCCGAAAGAAAAGAATAGTGGGACCACCTGTAAAAACCTACTACTACTACTACTACTACTACTACTATTATGTCTTGGTTACCGCCATATTTGGCGAGCAATACTGTACCTCATTGGTATATTCTGTGTTTACGTATTTCACATTCGAATATTGAGCCAGAAACCCTTCCTAGGAGCCCTGTGTTCTTATGTGTGCATAGGTACACAGACATACAAGTACATACAACAGCCTTTTATACGAGTCGTGGACCACTCAGTCAAACACCCAGAATTACATAACACACAATCAAACTTGCCTGGACCGGGAAACGAACCTGAGGCCAAGCGATAGTGTTAACCTTGACTCTGCCACTGAGCCATAGTGGGTGGACTGAATGAAACCTATGTTTCCTCCTCTGAGAAAAAGAGATTGTTTACTCAGTTTCACTAAAGGACTGTTATAATTTCCAGAAAATGAGAAAGAAAAAATTATCAAAGAAAATCCAAAGCAAAAAATGTAGACTAATCTATTTTTGCTTTTCAAGGGATCAAATTATCAGTTCATCACTAAAATGCAACCAAACAATGCCTGTATATTTAAGTAACGTATATGTGAAGAAGCAATGTATACTTACCAGAACTCGCGTGCTACTGGTACCTTGATCAACTGCAACAATCAACGACTCAAACTTTGGATCAGCCATTTTCAAGGTCATTTGACCGGAAGTAATACTTCGCGGGAAATTCAAATATTTTGTTTCAATCATTTGCCGAACAGCAAACAAGAACAATTTAACTGTTACGTATACGCATCGTGGACCTACAGGTAGGTCTCATCCAGTTCCACGATTATGTATTATTTGTCCTGGCATCGATAAAGATAGGTCAACATCTTTATTTCACTTTGACGGTGTGATTTCGTTTACTCATTTAGTTTACATTGTATCGCCATCTTGAAAAACAGTAAAAATATTTGCAAATATATTTCAAATGTTTTGACAATATTTCAATTCCACGATGTTCACTTATGTATGAGAACGTAACATTTTACTAAGCAATAATATGAAGAAATGTTTGACGTATATCTTCCAGAGTTAGTTATCAAGTCAATCTACGAACTTGCACCAAATTTAGCACTCAGAATTTCTGTTCATGGCGGTGACGAAGCGGCAAAAGTTGAAACAACTTATAATGTTCACAAGTTGGCTGATGGTTCTGCATCTCTTCAAATAACTGGACAGGAACAATCGACAGGTAGGGCTTGCATCACCCCATTTCTACCATTTTATCAAGACCCCATTCTTACTCGAAACACTTCAAGGGTCGCTTGAAATTCAAAATATCCACACATCCGTGGCATCCACGGACATTTACTGAACACAGCTGGCTCAAAAGCCAGCTGACACACTGTTAGAATATACCGGCTTGTGAAGCGTTTTTCCCCAACTTCCAGCTGGTGCGCTGGCAAAAGTAACGGTATTTAGGAAGATAATTGAATATTACTTGCCCTTTTTTTGACGTGTGGTGTCAACAAGTCCTATTTGTTGTGTAATTTGCAGTTAAATTGGAGAAATTTCTGTTCCGGCGCGCACCATTTTTTAATTTTTAGCGCATGTGCTCAATTTATTCTCTTCATTGCAATGCCAACGGAACTTCGGTAGAGTAAACGGACATCTAAGCTTAATACGTTCTTCGAACGGGAATGATATCAATATTCAATAACATTGAATTTGAAATCCCAATCTTCTTTCGCCAGAACATTCTCTCTGACTGTGGTGGCATCGTCACATGTAGGCCTACAGCACTCCCTCCCTTGTAGTTATTATTATTTTACAACATACCATAGATCCTGGCCAGATTCTTTTGTAAGTAGGATCAGTAGCTCAATAAATATTCCTCATCCAGTTTCATACTTCGATCACAGGGTACCTACTGTATGTTGATAACAGTGAGATACAGACTCCAAATCATGATGATGTCATATATGAAAACACTCTTGATAATGCCCGGCCGGAATATAATTCTTGTATTTTTTGAAAATGATAACATTATCTTTGAGTCAGTCACCTATTGCCCATCAACAACTAAACAAACAAATTATCTGAACGTCACATAGTGACATATCACTGTTGACCTCTTTCATGTATATTTGGAATATAGATTTGGAGTATTATGTGATTGCCATTATCTAGTTGTCCTTTATGTAATTTCAGGAACACAAACTGACTTTACTGAAACTCATAAGAGAAAGTATGACTCGGATGACATATTCGCTGTTCCAGAATTTCAAGGTATGTTAGTCAGTAAGTGTAAATTTAAAGCCTGCCCAGTGGTCATTGTTGCTGTCTGTTCCTTCTATTGGAAAACAAAAGGTTTTGTCCACTGAGAATTTTTATACAGAAGGAGCATTGTCCATCAATACAACTCAGGTCCTTAATAAATACATAATCTGATTGTTATATTCTTGTAGTTAAAAAGGGTCGTGGGAGACCTCGGAAAGAGGCACAGACATCTGAAAGTAACAATCAAGATAAAGGTATGTAAACAAATTTTTAAATGCATTTGAAAACTGTGAACTGTGCATCTTAGATTACATGTACTTCCATATTTGATAATATATATCAGTGATCTCCCCAGGATCTTTTCTCAAGTGGGTGCAAAATTCTCATTTTTACAATTCACACTCAAAATGGTCAAAATATGCCTATTTTTCATGATTTTTCTCATTTTCAAGTGGGTGCAAATGGATTTTCAGGTGGGTGCAAGCCTGTTTTTAAAATCTCAGGTGGCTGCTGCACCCACTTGCTTTAATGCTGGGGAGATCCCTGTATATTAATAAGATGTTGGATGTTTCTATAGTATATGATATATTGGAATATCAAGAAAAACTGGCATCAAAGGTCAACCACCCTGTTATAGATTTGAAAAGTACAAATGTTCATGCCCCCACTTCAAACTATGTTTTCAACCTGCCAAAAGTGTGAGGTATTTTGACCAAAACAGGTTGAATTGGGATAAAGCACGCAGTAGTATTATCCGTTGTCGAGCATCCTTGGTAGATCGGTAGATCGGTAGATCGATTGTATAACATGGAATCAGATAAGATAACAAGTAACATTTTTAGCTAAGATAACGTGGAATCAGATAAGATAACTTTTTTTTATTTAGCAGTGGAATCAGATAAGATGAGACCCGGGGATTCAGATAAGTAACTTTTTATACCGATGAGTAATGTTTTAATCTAGCAGTGGATTCAAATTAAATTACGACCTTGGATTCAGATAAAGCTAGAGGTTAAATGAGTCCCTTCTAAATGGTTTTAGCCTCCCGAACCAACCCGTGCAAGATCTAGATTCGGATAAGATAAAGATAAGATAATATGGGTAAGAGGCTAAATGAATGTAAGGGCTACCCAAGAGGGGGCAGTGAGGACGCTTTTGTCACATTTAAAATTTACTTGCCATATTTTCTCAGATTCATTTCTTTTTAGTGAGTCAAAGCATTTAATGCAACAAATGCTCCGTTATGTTCCATCGTTTGATTACTGGTTGGAATAAGCATCCAATTACATTCGGAACGAATTATCTATTTTTGCCACTTTCAAAACACTTGTCAGTCGGATAAATATACAAAATTGTCACTTGCAAGGATTTATTTGTCACATTTGTTCGTTTTTGAAATACCTTAGTCACATTTTCGAGGTCCGGTCGCCTTGTCACATAACCCTTGGGGAGCCCCAATATGTCACCTACTCCTTTCTGAATAGATAGCCTCCTCGGGATTCAGATAAGATAAACACCGCCCGTGTTATTGATAACAAAGTACACGAACTTACATAATCTAGCGCTATAAGAGGAAGGGGTATGGGTCAAGATTTTCAAGGAAAAAGAACACTTCAAATATTTGGTAAGTACACAACAAAATCTTTATAGCATTGTGTATATTTATTACCTGTATTTTATATTATAATATTATAATTCACGCTGAAGGATCGTAGTGGACACTTATCATAGTCCGGTAAATTTCCATCAGAACAGGTTCATGGTGTACCGTTTCGCACTTTGTTGAGATGCAACTGTTATTTTATCCTGTATGTCTAGTTTCTAATCCAATTAGCTCGTACCTGGAAAACGAATTAGATGGTTAGTTGGAGTAAAAAGGTGTCGTGGTGCATTTCGGAAAACATGCTACAATGCAAAACCACTTAAAAAATAGTTTACTTATGAATAAGGATATCTTGTGTTTAGCAAAGTAGACACCTGTCCTACTAGACAAGGTTGTGTAAAGGCATTGATGAATAAATTAATGAGCTATCTAACATATAATCGTTTGGAAAATATGACAAAGCTCCACTGGGTTTGAAATGCAAATTTGTCTTCAAATACCAGCCTGAAAATATTTTTCACTTAAATTAGGAGACTAAAAAATCAAATTGCGTAAGTGCGCTTACATAGGAAATCACATTGACTCTCAAAAACATCAGAAATTAGAGGACCAAAAATTTTTAACAACTCAATTAAGATCCAAGAAATGTATTACGGGTCTGGATTAAGCGATTGAAAATGAGTGTGAAGGGTTTTAGGGGTGGACATGCCAGTCTCCAAAAACCACGTACCACCTTAACTTAGTTGTTTATCTTACATTGAATATAATTAAAACTCACCAAAGAAATGTTGTCCTTCTTTGTTAGATTTCTGTTTAAAATTCACTTGTTCCAGCAGCACGATTTCTGAAGCATATGTTTTAGCACGTGTTTCAGTCCTCATGCTAAAATTACAAGAAGCTAAGCGTATTTCCTATGGTTTACGCAATGTAGCACTGTAATTCAAAGAGTGTATCCTTCAGAATACAAAGAGGTAACTATTACTCAGTTAAATGTGCTTCCATATGGTTAACTTCCATGGCTGATTGTGCTATATCTAGTATATTGAGGCATGTTCCTTGTCACTGTCCGCTATTGTATGATTGTATCGAGAAGTGAAGGATGCGACACGTTTGAAACCTGATAATATGTAGGAGTTGATGATACTGACCAAAGGTGGTTATAGGTAGAGACACACGTGATACTTATCAACCAATTACACTTTAAATGAAATTGACTCGCCACTGATATAGCGGTCGGTACTTATGTGATAGCAGATAACCATATGTTTATTTCACATCGTATAACAATTGAATAGAAATTATTTAAAGTAGCAACAAAAGTTATGTTTCAAAAGCATGCCAGTGTTCCCTAAACTTTAAATTGAAACGATGTAGGTCATTGAAGGTTTGAGTCTCAATCAACATTAAAGTTGAAAGTAACCTTTTTAGAGTCACTGCCAAATAACGAGCTTCATAATCAAGTAAGAGTTATAGTAGCATCGTAACAGTCTCATCTCATCTTTGCGATCCCTTTAATTGTAATTCTAATAAGGATTGTTGTCTTATGTAGAGGCAGGATACAGGATGACACAAAAGCGTTAAAGGGGAGGGGGGACTTGGAATACATGTCTTTATTTTTTGTAAATCTTGTTCACTGCTGTTCACGAGTATTGTTCATAAATGTTGACATGTATTCATTAGCATTGTTCACAAATGTTTACAGATGTTCACTAGTGTGGTTTGCCAATGTTCCCAAATGTTCAATAGCATTGTTTACATATGTTCATTAGCATTGTTCTCAGATGTTCACTAGTGTGGTCACAAATGTTCACTAGTGTGTTTTGCCATTGTTCCCAAATGTTCAATAGCATTGTTTACATATGTTCACTAGCATTATTCTCAGATGTTCACTAGTGTGGTCACAAATGTTCACGAGCTGATGTATAGACTATTTAATAGTGATACTTTGAACATATTATCATTTAACTGATAGCATTAGATGAGGCAACATGCCTCGATCTTCATATTCCTGCGAGTGTGGAAAAACATTTAGTCACGCAACCAGCATGTATCGTCATAAAAGAAATGACCATGCATTTCAAAAACGCATCATGGTGCCTACTAGTATACCGTATGGTGATGGATTTCATTCATCAACAAACTCAGCAGCGGATGCCTACAATGGTGAAAGGGAAAAGGTGCTCCACCATCCTTTCACGATGATGGTCGTAGGTCCAACAGGTTCGGGCAAGTCAACGTTTGTCAAAGAACTCATCGAAAATGCCAGCAAAAGGATAAGCTCTCCGCCACAACGGATCATTTGGTGTTTTGGTCAGTGGCAGCCCATGTACGTCGAAATAAAGACACACTTTCCAAATATAGAATTCATGATGGGAATTCCAGAGTCATTGAGTGACCAGAGTTTTCTAGATGTCAATGTAAGAAATCTACTCATTTTCGATGATCTGATGGCTGATATGACAAGAGATAAACGGATTTCTGAGCTATATACTAAAGGATCTCACCACAGAAATTTGAGTGTCATCTGTCTCATGCAGAATCTGTTTCATCATGGCCGTGAAAGCAGAACTATGAGTCTAAACTGTCACTACATAGTGTTGTATAAAAATCCTAGAGATCGCCAACAGGTGGCCGTATTAGCAAACCAGATGTATCCTGGAAAGTCAAGGAAATTACTGGATGCTTATGAAAAGGCAACCCAAGAACCATTCGGACATCTATTGATTGATTTGAAGCAAGAAACTCCCGAACATTTGAGATTGTACGATGTTGTAGCTGATAAGAAGCAATCTTTAGGGGTACCGTCTGTGCAATATTCTTACAGCAAAGAGGACCAATCACAATTGCTTAACACAATACAAATGCCATGTAGCAATGTAGAGCTGATAAGTAGAGCTGTAAAGCTAGATCAAGAACCATTTAAGGATATCAACCAAGAGAAAAACAGTACTACACCCATCGTTGTAGAATCAAACATGAATCCAAGTATGCAATGCACGGTGAATCCAAACATGAAAGCCACAATGAATCCATGTATGGGATATACAATGAACAGAAGATCCAATTTACCTGCCCAGACGAATTCTACCCCTCATTGTCCTGATTGTGGTGTAGTGATGATGTCACCATTTGACGTAAGGGAACACAATAGACATTGTCCCGAGTTGAGGGAGACTGATGAAAATGATAGCACAAGAGGTGATTTCCATACTGAAGACTTGAGCGAGAATGCAACTTTCAATCGTATTAAGAAAAAAGTCATCAATGAACTCCAAGATGATTTGAATGAACTGGTGGAGAAGTATAGAGACAGAGGAATGTCAACTAAAATGGCTGTAGAGAAAGCTAGACGGAAATCTGTGTTTAGTGTCAGACAGCGATTCTTGAATCACTATGGAGAACTTATAACAAATATACTGGGACTACGTTACAGTGAAATTCATCATGATATCATGAAAGAAGTAGAGGTACTATTGGAAAAAGGCATGTCTCCATCCAGAGCAGTCAAAAAAACACTAAACAAATATTCATATTTGGCGGGAGAATTGTTTACGGATGATGCATCAACAAGTGAAGAGTCCAGCGATGAACAACAATCAGATGATGAAAAACACACTGCTAGTGAAAATGATTCTGATCATGAGGATGATGAAGACAGTCTATGATATTCCAGCTGAATTGTAAAGAAACATGATGTACATGTACTTGTAAATAAATAAATATACAGTAACATAGATGCATTTGTTCAAATTAATCTACTCTCTCAGAAATAAAGAGTGTAACATTTATGCCACAATGCTATGTTTCCAATTCTATGCTACGATATTACTCACTATACTATATTGCTATCCTTAATGATATAACAAACCCAGAAAATATCTTTAATTGTTTTATTGTCATGTTCAAATTACATAGAAAATGTCAATTGTATCAGTACATAATCATTTCCTGCCCCTCGCCGGATACGCTGGTATACCTGGTGGTTTATACAAGTTCATTCTGGGTTTTCCGATGCTTTTCTTCTTGAACACAGCTTGTTGTGCAGTTTTCGTTCTCGATTGCCTAAGTTTGGACACCTTGTTCTGATTAGGATCCTTTTCTGCCGCCTTCTTTTGATGCTCGATTTGGGCTTTACCTCTTTCAACGATGGCTTGCACTGGGGATATCACCTGGATGGATTCTCTAATGGCGCTGATGGGTGTACGCTTTTTTCCAAACCCTACTTGCGTCAACAGTCTATTCTCTCTGACTTCTTTGATTAACATGTGCCAATTTTCTGCATTGTCTACATAGGGTACAAGCTTCATGGTTTTGTAATGCTATTAGTATCACGAACGAGTAGGAAATGCCAGGAAAAACTACGAGAAACCTTATATATGAACTTTTAATTCGAGTATGTCGAGATACATAGATTTAGCCTCTTAGCCTTAACTTAATCCAAGGTCGTAATTTAATTTGAATCCACTGCTAGATTAAAACATTACTCATCGGTATAAAAAGTTACTTATCTGAATCCCCGGGTCTCATCTTATCTGATTCCACTGCTAAATAAAAAAAAGTTATCTTATCTGATTCCACGTTATCTTAGCTAAAAATGTTACTTGTTATCTTATCTGATTCCATGTTATACAATCGATCTACCGATCTACCGATCTACCAAGGATGCTCGACAACGGATAATACTACTGCACGCTCTATAGAGAATAAGAATCCTGAAGAAATCACTTAACTATTACATGTTGCCTCTTTAACTGTTATTTGAATAGTCTCAAATGAATACTTCACTTCACAAAAGTGGCCTAGGGAGACTAAGAAAGGATGAGGCATATTCAACATCCCCAATCAAAAATGACCAAGGTATCAATTTTTGAAAGAAAAAAGTGAATAAATTAGTCTAACACAATATAAAAAAAGATAGCGCATGTAACGCATATACCAAATTCCATGTTCAAACTCCACTCCATTTTTCTAGAAGCAAATATTGATGATATTGTTTCTTTGAATGTAATCAGTTTTAAGTGAAGTAGTGGTGACTACTGATATTGCTAAGGTTTCCTTGAATATACAGTAAAACCTGTGTTAGTGAACACTTCTCTCTAGTGGACACCTGTTGGCACATACTCTACTGACTTCAGTATAAATTACCCTCTGTAGTGAACACCTACCAACACTTCACATTTTTTCTTGGCAAAAAAAACTGTTCAATAGACACAGGTTTTACTGCTGTGTCTTGCTGCATAACTAACATTATTTATACTCTGTAATTGTAGTTAGCAGAGGGCGTGGTAGACCAAGAAAAGAGCAATCATCGCCTGATGATAAACCTCAGAGTAAGCATATTAAAAGTTATCTCTTATACTTTTATAAGGTGTTCAGGAAGCAAGTGCTCTAGTGTTAAAGGATATTAGCAAATGAGACTGAAATTCTTACATGTAGATGATGTTCAACTTCTAGCTTCTTAGTGTTGTGAAAAACTGTAAAATTTATTAAATGGAACACCTTTTATGATCTGATTCACGTCTCAAAGAATCTCAGGCCAACTCACCTCAATCGTTTTATGTGACTTCTTCATTTGTTGTCTACATCTTCACTTATATTTGAAACATCTATTGGAGAATCCAATCTACTAGAATTTTCAATTTATTGTATTAAGTTATTCAGGAATATTCACATGTGAATTGGCTTGTTCAAGTCAAAATCCACGAGTCCATCCAAATTTTCAGATAGTCTTTGTCTAAATTATTGCTTGTAATTTTAAGTTAAACGAGGTCCAGGGAGACCTAAGAAGGATGAACAGAGTGTTGAATCCCCAAGAATTAAAGACATAGACCAAGGTATCTATTTACGCACACTTTAGTGGAATCATGTTCCTTTCTACTGCAACAAAAACAAAAAAATATATGTATACAGTGTAGAATACAACAGTTTGAAACAAATCTTTGAAATATTTTTTTCATGACTTGAAAAACTATTTGAGACATTAAAATTTAAAAATTAAATTGAAAAGTTTCACATACCAAATTTTCTAAACATTGGGTTAAACTATTTTAAAAGAAAGTGGTTTATACTTTATATGGGGCCTTTAAGTGGAATGTCATTCTGAGTTGAATGTTATTACATAACAAGCCCATAACTCTAATGAGCCTCATCACTGATTCATTTATGATTGCAGATTTTTTTAGCAACCTTGATGAAAGTACGAGCCAAGATGGTTTTCGCCGATCATCACGATCTAGGAAGCCTAGCGCTAAGGTATTGGACTCCGTCCCTAACTGCAAATTCTGCGCTGAAAGGTTTACCTCTGGGAAGGAAGCCCTGGGGCATCTGTACATGTCACATAAAGATGAGCCTCCTGCCGATTTGAGAAGGGGCATTGATGAGATTTGCTGTATGTATAATGTTTGATTTATCATTAGAACTTGATCATAATGTAATTGGCTGACTATGAATGATATTAATGTGAATCATGTATTATGACGCCACAAACAAATGCAATTAGAATAAATTTCACTTATTTTTTAGTTTGTTAACACTTCACCGAGGGTCTAGTATGTGAATTTTACATGTTGCAAATAATTTCACATTTGGTAATCTCATAAAATATCATGAATTTTTTAATTGTAGGCAAGGCATGTGTTACAGAAGCTTACAAGCTAACAATAATACACATGTTCTAAACTAATTTTTGTTCTTCATGTTAGTTCACTTAATGTTCCAGTGAGAACAGGCTTAACTCCAAATGCACTTCAAGAGGAGGAGGAAGCACCAGGCACTGATAACCCAGGTTCCAATCAAACAGAGCAGACCACTGATGAAGAAATTAAAACCATACCTCTAACGCTTCCGACAAAGCTCCAGTACTTAGCTAGTGTGACATTTATTCCTGAACACACAAAACAGTGCCCTTTGTGCTGCCTGTGGTACCCAAACCCACGTGAAATTCTCTCCCATCTTGAGGTGAAACATGCGAATGATGTCAATAAAGAGGAGGCAGTTGGCAAAATTAAGGAGACTTATGGCTACCCATGTGATATGTGTATGGCCTGGTTGCATTCTAAAGAAGACCTGGAAAAACATGTTGACGTCATACATACAGTCACAAGAGAGGAGCTTAGTCGACAAGGACATCTATTGGTCTTGGACAGCCTGGGAACTGATGAAATACCAGGTAAGTAGTATAAGATTTTTGTTTACCATAATGTCATTTTAATCACTTCCTGTCTGACCCAGTTTCATTAAAAAGGAAGTACTTTTTTATTATGCACCTCATTAAAATACTCAAATCTGATTGGTTAAGAGCTGCATGGTCTATTGCCATACATGACAGCAAGATCTCGTTCTATCCAGTATTGAAGCAACGAGATCTCCAACCATCCCGTATGCCAGAATACCTATCCTCGAAAAAATACTAGGCTCGGCTTCTGCACCCTGGACGAAGTGATAAGGTCAAAACAAGTGGCTCTGATTTAGGAAAAAACGATCTTCCTAAAAATAAACATGGCAGAGCAGGGGTGAGTTTATTTCTTTAAATTATACCCTTTCTTGGCCACCTGACATGTTCAAACTCGGTACATTGATCCAAGACATATCCACCTCTCTATATATAATATTGTAACGATTAATACTAAGAAACGAAATGAATACGAATTGAAATAATATATTTTTGTAAATAACCGCAATATTTTTTTTTTGATTATTTTCGAAAAAATGGTAGATACTCTGTTTCAAATGCATTGATATTTGGCGATATGATAGTTTATGAACCAGGGAATGTCATATCACCATTATTTTTCTAATACAAGAAGTAATTTACGTCCCTGAGACGAGATTAGATTTATTTTCTGGAAAAAACGCGGCTCTGATTCCCACAGAATATATGGAAAATACGTGGAATGGATGTCTAATTAATAGGCTACATGTTAAAAGGATTTTAAAGATGAGTTTTAAAATGTGAAATACTTATATTATGTTTGTTTGGGGCACTGTATATGAAATATATACTAGATAGCTCTACATGTTTGACATGTCATAGATAGCAAATTATTTTGTTACCTCTGTTTTTATTAATTTAAAGTGGAACTTTAACATATACATTATATTATTCCTTTGCATTCATTCGACTAAACTGCTTAAAAGAGGGCTTCATCAAAATTAATGAGATTGAATCAAAAATCTAAACAATCACTGTGACTGCTTCTCAGGCTAAACAAAAGATACAGTAAGGCAAATGATTTGTTCTATAGTAAATGTCCAAGACGATTTACTAAAATACTTTGCGTTGACAACGGGCATCGTACGTCTAACAAGCTGCATGTATCTTAGACTCTTATTTCATCCAAAGGCCCGGGTCCAAAGGCCACTTCCACATGACTTGATGTAATATAAACACTGGTGATCCACTCGATTACGCTGGTTACCAAAACGAACCGTTTTGGTAACAAAATGTCGGAACGTCGAAGGCACTATTTTTTTTTCTATCTTTTTTCCTTATTTCACGCGTTGTAGGCAGAATCCCCATGACGTTCCTTCTCACAACGTGCAGCAGTATCATATGTTTTAGAAAATGTACATGTTTGCGAAAAAATAGCTCAGAGGACAACAAAATCGTCGATTTACTTCCTCACTTAAGTTACATAAACGGTTTTTCGAAAATCAGTTAAGATCTGCACTTTTAACCCAAACCGTTTATGTAACTTAAGTGAGGAAGTAAATTTCTGTTGTCTTCTGAACTATTTGGTCGCAAATATGTACAATTACTTAAACAAATGATACTGATACACGTTTGTGTTAAAAAATGTCATGGGAATTCTGCCTACAACGTGTAAAATAAGGAAACGAGAAAATCGTACCTTCCGGATGTTCCGACATTTTGTTACCAAAACGGTTCGTTTTGGTAACCAGCGTAATCGAGTGGATCACCAGTGATAAAGAGATTTTCGACGCTTCATAACGGCGATTGTCATAGGACATGACTGGAAAACGTTAAATTGATGAAACTAAATCAGGTATAGAAAGCCGCGTTTTATCACAAATCACCATCGCAAATCAATAACCGCTTATTTTCCTCAAATGTTCGTCGTCGGGAGTAAAACAATAGGCATCACATCAAATTAAAATAACTGTCGATGCTGTAAATGCACATATGAAAAGAAACATACAATCTCGGTGTGCATGAACGTTTATATGCATCATTGATCATCAATGAAAGATATTTTGACAATATAAAATCGTAATTTTTAGCGGGAGATATAATTCTCAACTTTAATTTACACTCCAGCCACTAATGCGCGTTCCATTCAATTTAAAACACACGAACTGAGTAGTTGAACATAATACAAAATTGTATATGATTCTCCTCTTTGTCCACAAGAATTTAACCTTACAAAAATTGGGGTACAAAAATTATTAATTTTTAGGAAGATCGTTTTTTCCTAAATCAGAGCCACTTGTTTTGACCTTATCACTTCGTCCAGGGTGTTCTGTTTTAGTAGACCCATTCTTTAAAATAAAGTATTTCTTGATAATTTAACACCACCTTTTATTTATCTACAGTAAATTAATGGTAGGAATATGATATTAACCAAGGGAGGTGCTTCGCCTCGCCTAGTATTTTTTTCCTCGGATAGGTATTCTGGCATACCCACCTCATGGTCATCCAGTATTTGATTAATATTATTGTTATTTTATGGGTAATGTCCATGAACTATTCCTTGAAGGTTTCTTGTGATATATATTTGTCCATTCGAAAATTGATAACCTACTGTGTTGCAGGGAGTCTGCAAGTGTCTGAGTACCAGTGTAAGATGTGTCTAAACCGCCTTGATGATTGGCTCAGTCTTTCACAGCATATTATAGCTGAACATGGACCTGAAATGTCACAAGCCCCTGCTCCCCCAGACACTCAAGAGACTAGCCAAGACACACCAATAAACAATCAAGACACACCAAATAGTAACCAAGAAGTGCATGGTACAATTCAGGAATTATCTGGCACTAATCAAGAAGTACTTGGTACTAATCAAGAAGTACTTGGTACTAATCAAGAAGTACTTGGCACTAATCAAGAAGTTGTTGGCACTAATCAAGAAGTAATTGGCACTAATCAAAAAGTATCTAGTTCTGTTTCTGTTGTAGTAGTACAAGAAGCTACTGAAGACATAAGTGCCAATAAAGACACACCCATTAATAATGATGACACTCCATGTACAACAGATGACACACCAGTCACTAACAAAGACACACCAGATCATTCTCAGAGGATCATCTTAAGTACAGATGCACTTAATCTCATTAAGCAGGAAGTAGAGAAATGTATGCAGCAACCATTATGGGACTTAGATCCAATGTCCCAGTACTCCCATTGTTTATTCTGTAATGTTTGCTATGAGAAGAGAACTGATCTCTACACGCACATGCAAGTGAATCACAAGAAACACCCAATGTACAAGAGCCTCATAGAAGAGGCGATGAACACGGATGACATGAAGTTGTTGGATAGACTTGGGTACAGTCGACGTCCACGTAATTGGGCTCCCGGAGATTCCCTTAACCTATCCTGTAAGCTCTGTCGTAAGACTGGCATTAAGAGTTATGTGGTCCTACGTACACATGTGAAGCGTAGACATAAGAAGAGTGCAAAGAAGAAAGAATACTTGATGGAGATCAGAGAGTTTAGTAAGGTCCAATGTATAGATTGTGGCAAGTTCTACAGTGGCAGGTAAATGTTTTCATTTTAGGGGGAACAACCATTTAACTGAGTACATTCAAACCTTTGTAAGTGGAATATCTTTGGTATCTCACCTCTAAAAAGTGTTTCTCTAAGGTGGTGTTTCACTTACAGAGGTTCATTTAACATCAAGTCAATTGTTCATGAGACTAAAGGGATCCATTTTTGGAAGTGTTCCACTTACAGAGGAATTTCACTTCACAGGTTTTACTGTACTGAATATTGAATATCAATCACTGAAAAACATTCAAAGGTATATACTCAGTTATGCAAAGGTTTAGTATTTTGATATTCAATATACTACATCAGTGTTCGCGCTAGCCATTTAAATTTCTGAGTCATAGGGACGCAACACATTTGAAAAATGTGAGTCCCGTCTAATTTTTTTTGCGTCCCTCATATTTTGTTATAAAGTGAAAGTAAAGTGGGCGATAATAGAGTGCTTCCGCTAAAACGGGATAAAAATGACATATATTGTAATTCTATGCATTCTCCCGATAAATATCTATCATTTGGTCCTTTTCACACAATTCTTTACTAATGTTATATCAAAATTCTCCGAAATGAATGAAAGAAATATTCAAATTAAGAGTTGTTTTCACATTTTACCAACCAGCGATCTTCAAGGTCGTGTCAAGGTCGTGAACTTTTTGTTTCTTCTAACATTTCTCCTTACTCTGACGACTTTTAGATGAAAAACGAGCTATCATTAAATAATTATATTGATGTATAACATTAGATCGATATCTAACGGTTCCTAGTGGAAGTAATTTTAAGGTTATCGTGAAAAACAAATCCCAATTCTCAATTTTGAAACTAATGTTTGCGTACAACAGATTATCCAGCTTCGGTATACTCCAGAATGACTCGGAGGGCAGTGCCATAGCCAATCAAATGCTGCGTTTCAGACTAGAAACCCCGCGAATATACTGAGACACTTCGGTAGCCAATCAGATTTGCCGACATAAACATTATCGAGATCAAGGAAGTAGACGATTTGAAAATTCTCCGGACAATCATGTTTTATCACTTCTACGCTGCAGTAAAAGTTACCTGATGGGAGAAAAAACGGCGTCAACGCGAACACTGTACATGTATATGAGTGGCATTTCGGAGAGAGAAATGAAAGATATACCAAGATTTCAAACATCTGCAAGGTACGGGTCTATGGGTTAATTTGAACGCTACTGGTTTTCACATTGGTGTTGAACATTATCAAAGTGAGTCGGAAATGAACATTATTGCACAGTACAGGTACAATTTAGGTTTTCTCATAGATCTGTATCTTTATGGGGTACAGTTGCCCGAATCTTTGTAAGATTGAAAAGAAATGTGTTCAAACAGATATTCAATCTTGAATGTGATATTTTTCAGGCATGAGCTGATGATGCATAGAAAGAATGTACACACTCTGATATCACCAGAAGAAGCCATTCAGAAAACACAGACCTGTCCTATATGCTTCAATATATACAAGAACAAGCACTGCCTTAAAGGACACATGGCGTATGTAACATTCATTAAGTTATTATTAGAATATTATGTAATAGTCTCCAACTTTTTTGTGGATGGCAGTTGGTGATCGGCATCTGTAACAAATGGCAGGTGTTTACGTTTTGCATGGTAATGCCTTTTTGCCAATGCTTTAAACAGAAAGATGAATACTTGAGATTCTTGAAATGCCTGTGTTTAAGTACATATAGGGTATACAAATAACATTTTCCTCCCTTGGTTGAAACACTGATGATGGATTTGAAATTAAAAACATTTCTGGTGTTTTGGGGCATGACTAATACAGTAATATCCCTGTAAAATTGTTCGATCTGATCAAATATCAAATCCATTCAGACCCCTAATGTGTATTGCGATTTTCTATCCAGTTATCCCCCTGATGTTATATTTATGACATTTTAGGAATGATTGCAGATTCACTTATGAATTTTCAGCTTTAATTTTAAAATTGATGCCTTATTAAACAACAAAATATAATATGAAGACATTTTTAGCCCACTCTGTTCTGTGTATAATTTTGTTATTTTTGATTCAATATTAGTATAATGCATTATATGTTGTTTTATAGGTCAGTCCACTCCAAAATAAAACATGTGTGTGATATATGTGGGGGAACCTTCAAAAACAAGTCTATCCTCACCAGCCATGTTAACTATGTGCATCTCAAGAATATGATTGAGACCTGCAAAGTCTGTGGCAAGGTATGTTGTATCACATTCATGTATCCATTTCATGTATTGTCATCAAAATTCCAGGAAAACAGCTCACCTGTTCAAATTTCTACAGATGCAACAGCAAACTAGTGCCAAGATCTGGTATGGTTTTAGACATGCTGGGTGAATTAAGTGGCCATTTTGAATTTTTGGACAAAAATGCAATATTTAACACTGTTTCTCTTGTTTCCAGAGAATTCCCAAGAGACGTATGAAAATGCACCTTGAGACCCATACCAACAACTTCAGGTTCTATTGTGAGCATTGTCACAAAGGCTTCCATGAGAAAGCTAACTGTCATCGCCATGTGAGGCTTGTTCATGACAGGAACCAACTCACCTATCTCAAATGTGACCAATGTCGTAAGTTGCACTATTAGATTCATCCTTAGAACTCATGGCAGCTTCATAGGCTGCTTTACATAAACCATGCTCTAAAATCGCTGCCTTTTTCCTATACAAGTATGTATGTGTGATTTTATGTATCTGTACAAATGTTGATTTTTTTGAAACTAGTAGAAGGATTTGTTAAGATTTCTTACTTTATTGCATATTGAATACATTATGCAAACTAACTAATATTGTTACTTTCCATCCAATTGGTTCAAAATCATTCTTCGAGAAATATGTTTTGAAATTGAAACTGAATCAGTGATTTTCCCCATCTTTCAGCTAAACAGTTTACAACAATCTCCAACCTTCGTCAACATCGACAGACTGTGCATGGGCAAGGTGTGTTCAAATGTGGCTACTGCCAGGAGACTTTACTCAGTAGGTCAAAGATGAGGAACCACATTCAGAGAGTACACGCAACAGAGATTGTCAATTCTAGTGATCTAGATAAGGTATGATGTTCAATTCTAATGATCTGGATGAGGTATGATGGTCAATTTGTTATTATGTGAAAAGATCCTTGGCTCATCCATGTGGTCAATTATAAAATTCACAATTTTACTATAGTAGTGTCAAAGCTAGAGGTGGATAGACATTATTTTGTTAAATGCCATTGAACATATTTAAGATATTATTTAAGATGTAACTGTACCTGTAGATGGAGACCAATATCCCAATGGTTCAGTCGCAAGTGGTATCAGACCAGACCACAGCTGCAATAACTCTAGCAGCTCTACAGGAGGCTGTTGGTGCCAACAATGTACATGTTGATAACATGGATGGGGTAGATGTGGGAGGGCTACATCAGCTTGAGATAGAGGGGACTGAAGGTGGCAAAACTATTGTGTACTGCACTACTGATGGTTAGTTAACACCTCCTGTGATATGACCTGTTATACATGTTTTAAAGAGAATTCCTAAAATAGTGTAAAATTTTGATGATTAGTGTTCTTGAATGTGTGACATTATTGGTAATTTGTAAAATCTACTGTCTTGATACGCTCTTAGTATAAGTTAGAAGATAAATCAGATTTTCATTCCAATATTTGAAATTTCATCCAATTTGTCTAATCATTGAACTTTTCTGAAAATGGTTTTACATACATGTAATACAAAATGAGAATGATATTTATTCAAGGTTCTATAGAGACACAAGTCCCTGTCCCTGCACCAGTGGAGCAAGAACTAATCTCACACCCAGTGTTAGGTGATACACTAGAAGGAGAGGAATCTGGCCAGTTTGAGACAATTGTTATGCAGAACCCTGACACTGGTGAGGAGCTAGTAGAACAGGCGGTTTATTACGTGGTAGCCAATGGAGAGGGTGGACAGGAATTTGTACAGGTTCAGGATGGTAGTGTGGATATGGTACAGAAACAAGACATTGTGGAATAGAATGTTACTCATGTTCATGATATCAGTACACCTAAGGAAGAAGAACAGGCATTATGAGACACACAACATGTTGATATTACATGGTGAACAACCGAAAAGAATGTCATCCATGCATTTGAGATTATTGTTGATTTGAAAATGCAAAATAAATAAGTGCTGGGGTGAAAAGTCAGTCCATCTCAATGGGGACTGTTATAGGCTGTAAATGTATGTTGATAAACAGACTTTAAGGCAAGCTCCAAATATTGCCAAATCTGTTAAGCATTATTGTATATTGATTGTTATTTCAAAATAACCAAATTTAAAACTCTATCATGAGTTGGGTCCAAGAATACAGTAACTCTATGATGAACTGTGCTCCCAGTAATTTTGGTGTTTTAAGAAGTAAAAAATCTGCAAAAATTTGGCATCAAAAAATTTGGCATCAAATCTCTGGACCCCACTTATATCATCTCCAGAGGGAGATATGTAATGGGGGTACAAGAACTATGACATTGTAGCATCACGCAATATTCATTTTTGTGATAATATAATGTTATTACGCTATTCTGGTAGTTCATTGTGTTTCGTTAGAATAATGTTTAGTTAAAAACAGTCTGAAGAAAAAACAGTCTGAAAATTACAATATTTACAACAATGAAGAGTTGTAGTATAGTACTGTAGTAACAGAATAAGGATAGTTTCTCAAAATGATGCAATAACTGCATGTCCTATTTTGAATTATTTAATATCTTGTTATTTATAGTTGACTACTGTAGATACCCTTATTTTGACGCTACTTAATTTGACAGATTTGCTCAATTTCAAATATTGGTGGCTATTTAATTTGGCGAATTCAGGACTGAAGTTTAATTTTGTAGATGTTTATATTGTTTGTCATTAGGACAGGTGTTTACTAAGATATTTTCTGTATTTCTTTTGGAATATTGTAGAATTGATGACATGTTGACAGGAAAGGGGCTGAGTTTAATTTCTGAAGTACATTGGACAAAAATTCCAAACTGAAATTTGACAGATTTTTAATTTGGCGAATTTTCTGAATCTGCCAATCCGTCAAATTAAAATGGGAGCCAAATTAAGTGTATCTACAGTGTTTGAAATTTATAGTTGACTATTTCAATTGAATTTTATAGCTATTTCAATTTTATAGTTGACTAAGCTATTTCAATTGAATTATTTAGCAAATATTATGTTATTGTGATATACTTTATATGAAATACAGATTGATTTTGTTCTGAATATTAAAAATGGTGTCTGTGTATTCCTTTTCACCAGGTCATATGTGACCTTGTTGCCAGGCTGTTCTGTCTTTCGCACTTCCAGCCTTTTATTAGACTCCCATAGTTATAACTGAGATACTATTACATCCCCAAATGTTTCACACATCATTGCCATCGATTCTAGTTGAAACCCCATGATTATACTTATAATGGAAAGGTACACTGGCTTTGCTGGTCAAGGTTCCTACTTAATACAAGTTTTTCTTTCTCCCAAGTAAGAAAATCTTTGGAAATTTGGATCAACTTTTGAATATCCATCAAACCATCATCACTTCCATTCATGTTTTTCAAGAAAAAATTCAAATGTTATGGCCCCCTCTGATAAAAGGATCTCTTGAGAGATAGTTTATGTGACTGAGTTTATGGGAGGGGAATTTGGCTGATACAAGATAATTAGTCCAAAATACATGAAATACCAGCCTTTGTGTCTAAGTAAACCATTTGGGATCTTTTTTCAAAGTCAAATGTGTGTCATTTTATCAAGTCAAAGGCGCATTCTAACATTTCAACCTTATATCAGAGAAATATGCCAAGAAGTGTCAATCATGTCACAATGTCACAATTCCACCTTGAGTTTTCAAATTAGCCAGGTATCCCTCAGAGAATGCTGGTATACTATAAAAAATTCTAGGCTATGGTGAATTTGGAAGAGGGTGGGGTTCATGGAAGGGTTGACATTTTATGCTAAAGAAAAATATTATTTTAGTTTCTAAAGATTACTTTATAAGGTGTTTGGAATTCAACAACTTCATTCAAAGCATTGTGTAACTGTTGAATTATGGAATTCTAAATTCCATATCTGAATCAAATATGAATGCCTACAATCAATGTGTAACATCTTTGGACAGCAGCATCTTTAAATATATTTTTACTTATTGATTTCGTTTTCCCTTGAAGTTTAACATTTAGGTTTTACTTCCGGTTAGAAAAATAAAAACAAAAAGTGAGACTTTTGTATACATCTCTGTTTTGCTTTGAATTAGTATTAATCCATATACTTGAGTGTAATTATTAATTTATGTAGTTTCCTATTACGTTTAGTTTTGGACACCCCTGTTTGTTTTAAGCGATCGTGACGACAGAGAGTGTAGGGTGTCAGGAAAAATTCAGAACTCAGTCTACAGTTTCTGAGTTTGGGCCATACATTTTCTATCTACATTTCCCATCATCCTAAGCAGGTGTCCATAATTCGTACCTCCTTCTTCCCCCCTGCTATAACCAATTTGGAAGCGCCCGATAAAATTGAATCACGTGATCTAACTATGCGTTGATGACTTATACATGCATCTTGGATTTGCAAGGTATGATGTTTTCGGCCTTTAAAATCAAACTGGAAAACGAGTTTGGTACATGATTGCTGTCGCAATGTTGCGACAGCGAATCAAATTGCGAGTTCTTAATCGGGGAAATGCTTACTGCTTATCGCAGGGGGTAAAAAGAAAGAAGATAATGTATTCTGGATTTTGAAGCCCTGTGATCGGAGGATGACATTTCCAAACCATGGTGGTTTGAAAGTCCAAAAGATGGAATATTTGGATACATAGCCGCTAAAATTTTGCATTGTGTACAATCTCATCTTCTGTGTGGCCTTTTGAAAATACTCACCTTAACAATCCACTGCTAATTATTTATGGCCCAAACTGTAGTTCTATTTTAGTTAATAAGCTTATATCAAAGGAACATGGAGCGACATCTGTATTACACTTGGGGGAAGTATATGTTGTCACTCATTATTTTTTGTAACTGAAATTCTCTACAAAATTTCCTTGCTTATCACCGAATTTCTTGATTTTGAGAGAATATATTTTGAGAAACAATAAAAGGTCATTAAGGCAAATTCGATAGTGGTGTCACATTACTTATATGAGTAATCAAATTGTGGGCTCTCATATCTAGTGACAAAATCTCATGACAGTGTCTCAGAATAGACACTGCGGCGGGCAGATGGAAAAATAGTCAAAATTTTCTCTGATAAATGTGTACAAGTATATTTTGTTCTGATTACCATGGAGAAATTACCTAAAGCAAAGACTTATATTCTGTAGTGGATTGATACTCAATAATATCACTGCACCATACTGATGCACATATCATTGTTTTTCTTTGCAGTAAAGTGGTTATGGTAACCAGATTCAGCACCTATAATCTTCCATATTAAGAGAAAAGACAGAAAAAAGCAACACAACAAATCACATCTACAATGCTAGCTCAGGACAAGACTAAAAAAACACATATATCCAAGACCAATGAAAGACCCCTAAAACAAAACAAAATGATTAAAACACATACACAATCAAAACTCTGTGAGCTTCCTCTATACAAGGAAATAGAGAAATGCAAAGTCCAATGCTTAATCTGTAAACTCTGGAGTCATTGTCCTTTTGCTTTGTTAGAACATCTGAACAGATACCACTCTGATGACGCCAGTCTTGATTATATACTACATGACTTTAAGACGAGTCTTGGAGTACCATGCCCCACGTGTGCACTGATTATCCCAGAGACTGTGATTGAGTACCATCAAGACTTACTTCATAATTCAGACACAAGAGTACTACAGAGCTATGGTATAGAATTAGATATACAGGAGGAGCATGCATCAATAGAGCTACAAAATTATCAGGTATTGATATATACAGTACAATATAAGTGTAATCAATGCAGAAATGTAGTTTTGAGTTCTGCCGATAGGTAGAGCACCTGTCAGCCTTGTTCTAGTTTTTGTGTTTCATATTCAAAACTATTTCTGGTAGTGATGTAATTTTGTAAAAGTGTAATCAGTGCAGACTGCAGAAATGTAGTTTTGAGTTCTGCCGATAGGTGGAGCACCTATCGGCCTCGTTCTAGTTTTTGTGTTCATTTTATATTTCTCTACAAGATGTAAGCTCACTTGTAAGCAATTCACCTTTGTTTCTGGTAGTTACGCATTAAAGGGACCCAACACCTTACAAAACTTCTTAACGGAGAGGAATAAGGGAAAATGCTTGCCGAATTTTGAATCTGTGTATTTTTTAATGACTTTTCACCGTCTTAGAATTTCAATTTTTTTTCTTTGAAAAAATGAGATTTACATTGTTTTCCAATTAGAAAAATGAGTAAACATGAATAGCTCGAAATCTAACGGTGAGATTTTGTTTTAAAAAATCATGGATATCAAGGCTAAATATAGCTATACAATAAACATAAAAAAGCAATGCTTGGACTCTTGATATTCACACAAAAAATTAATTAGTAAATGAGGTTTGATATTTGTGAGAATAAGTTGTACAAGGTGCAATGCTCTACAAACACCAGACTACAGGGTGGATTAGGATCAATGACACACATAAAAATTAATTTAAAAATATTTCATTTTTGTTATAAAGATGACCCATAGCTTTACTATTGACTTGCCACAGTCAACGTTGAGCGAGCACACTGGGCAACATCAGAAAAACCCAAAATACAGAATAATATTCTATGATGTTAATATGGTATGTATATTTAAGCAACATCTAATACAATTTTAAAGCAATATTTCATTTTGCTGAGGGATATTAATCTTTTTATTCCATTATAACAGTTTTCCAGGGGATTAAAAGTAAAATATAAAAGCTATTGAAAATCCCATATCAGAAAAATCACTTATTGAATCTTGTATCTGATTCATATCAGCCAAAGATCTGAGCTAGATTTGCATCACCATTTCAGAATTTAATTTTAGAATTTCTACACAAAAAGACATTTTTGTTGCGGACAATACTACATCACGCAATCTTTTTTTATAAAGATATTTGGAGAGATTGCATGGTGCAAAGTCATCTGTAACGAAGAATCCTCATGTTCATTGCATCAAAATTCTACAAGTAATATCTGAAATGATAATGCAAAAATGGTGCTGATACAAAAGTAAAATGGGAGAAATAATTAAGTTTTGTGACTTTATGATCATTTTGCTAGTGATTTGTTTTGAGAAGACATTAATCTAACATACACTTTTGATTTTGTGGTTAGAGAATGTCTGTGGCCAAAGATAAATAGTTATGACTTTTGACTATATATACAATATCTCATGGGAATGTATTTCCATCTGCTCAAGATACATTATGAAGATATCATATTTTAGCTTCGAAAATCACAATCGTTGGATAATACATTTGTCTCAGAATGATAGGCCACCCTGTAGCAATGTAGCTATCACTTGAAGTGGACCCTTGAGAATAATGAACTTACTTTCAAATTGGTCTTGCTTTTGTGGTGTATGTGGCTTTTTAGCAAATCTGCCACGCTCATTTCTTTCCAGAACCATCTTGTTCACATGTATCACTAGGCTATACGCGCATGTATAGACAGATGACATAGATATACATATAAATTATATATTGCACCTGTATTTACTTACATGGGAATATTCCCTTTGGAAAAATGCAAATGCATGAACATATATTTTCATCTTATATATGACTTCAAGCTAACATATTATTTCATATTTATATTTTCATAGTTAGTCTAACATAAATAATAGATCCATGAGAACAATATTCTTTGTTTTCTTAAAAATTGATGGGTTTACTGTGAATTCAATGAATTACAATTTGCAAGGGGTAAGTTAGTATACTGTATGACCTTAGTTGCAAAGTACTGTTTATATATGCAGCTTAATAGCATAAAATATGTTGAATGAAGCATATGGTATGGATTAGTCGTGTGACACACAAACTGACCAATACATGAGGGTATTAGCTACTTTTCACATAAACCAAAGGAGGACAGTGCTTTTATTTCAACTGGGAGCTTACCTCCACACGACTGATCATGTGACCATGGTGGTGGGTCCCTTTAACTAAATAAAGCATCATATTCAAAACTATTTCCGCTAGTGATGTAATTTTGTATTTAAACGATCTGGAAGTAATCTTACTAAATTGCAGGTCACTAGACTGCCTGGTCATGTTCAAGTATGATAAATGCTTTCAATTTATATTTCAGTATGTCTTCAACATATATTTTAGTGTTTCTTGAACCCATACTTCAGTGTGTCTTCAACTTATATTTCAGTGTGTCTTCAACTAACTAATATTTCAATGTGTCTTCAACTCATATTTCAGTGTGTCTTCAACTTAAATTTAAGTGTGTCTTCAACTAACTTATATTTCAATGTGTCTTCAACTCATATTTCAGTGTTTCTTCAACTTATATTTTAGTGTGCCTTCAATTTATATTTCAGGGTGTCTTCAACTTATATTTCAGTGTGCCTTCAAATTATATTTCAGTGTGTCTTCAACTTATATTTCAGTGTGCCTTCAACTCATATTTCAGTGTGTCTTCAACTTATATTTCAGTGTGCCTTCAATTTATATTTCAGTGTGTCTTCAACTTATAGTTTAGTGTGTCTTCAACTTATATATCAGTGTGTCTTCAACTTATATTTCAGTGTGCCTTCAATTTATATTTCAGTGTGTCTTCAACTTATAGTTTAGTGTGTCTTCAACTTATATATCAGTGTGCCTTCAACTTATATTTCAGTGGGTCTTCAACTTATATTTCATGGTGTCTTCACCTCATATTTCAGTTTGTCTTCAACTTATATTTCAGTGGGTCTTCAACTTATATTTCATGGTGTCTTCACCTCATATTTCAGTTTGTCTTCAACTTATATTTCAGTGGGTCTTCAACTTATATTTTCATGTGCCTTCAATTTACATATCAGTGTGCCTTCAATTTATATTTCAGTCTGCCTTCAATTTATATTTCACTGTGTCTTCCACTTATATTTCAGTGTGTCTTCAACATATATTTCAGTGTGTCATCAACTTATATTTTAGTGTCTCTTCATCTTATATTTCAGCGTGCCTTCAATTTATATTTCAGCGTGCCTTCAATTTATATTTCAGCGTGCCTTCAATTTATATTTCAGTGTGTCTTCACCTCATATTTCAGCGTGCCTTCATCTTATATTTCAGCGTGCCTTCAATTTATATTTCAGTGGGCCTTCAACTTATATTTCAGTGTGTCTTCAACTTATACATCAATGTCTCTTCAACTTATATTTCAGTGTGTCTTTACTTTACATTTCAGTGTGCCTTCAACTTATATTTCAGTGTGTCTTCTGCTTGTATATGTGCTGCAGTTGGGATGAGATGTTAATTCATAGCCAGAAACACAAAGATGAGGCAGCTTATGACGAGTACAGAGATATGCTACAATCTGTTGCACAGGTAACAGTACAGGATAAAGGGTTATAGAGAGAATGTAATTAAATTATATATATTGATCTTTTTTTTAAGTCAGATATCCATATTGAAGAAGCACTACCGGCAGTATATATAATGAACTGATGATTAGATATGGTTCATGATACAATTATTTTGTAAATTTTTTTTTCTAAAATATTTATTTTTATGTCACCACCAGAAGTGGTGACATATTGTGAATACACTTTTTTATGGATGGTGTTTGGCATCTGTAACAGCATCTGTAACAAATGGTGGTCAGAGTCTGTAACAAATGGCAGGTGGTGACATTTTGCATGTTAATGCCTTGTCTAACATGTCTCGCATATAATTCATTTTGATAATTTACTTTCGCTGAGATATGATTATGTTAAATTCAGATGGAGCGTTTAAACAACACAGAGTTTGGCCTGTGCCAGATCTGCACGATGATAGTAAAGAATATGACGTCTTTGAAAGCACATTATCAAGCTGAACATGCAGGTTCTGTATATGTTGTTATGTACATTGTAAAAATAGCCATCAAAAGAGCTTCAACTTTCTTTAAATAAGAATTGGATAATTTGGTTTGATAATTATGTCACCACCAGAAGTAAAACATTGCTTTATATACCATTTCAATAATTACAGATTCTGCCCACTACCCCCATCTATTGGAAGAATGTGAAGGAAGAATCACAAATGCTGTTGAACGTGTGAAATATACGAGAGAATATAATGTAAAATGCCAACTATGTAAACAGGTGAGTTCTCACATACTGGTTCAGTTGCGACACATTGTTATAACCACCAAATGTGTGACTGGCATTCGGTAGTCCAAATTCAATATTCAACTTTGGTGTTAGTTATTCACCCTCCTGCCTCATGTCTTACTTTACCTTATGTAAGTTTTGGGAAATATGGTCTTATGTTCTCGTTTTTCAGTCAACTAATGAAAGAACCAAGGGCTTCAAAGACTATGACAATCTTCTACTTCACATTCAAGCATTTCACAAGCTACATCCACACTTCCAAAAAACATGGGACGATATTAAAGAGAAAACGAAAAAGAAATGTGAAAAATGTAAAAAGGTGTTGAAAAACAAGTTAGTACTGTATAGTCGACATACAGGGTGTTCAAAAAAAACGCAACCCAAAGAAATCACTATATCTTGAAAAATACTGGTTTAATTATGTTCATATTTTCAGGAAATAAAGAAGAGACTCTGTGTGTACAGCTCCTTTACATGGTTAGTTGTAAAACACATGCTGCCTTGGACACCTGCTGAAAAGACATTTGTACTAGGAAAATACGAAAAACGTAGTCAGGGGTGACTGCAACCGCAAAAAAATGAATAAGTTCCTAACCATAGTGTTTTGGCTCTTCAAATTTGGCACATATCATCTTCATTCATTGTATGGTAAATCTGTAATGTGAAATCAAAATCACTTCAGGGACTTTGAAATGCTTTCAAATCGCAGTCAAACGCCCTGGTTCAGGGAGACTTAAGAAGCCATTTTGACCATGACTGTAAAGTCCCTTTAGTGATTTTGATGAAACTCCACAAATTCACCACACATTGAATGAGGATAATTTGTGCCAAATCTGAAGTGCCAAAACACCATGGTTAGAAAGTTACTTGGTTTTATTGATGTGGCAGTCACCTCTGACTGCGTTTTCATATTTTCCTAGTACAACTGTCATTTGAGCAGGTGTCCAAGGCATCATGTTTTACAACTTACTGACAACAGGAGCTATACATACACAGCCTCTTCTTTCTTTTCCTGAAAAAATGAACATAATTGAATTAGTATTTTGCAAGATATAGTGATTTTCCATTCACGTTTTTCGTATTTTGCTAGTACATCTGTCTTTTGAGCAAGTGTCCAAGATATCATGTTTTACAACTAACTAACAACAGAAGCTATACATACACAGCCTTTTCTTTCTTTCCTGAAAATATGAACATAATTGGATTAGTATTTTCCAAGATATAACGATTTCTTTGGGTAACATCTTTTTTGAACACCCTGTATTTGAACTGAAAATCTTGTTTGTCAAAATGTGGCATTTAATTGTAATTTGAATAATAAATTCTACATGACTTCTATTTTATATGGTCATGCTTTATAGTGTAGAATACCAGAAAGCTTATCTCAAGATGGCATCATATTCCAAAATGGCTACCAATTTTCTTTCAGATTTTATATTTCCATATTGTGTACTCATATATTTTAGGTACCTACTCCAAGCACATATGTTAACAGCCCATCCTACCCCAGAGAGTCGAGAGAAATCCAAAGCAAGGTGTCAAATATGCAAACAAATATTTTCAACCAAGATTGCCTTAGCGAGCCACAAGTAAGTTTATATTTATCAAAATCAAATGTGTGAGAATTGTACTAAGGTTTGTAATCATGTATTTGATATCCTTCTATATACATGTAACAATATAATGCTTATGTACACGTTCATTTCAGAAGGCGGATTCACAGTCAAGGACCAACCGTATGTAATGAATGTCGTAAGATATTCACATGTCAGCAGGACTTACAGACACATATAAAACATGTGCATATGGAGCCAAAAACAGTCAAATGCAATATCTGTGATAAGGTAAAGTATAAGTTCAGGATAAAGGCATTGTTTAGTTAAGTTTATACGACCAGCCAGAAATGGTTACATATTATTTTGGCCACTTTTTGTGACTGGTATCTTGCAGTCAGCATCGGCAGTTAGCACTCTGTAATAAATTGTTACATTTTTTAACTTGTGAACTAATGGGTGACATTTTGTCATGCTTATTCTTTCTTATAGAAATGATGCTACATATGATGTACATAATAAGCAGTATTGATACAAATTTGGTATATTTTAGAGAAGGAATACATTTGACTGAATCTGATGAATCAGTGTGTCATTGTTGATTTACATTCACCTTTTGTGTTATATATTTTGTAGGAAGTTCGCATCAAAAACCACACACGTCATCTCAGGACCCATGCAGCTCATCTTGCCTACTCATGTCAATTCTGTGATAAAACATTTGCTGCTAAGTTGAACAGAGATCGCCATGAGAACCTTATACATGATAAAAGCAAGAAAACATTCCATATCTGTGCTAAGTGTGGTAAGTAGTCTCAACCAATGCAATCTAAGATTTCAAGAGAAAATAGTGAACAACATACCACTATCAGCTTCTGATGGAATACATACACTTCTTGGGCTGTCCTTTTTATGTGATGTTTAAAATATTTTTGGATAAAATTCTGAATTGAATTGAGTTGCTCATATTGTTTTCTCTTTATATTGAGTAAGACTGGGAATTTCTGTCTAACTCCCTCATGATATACACCCCCAAAATGCAATCTGATTTTTGACGCCGTTTTGGTGCCAAATTTCGGTGCCGTTTCGGCACCAAATGGACTGACTAGTCCGGTAGCAAATTTTGGTGTCGAAAGGATTCAGTGCCGGAACGGTGTCGAAACGGTGCCGGAACGGTGTCGAAACGGTGCCGGAACGGTGCCGAATTTGTTCGATGCCGAAACAGTGTCGAATTATATTGGCTGTGTAGTGTTTTGTTCAAAGGCTAAAGGGCGATAGAAATAATTCTTAAATAAAGATGGCAGTATATTCAATCTGCTCTATATTCACATTCTTCCTTCCTTCATTTATTCTCCAGAAAAAAAGTTTACATCGAAAAACTCACTAAAACAGCATTTGAAAACTGTCCACAAGTCTTCCACAGAGTCAAACAGTGATGAGCCGGAACAAGAAAGAGACCAAGCTCAAGAAGAACAACCTGAACAACAACATCAACTAGTCATCATGTCGAGCACAATCCAGCAGGTAGTGGAGCATGAGGAACCTCAATCAACAGCCCATAAAGCTGAGACTTTGGAGTTCTCAGAGACTGAGAGCCTCGAGGCAGTAATCCAAAAGGCTTCTGGGGAAGAGACTGAACATTGTGTGGGAAAGGTCCATGTTGAACAACACAGGGTGCCTACTATACACGAAGCTGCCATGGCAATTAAACCACCAAATATGGACCTTAGATATACTCCAGGTAAGGTCAAGGTCATTCACAATGGCAATAAGTTCATTGCTGTATTGGCAACCAGTACATAGTATATATAGAATATCCAAATTCATTGACAAATGTAGGGGATAAGTCAACACTCAACAGTGGGTATAAAACGAACTGTGCTTTTATCATCATGTTTTGTTATCTTCATTATTACCACAATAACTTTTTATCATAATATCTAAAATAAAAGGTAAAGGGAAATTATAAAGGCATTAAAGGTTTTATTGAATAAAATTCGGTTCCATGATTTATTTGTTTTATTTCCAGTGCCATCTGAGATATTATTAGCTGATATAGCAGAGGAAGATATAACTGATGTGTTAGGGCTATGCGAAGACAATGACGATTCAGACATTCATGTTTAGACAAATTACTAACTACTAATTACTAACAGAGTAGCATTGCATGACACAAAATAATTTTTGAGATTTGTCAATAGATGGCATGAAATTCGTTATAACATTAGCATGAAAATCCACGTAAGAATTATGTGAAGTCCTATTTTTACCTTTTGGAAGAGGAATATTTATATAACAATACAACTCCTGAAATATCAATCAGCCGTATTTTGTTCTGTCACATCGAGAATCTAGTAGTACTCACGTCTGTTTCTTAAAGATTTTATAAGACATCCACACATAGTGGGTATTCCGTCACTTGTTGGCAAACTACAACATGCATTGTTGGATCCACAGCATCCTTTGAAATACTGTCTCACCAAAGCGTTAGATAAATTGAGACTGATGAATCAGAATGACAACGTCATGAGTGTTCTTTATCACTTTTTGGCCAATCAGAACATTGTGTACCCATTCTATAATTTACAACAGATGCAGAGTAAATAAGGAAAACATACTCCGCGCACAGTCTAGTTATGAACAAGAAAGAAGATGAAGTTCTCTTTTAAGAAGTGAAGTCGAACGAATGCAAAGGGTACAGGGAAAACATTGACCTTCAGAAAAATATATAACTTGTGTCATAATGATTTGCTAAGTTGTTGCTCACGCAGGTCAAAATGTTGAGACTTCTGTAGATAACCTGCTTAACAGTTTCAGGTTGAATTTTGATTCACTTTCATGATATATTGTTCAAAAATATTTTATTTGTAAGAAAATATTTTAAGCTTGTGAGAAATGGTCATATGCATTTGAATTAAAAAATCGAATGTTCAAAATTATTGTGCAAGAAGCCTATCATGTACATACAGTAAGTGGGAATCACACCAGCAAAAAGTTACCTTTTGCTTTCACGACTTACAATCCCTCCTTACCTTACCTGACTAGTCCGGTAGCAAATTTTGGTGTCGAAAGGATTCAGTGCCGGAACGGTGTCGAAACGGTGCCGGAACGGTGTCGAAACGGTGCCGGAACGGTGCCGAATTTGTTCGATGCCGAAACAGTGTCGAATTATATTGGCTGTGTAGTGTTTTGTTCAAAGGCTAAAGGGCGATAGAAATAATTCTTAAATAAAGATGGCAGTATATTCAATCTGCTCTATATTCACATTCTTCCTTCCTTCATTTATTCTCCAGAAAAAAAGTTTACATCGAAAAACTCACTAAAACAGCATTTGAAAACTGTCCACAAGTCTTCCACAGAGTCAAACAGTGATGAGCCGGAACAAGAAAGAGACCAAGCTCAAGAAGAACAACCTGAACAACAACATCAACTAGTCATCATGTCGAGCACAATCCAGCAGGTAGTGGAGCATGAGGAACCTCAATCAACAGCCCATAAAGCTGAGACTTTGGAGTTCTCAGAGACTGAGAGCCTCGAGGCAGTAATCCAAAAGGCTTCTGGGGAAGAGACTGAACATTGTGTGGGAAAGGTCCATGTTGAACAACACAGGGTGCCTACTATACACGAAGCTGCCATGGCAATTAAACCACCAAATATGGACCTTAGATATACTCCAGGTAAGGTCAAGGTCATTCACAATGGCAATAAGTTCATTGCTGTATTGGCAACCAGTACATAGTATATATAGAATATCCAAATTCATTGACAAATGTAGGGGATAAGTCAACACTCAACAGTGGGTATAAAACGAACTGTGCTTTTATCATCATGTTTTGTTATCTTCATTATTACCACAATAACTTTTTATCATAATATCTAAAATAAAAGGTAAAGGAAAATTATAAAGGCATTAAAGGTTTAATTGAATAAAATTCGGTTCCATGATTTATTTGTTTATTTCCAGTGCCATCTGAGATATTATTAGCTGATATAGCAGAGGAAGATATAACTGATGTGTTAGGGCTATGCGAAGACAATGGCGATTCAGACATTCATGTTTAGACAGATTACTCACTACTTAATACTAACATGACACAAAATAATTTTTGAGATCTGTCAATAGATGGCATGAAATTCGGTACAATATTAGCATGAAAATCCCTGTAAGAACTATGTGACGTACTATTTTTACCTTTTGGAAGAGAAATTGTTTTTGTTATAACAATACAATTCCTGAAGTATCAATTAGCCTAGCTTTGTTCTGTCACCTCGAGGATGTAGGAATACTTAGGACTGTTTCATTAAGATTTTATAAGATCTCCACACATAGTTGGTATTCTGTCAATTATTGGCAAACTACAACATGGCATTGTTGGATCCACAGCATCCTTTGAATTACTGTCTCACCAAAGCGTTAGATAAAGTGAGACTCTGATGAATCAGAATGACAACGTTATGGGTGTTCTTTATCACTTTTTGGCCAATCAGAACATGTTATACCCATTCTATAATTTACAACAGATGCAGAGTAAATAAGGAAAAGGAAAACATACTCTGCGTGCGGTCTAGTTATGAACAAGAAAGAAGATGAAGCTCTCTTTTAAGAAGAAGTGAAGTCGAATGTAAAGGGTACAGGGTAAACATTGACCTTCAGAAAAACATATAACTTGTATCATAATGATTTACTAAGTTGTTGCTCAAGCAGGTCAAAATGTTGAGACTTCTGTAGATAACCTGCTAAACAGTATCAGGTTGAAGTTCGATTTACTTTCATGATATATTGTTCAAAAATATTTTATTTGTAAGAAAATATTTTAAGCTTGTGAGAAATGGTCATATGCATTTGAATTAAAAAATCGAACTTTCACGACTTACAATCCCTCCTTACCTTTTATTTAAGTTAAATAATTAAAAAAAACACGTTCTCAAATAGAAATCTCAATAAAATATTTATTTAATAAATTGATACATTTCTTATATTTATACCTTAAAAATGATTTAGTGCATACATGGTATATACTGTATGCATCGATTATAAATATATAGCAATATCTGTTTCTACGTACATTCTCACTGAAGTGTTAAGGATAAAGAATTGCAACTCGCCTCGTCATATCTTGGTGTAATCAGTCAAAATGTACATGTCTAATGAATTTAGTTTATGACCAAGGTAAAGTGTTGTATACAAATATACTATATATGTCCCATTCTGATACTCATAGCATCTTTCTGTTTCACCTGAAACATGCTCTGATATTATGATGTATATGTCCCCATAAATATGACGGTTAAAGGAGTCAGTTCATGTGTGGCAAAGACGCATTGGTGTAATGGTGTGAAATACCATTCTGATACTCATAGCATCTTTCTGTTTTACCCGAAATATTTCAACGCTGAGAAGAAATGAAATGTCATGGTTTATCATGATGGTGAAATACTATTATCTCTCCAGTTGGTGAAAACATACAAGTATATAATGAACAAATTTATTGTTATCATAAACGTGAGTAAACCGTTTAATCTAGACCATTATGTTTAATTAATCATAACGTTTGTTAGGGAGGTTAAGTTATCACTGTTTTGAAAAACTGTACAATACCGACGTGAATCGTTTAAAATGATTGTCTTAGAGAACGGACTATTTTCACTCCACCTTTAACTGGCCTTTATTTGTCCTAGTGAGTATGAATGTGTGACGAAAGAAGTTGTAATGAGGTCCTTATTTGAACCAATTGAGAGATTACACGTTCACGTTCAAATTCTTACGAATGCATGGAACTCAACCTGTCTATTATTATTCACTGTGTGTAAGGGGACCTGTTTACATTAATCATGCTATATAATTTTAGTGTTTCTCCATAAGTGACTGGTCATACCAACTCACTTCTTTCTTATAAGATGTCACAAGACATGGCTCGGATTTACTCTTTGAGTACCTCGTGCAAACATTTCTTAATGCTATGGTTTTATTGCGTTCATTCTTTTTTAGTCTCTCTTCTGGGCTTAACTTTTCTTTGGAGTTCCCCGTCATTTCTCGTTGACTTGGACACTCAATATCACTTAGGTAACTCTTGGAAGGGTATGCGTCATTCCTGAGAGAAAGTTTAATATTAGAAGTTTCAGAGTTGTCGATATTTTTCTCAATGCTGGGTAGAGTCACGACCAGTCGCTTTTGGTGACTTTCATCAGTTTTATTACCGGGATTAGTCTTTGATTTACGGTCAATGTCAATATTTGAAAGCCCACTCGGGAACGTGTCAGCACGTTTCATATTGCTCGTTTCCCTGTGCAAACTATTACGCCCTGGGTCTGAGGCGGGATACGTGGGGAAACTATGGAATGTCGCTGACCTATTCAAATCAGGATGGCTTCTCAAAGTTGTGCGCAATACATGAACCGCAGGGCCATTTTTGCAATGGCAGACGTGTGTCTTTGGGCAATCGCATTGTGCATTGTCTTTCCCTGTAAATTGAATGAATGACGCTTCTTTATTACTTTGATTTCTTTTCTTGGATTCATAAGAGGCCGCGTATTTTCGGATACAAGCGTCCAAAGGTAGTTTGATATTTCCTCGCATGGAATTGTGCTTTATTTTAGAAGTCAGCTGTGCACCTCTACACTGTGGTAGTGTTAACGAGGATGTAGAAGAGGTCGAGGAAAGGTTTCCATTTCCAACAGGAAGGTTGGATGTCACCCTGTCGGGATGTCTGTTCCTTCGTGCGACACGCAATGACATCTCAACTGGTGTTGGTGCTATACCTTTTAGGTTATCCTTTTGCCATATATCCAGTCTCCGTGAAGCATATTCTCTTTCTTGATCTCTGGGTTTAATTCCAGAAAGGAAATTTACAATTTTAGTCATGCTTAGTTTATCAGGGTCTGTTGCATCAAATCCGTTATGAAAAGTATTCCTGAATGCTTCATCCATGGCGATGTCTTTCAGTTGTTCATCGTAAGTGTGTCCCCATTCTTTATGGACCTTTGCAGGTTTGATGTTAAGTAGGGTGTGTGTGGTTAGTTTATCTCTGCCTACGTCTTCATTGATACGTTCTTTTGTGCTGGATTGACAGTGTGTAGCAGTGCCTCCCGACGTGAGATGATCGCTATTTGAATTATACAGTACCGGTCGATCACGCCTATTGTTTATACCATTAATCCTTTTAGATTCCTCGACTCTTAACGTTTCTAAAGGCATCGGAAACTTTAAGGGCCATTTTGGCAGTGATTTTTCCGTTTTAAGTGTTCCATGTGCACTCTTAATGTATCTTCGATTACGTATATCTAAATGTTCAACAGTTCTATCAATGTCTTCACCTTCATATTCATTAAAGATCGTGTTAGGTAAATACTCAGCATATTTCCTTCGGTCGATAACGGAATCTGATACACAGCTAACAGAATCAAGGTCGAAATGTTTGGGTGAGTTTCTATCATTTCTGTCCCTCTCGATCTCTTTAGTATCGCGTTTCAGCATTGTATGCGGTTTCTATTGACTTTTGTCCTATTGTCCCTTGTTTCTATACACTCAGGACAGCTTTGTTTGTTTCCTCTATTTCTTTTTCTTTGACTTTTTTTTATTACATTTGTATGATGTTTTGAATGCGATAAAAAATGATCTGTAAATGTTTAGATTGTACTTGAAAAGATAAAGTTGCAGTTTTTATGTCCTTGAGATAAAAACTTAAAGTATAATTGCATTGTTATAGGCATTGTCGCATGCTCTCGACTTGACCTCCAAATGGACAGTATCGATCTATCAGATTTTGATCCATGCACATCACATTCCAATGCCAATATGTATAGCTATAATACTTGGATACAATTGAGTTTGTATAATAAACAATCAAGCTTAGATGGATACCTGTTGGATACAGGTTTGTTTTCATGAATTCAATAGCTGTTCTAGTGTCAAATTCGTGTTCTCGTTTCTTACATGCCTAAAGAGTAAAATAATCCTTGTAAACATTTGGTTGTTCGATTCCATAGATCGCTGATCTCTAATAACTTTGAATAACGAATTAATCGACGAAATGTGTTCTCGTAATTGAACAGGCTATTGACATTTGCACGAACATTATTCGATTTTGTATTGGTATTATTCAACACCTCGACTATGTCAATCTATACTTACAAATGTGAATGTTTACCTTAAACCATATTATTATTTCAGTTACAATTTATGTTTATTTCTGATAGAGATTTCCAAACAGAGTCATTGTGAATCATCTGAATAGCGAAGTCAATTTTTAGCAGAGTTAAAAACCCCGCATTTCTACGATCGCCTCAATGTTGAAGCACAATCAAATCAGAATGTTGCTTAGCATTCTATACTCGCTTCAAAAGTTTGGGATCACCTCTATGTAATCTCATATGAAATTATTTGTTGAAACCTATTTATGTTTTGCGATTTAAAAAATATCATTTGAAGTCATTTAACAACCTAAAGTAAGAGAAAAACATTAAGTGACCTACATTTTTTGTACTTTTAATAAATGGGTCATTTCATTTGCTGAATTTCCTTTACACTGCAGAACTTTTAACTTACGATCTGGGTACATTTGTGTACTATTTGTGCAACTGAAACATGTAGACCATTCATAGAATTGGATATGTGTATCTTAAAGTATCATGGTCCGGACTCCAATATTAGGAAGCCATTAAAATTTATCGGAACTACCTAAGTTTAAGGTGATAAGCTTCATTCACATACATTTATGAATTAAATAAATTTGATACAAAAATCTGGAGATTAGTTTTCTTCTTTTTTTTTGGGGGGGGGGTATTTAATATCTTATCCATAGACCTCCTCATCAAATCGAACATTACGGAACAATATTACATCAATCCATCTTGTATTTTAAATAGCAAATGTAAATACTTCACTTTATGAGTAACACAAAAAAGTAATGCATCATTATTTGCAAGTAATTTGATCATGGAAAAAGAACAATCAATCATTTGAACTCAACATGAGTGTTTATTTCAAACGTTTGTTCGAGTACTTTTGTGTCGTACTTGAAATTGATATTCTTTTCGAGGAAGATCAAGTGCTGCGTAATCAAAACAACCACACAGAGTCATTTCTGTAAAAGTGGCTGAGCTTCCATTGCGGAATATTCTGTCATTGACTTAAATATCAGATTTTTAACACATCGCAAAGGGGCCACATGACGTATATGCAAGTGGCTTTAGACGATCTTTCACCATGAGTAAGCTTACTTTCTGGCCATAAATACAGTGATTTTATTAAAACAATGTGTTTTCTTTCAAGTGAAGTCCCCATGATAGTAAAATATCATTCCACCTCTCTGAAAAATTATGGATAAGGTCCACCTTGGCACTTTTTTAAAAATATTAGGCTTGTTTTCTAAAAAGACGTTACCGTTTTTCTCAATTTAAACATACCAAAAGTTTGTTTTAAAATATATTAACAATTCCTGAAAATGGGATGGCGTTTGAAATTCGCAAAAGTAAAAAAAACTCACATCTCATGTTATTTTCCCATGAAAACTCATGCTGTCCATTGCATTGTTTTCATCATAATTATGGTTTAAGTTCCTCTTGTTTAAGTTTAAAATATTTAATTTCTCTGTCACAGGTTTAAAAATTACATTTCATAAACACCAGCCGGCATCGGCTTAGGAGACACCATTAAATGTATATCTGATTGGAATTGAGTATTGACTAGAGAGATGCCTTGGTCACATTTGCTCCGATTTTCACAACGGCGCCCTGACGATTGAGTATTTTGTTCAAAATTGAACACATTATTGCAAAACTCAAACGGCTGGGCGCTGATATAACGCCGATCGGAGCAAATGTGACCCAGGCATAATACGTTGACTGTTTGAGGCCTCTCAAGGAAAGTAGTACCATCAAGTGCTGCCATCTTTAAATGATCTGACAAATATTTTGCTATTTATGGCCACCATCACAATAAATGAACATGTATGCAAACATAAATAAACTGTATTGATACAATAATTTTGCAGTCAAGTGCTGGGCAATGACTACAACAGATTAGGGGCACACACTTATATCAGTTCTATCATTAATTCTAAAAAGTGTCATATGGGAAAGAAAGGTATCAGGTTAACGAAGCCTAAAACTTCACAAATGTAACTCATATAATCTGCCATAGTCAAATTGCCTTTTTGAATACTTCATCCAAATCACAGTTCTTAATTTATTACCATTCATTTCATTGTTTTTGTCATTCCAAATGTTTTTTAAAAAGGGATCTTGAGATTCAAAAGGTTATTTCAAATTTTTTAAACATATTTTTATTTTTTCAAAGCGGGAAGGTATGCCCTGGAGCGGGAGATATGGCGGGGGATATGGAGATCCTGGATATGGACACCTCAAAATCAGGATACGGGATATATCTTACCAACTTATTTCCCTAAAACAAGTTATTGATTAGAGTAGATTGTTTACCACGTTCATCACTCACTTGAATCTACTTCATTTACGTACTTGAAAACCAAGGCCAGTAGGACGAGACGGACTATATCCATTGGTTAGTTTCAATATTATTTGAAAGATGTCGCAGGTGTTGCTTTACTAACGTTTGAACTGCATGACCAAAAATTATCACTAAAGTTGGTTTCTCCATTTCAAAATTCAACTTGGTTGTTAGATTAACCCATTGACAAGATTACCAACTGTATAGGCTCAATACTTAGTATTCCTCTCTATTATATTCCTTTTCGAAAATATTGTTTTCTTTTTCGAATGACATGAACAATGTCATCAAACTTGTCATTTGAACTTCTCCTGTTTTGAAATAAATAAATATTAAAGATGACATTTTGTCTGTAAACGTTTCGTTTAAATATTGATTTAAGAAATGAACCCAGCTATACACCCCCCTTCCGTTCACTTCCCCCTCCGTTCAATATTTATTATTTTCGATTATTTTTTATATAACATATGAACGTATTTTACAAAACCAGCAATGACATTAGTTTTGTGATGATAACTTCACTTAAAAATGTTTATTACAGGTTGTCCCCCGTTGGTTGATTTATAGCAAAAACATTGACATTTGCACGTTGGTGATGCTTCGCCTTTTTTAATAGTTCTTATATCTTAGAAGCCTATCGGTTTAAAAAATTTCCTCATCTCGTACACCGATTAATTTCGCAATTCAATCGAAAACTTTCTCTTGAAAAAAATTTGACAACGCCAGAATACTTCAAGTCTGAAATTGCCAAGTTGACTTGTGTTTCTGTTTTATGGCCAAGCACCCTTCATGGGCAAACTCGACGCACTCAAGTATTTATTTTGTATTGTTGGTATTTTTGCTGAATTAGTTTACAGTGATCGGTGTCATGAAACTGTTCAATCATGCCTTTGATTTTTACGCACATCAAACCATCCACAGTGGCGCTTTTCGATTCCATTTGTTCTTCTAGTTTACTCTAAACATGAAAGGGGACGTAAAACTAAGAATCTACTTCTAATCGTATTCCTTTATGAATATTACGTTCACCGAGATCTGTGTCATTCTCCTGATTACTCGTAAACTACGGCGCCATTGTGTATAGATACTTCTAAAAATATAGTAAGATCAAATATAAGTTCGAAAGTTCAAAATAATTAAATAGGGCTATACTATCCACTAAACATTTTTAGGCAACTTGAAGTCAAGTTAAAAAAAGAAAGATCAATTGCATAAAAGAAGAGTTCAAGAGTTAACGGTAGATGTACAGCATGTTAAATTACATAAATAGAAATGATTATGATAAAGCATTATTATATTATTTGTTTATTTAGATATCGAACTTTTTACAAGTGGCACTCATATAGTAACGTACGTCTATAATCTAATAGAGTTTTTACGAACAAAAATGTTGACTTTTCAGATAGTAAATCAAGAATGAGAAGAAAGGCGTCTTAATGAAGTTAACAACGTCGTAGCAAATCCATTCTGTGTGAGCGAGAGATCACAGTTTGCAAAGTGATTCCTACATTTGTGAGTAATATTATTCTAGAAGAAAACTGGTTTGGACAGTTGGAGAACTTGTAAAATTTTAATTTAATTTAATAAATATATATTTGATGCAACATTGGTGGGACGACCAAGACGTTGCCTCAGCAGCACCGTTACATCAAGTAGGGAAATGGTAAACAATGAACCAAGAAATTGATATCAAAATGACCATGTCACGTGGTGTATGGTTTATATGGACGAAGTTCTTGGCATATAGAAAACGCCGTCCACCCGTCCGTCTGTCCGGGCTATGACTCTGATACCAAATATCGTTTATACTGGGTGGGCAACAAAAATGGGACACTCACATATATTTAAAGGAGTGTATATGGACCAAATGGCATGAAAATTAATGAGTGTAAAGTGTTAACATTAGTAGATGTATGTCTTCGATTATAAGTCAAATGATGCACGTTTTCATCATTTTCCGTTTGATACAAGAAATGTGGCACATTCCCTTCAAAAATAATTATTTAACTTGTAAAGAATTCGTAAATGTCTATCATTTTTATGTAAAATTCAATGTTTCTCACTACATGTTCATCATTTTACTCAAATCCCAGCATCATATCATATTATTTGTATTAAAAACAACATTTTATCAACTTTATCAATCAGCGTTTCTGTGCTTAAATGGGACTGTTTCAAGAAAATTAACGTTAACATCAGTAATTAAAAATTATGGATATTTTATAGATTGAGAGCTATTTTATGTGTGTTATTTTACATTTTTTGTGATGACTGGAAAAGAAGTGGAGCGATTATGTTTAAAATGTGAATACATAGTCTAAGCATAATACACTGCGACCATTTTGAAAAATGGCGGCCATCTTTATGTGTGTTCTAGTATTTTACGTTTTTGCTATAACTGGAAAAGAAGGGAGTGAGAGGATTTTGTTGACATTTTATGTTAATATTTGGAAGCATATTGCAAGTGTCTTATGACACTGTAAAAAGATAGTGGGATAGGATGGAATTTATGTTCAGGAGAACTAACTCTACTATCTGTTCCGAAGCCTGTGTTTACAGTAATAAAGGCTGTGTCAAAATCTCTCTGAAGTACAAGTTATATAACAAATAATTAAGAATCAGAATTAGAGACTGAAACATAAAGATGCAGGTAGTAAAATGCAGATATTTCTGCAAGTGAATATGCCATTTCGTTGCATGACATATATTTGTATCATGTTTACCGCATAACATACTAGACATAGTGTCTTATGGACATAATGGGGTTATAATCGTGACGAGGAATCAATTCCATATTTGGGAATTTATACAGTTGTTTCAAAAGCAAAATGTTTCAAAACCAAAGCCACTTAATAGTAATTGTAATTACTGTAGAACAAACAGCATGTAACAATTTCAAAAGTAATGGATATACGACAATTATACACAGAAATCAAAGTTTCAATTGCCAATTTTAGTTTATATTTCATTTATGCTGAGTGTGCAGAAATACAATGACGTCATACAATGTTTTGAAATGTTGAAAGTATGGACACTCGTTATGGTGCAAAAGATAATATGATTTACATACAAATGTTCACCTTTTAGTTTACAATGCAGAAATATATAATTTATGAACCAAATTACAATATTACATTTTTCTACCGATGCAATTGAATAAAAATAAATAGTTCTAACAATACTGATGGTTTATTAGAATAAGTACACAAATGTTGGATAAACTTTGAAACAGCAGTCATGTATGGTGCTAAAATTCTTATTCTGATTTCCATACCATTTCACTTGGTTAAATACCAAATATTTTGAATTTGAAATTTAAATTACATCATAAGTTGTGCATTATTGTTATTGTGCATAGTTTCAAAAACATTAATGCAGTTTTCCCAGGTTCAAAAAACACATGTTTGCGCAGTTGCCTATATCAACCAAGTCCACCATCATATGGCGAAGTGCCAGCACTTTTCAGTTTTTAAAGTCACATGAACTAGAAGTCCTCAATATGTACATTTCTGAACAATGTCTATATTAGCTAAGCGTCTTTTTGTGTAAAAAAGCGTCTGTAGAAGATCTATGAATGTATGTGTTGCATAGCTATAACAAACAAGATAGGTTGTTTAATCGAGCTTGCCTTTGTATTTGAAATCTGTCCCTTTAATGTGATTCACCAACCTGCAAATAAATTAATATAACAATAATAAAAAAAAAATGTTTATGATTTAAGTTTCGAATTAAAGTTCAAACTCTGAATGATAACTCCTTAACGCTTTAAAAGTTAAAGCGCAACAGACTGTAACCTACAGCAATTATTATTGTCCCGTGTTCAATTTTCACAATGGCGTTGTGTTTTTCACTTTATAGTAAAATAAAAGATGGTTAAAGATTTCAACTTTTATTTGAAAACGGCAGTAAATTTGAATACTTGAGAAAAAAACTATTTTGTCATGAAAAATAGCAAATGAATGATAAAATATATTTTTAAACTTTGCATGTGACCTTTAACAGCGATCAACTGAAAAATATTTGGCTTATGATGTTACGCCAGTAAATACTCACCACTCCTTTGCAAAGTTGACGTTCTGGTCATTAAGTGGAGTTTTGAGCGCTTTAAGGTCAGCCACGAACTTTGCATGGATCGTTCTGTGGTTAGCAAGATCTGAGTAGTTCTTCTCTTCCATTGTTTTCTACAAGATAAAAAATAACATATTTAAAATTCAAACATGACGGGGTCAAGGCACACAGTCGCTGTAAAACTCACTCAATCTTATGACCCTATTGTCAGAATCATACACCGTGTCACGTTGACCCATGTATTGACCTTTGATGAGATGTAGAGGTCACCTGTTAATTCGACTTTGACCTTTTATAAGAGCAGCGCGACCGAAGATGTTCATGTCACAAAGATGGCCGAAGAGGCTTCAAGGAACCAATCAAATTTCTTAAAACGTGTATCGGCCATCTTCAGTTGTTGTCCAAAAATGTTACCTGTGAACGAACTTACCTCTTCATTCTTGAAGTGAGTCTCTACCACTGAGAGGAGACTGGCAAGCGCACCGGCATCACTACGAGCTCCTGCACATTTGAAGATTCCTTGGAAGAGGCCCTTGTGCTCATCATCTATTTGCTTGTACTGAAACAACAATAATGGACGTATTAACAGGGACGTCGCCAGGATTTGAAATTAGGCGAGGCAAAAATTAATAGTCCAGGCAAATTGAGGCTAAATGAGGTACACATATACATTACTACCTTAAGACCTCAAAATCACAATTTGAGTTGAAAAACGCCTATTAAATGCATCTCTGTAAATGATGTTGATTGCCCCATATCTGGTACCCTGGGCGCAGAGTCAAGAGTTATTTACTACGAAGTCCATCGAATGCAAAGGGTATATGTCTGGTTACATCATTGCATTGATCAAATTGACATAATGCCTTCTGGTAATGACAGTTACAACAAACGAGTCATCAAGATTAATGACAACCTTCGCATTACATAGTCTCGTCTGTGTCAATAGTAACTCTACCCGAGGTCATCGCGCCCCTGCTAACATGCCAGGCAGACGAGACCCTAGATGAAATTTGGTAAAGAACATTTATGAAATGTGGTTCTTACAATTAATTATGTAAGTGCAAAAAGGGAAAGAAACAAACATTATTACAGAACGCTGCAAGAAAAAAACATGTAAGAGTGCATCAGTCATTAAAAACAAACCCCAACTATCCAAAAACCCATCCTCCGAACGCAGGGTTCCAGACATCATCCACAAAGTTCCTCCTTCTTCCAAGAAGCAAAGAAGGAAGAGAGAAGGAAGGAACTTTGTGTATGATTCTGGAACCCTGCGTTCGGAGGATGCAAAAACAAAGATTTAAGGTAAAAAGAAACTTATAACCCCTACCCCATCATTCAAGTTTTATAATCACAATTCGAGATCATAAAACCAAGGGACATTTCATTCATTCTGAAGTGATTACAATATCATGTTGGAGAATAAATTTAAATTAATTACCAAAAACTCAAAGCATCAAAAATAGTAAAATAGTTTTAAAATAGACCGATTTGTATGAAATGAATCTAGATAACCTACTGATGTGATTCTGTTTTCGGCAAATGTTTTCGTTGCATTAAACTATTTTACTGATTAGTACTAATAAACCACAAAATAAAAATGTCTTATTATGTTTTCTAGTTCGTCGACTAATCAAGATGTATTCTTCATAATGTAATATGTCCAAACAATTGAAATAAAATTGTGATAACATTCGGATTATGTACATGTAACATACGCAAATTGATCGATCTGTGTTATTTTAACTTAAATGAATGAGACACTTTAAAATTGCTCTCATCACCTATTTAAAATGAATTAAATGGTTAGGCTAAACTTACAACTTTTATTCAAAAAAGAAATGATAAATTTACTCCACTTTAGAACGATCAAATTCAAAATAAAATATGTTAATAATTGATTAATCCAAGTTGAATAAAGTTAAAGGCTTCTATTTTCAAAACAATACGAATAGCATAGAAATTACTCATATCAATGAATGAACTCCAACAAATGAAATTCAATTTTAATTAATGTTATATTTAAAGTGTTATCAAACAATGAATGATTTATAGTTAATTAAAAAAAAGATATTTAAAAAGAAAACCATTTCACTCACGAAAGTTGCGAAGGATTCATCCCAGCAGTATGGTTCAGGAATATCAAAACCCATCTTGGAAGCTGTTTTGATTTGAAGTTAGATGTGCGAAGAGCAAATGATGTCTCTGTCCACCGCGGTTGTAGAAACACTACGTGCAGCATCGTAAATTCTCTGCGCCTTTTATAGTTAATTGCCGAAGGGTCATAGTGCCGATTTGAACGTATGCCATCTAGACGAAAGTTCACAACATTATAAGCCACAAGTTTTAAAATAATGAAGCAATCTCAATTATTCATAACGATATTGATAAATTGATTCGACAGGTCAAACGAATGGAAATTTACAAAATCCATGTTTTATTTTTTCAAGGGTAAAGGGCTAGATAATAATGCAGGACTATTTTGCAAGGTTGATTATCGGCAGACTATAAGTTACAACCGATGCCATGGATACCTATGATGCGGTTGGGGCAATTTGACCTTGAAATAATCCTACAATTTTGCACCGGGCCAGAATCTTTTTCAGTAAACAACAACATCCATGATCCCACAAGTCAGCTATTCAGGATGAACCTTGCTCAAAGTTGTTGGTCTAAATGGGTCATGTGATCAACGTAGGGCCATGGGAAATTTGCCCCTTGGGAAGCAAGATGCTGACGTGCTAGAGAGCACATCACATATTCAATAGTATGAACACACTATCCTTGCACCTACAGTACTTTGCGATGGGAGGAACTCTTGTTTAAAATCGGAGTGAAAATCAGAGGAGAGATGATTTTATATTTCCTATTTCCTATTTCATTCCTCGAACTTTAAAGGCGCAATATAAGAATGGTGCTTCAAAAGCTAAGCTTTCGCATCGAATGAATTTTGATGCAAGTTTGACTCAACTCACCCATTTTGTTTGGCGAAAACGTACTCAGTGATACAGTAAAGGCATCGTCCATTCTGGCCTAGCTGACAGGGCATGACATTGTAACGAGGAGGGACGCAATGACAATTTCGTTAAACATAGAACTTTTTAATAAAATAAATTACGTATTAGGGACTAGCAGTTTAATGGGAGAGAATAAAAACTTTCTTACCCTATGGGTAATAAATACCTATTTTGCATTACCCTAGCTAGGACGAGGTCAAAAAGAAAATATGAACCCCGCGTTTATTGTCTCATATACTAGTAATGCTTTACTCTAGGTTAGAGGCTATCGCCAATTAAAGAGAGAATCAGATCTAGCGAACAACCTTAGCTTATCAAAAACCTTTTCAATTCATATATATTTTTCAAATTTCCCGTTTGTAGCCTAATGCGTAGGTTTCTGTTTCGAAATATGATTACACATCACAAATACATTTAAATCAGTTCCCTCGCTTTGGAAATGAAGACAAATTCCGTTTTGCAATGATGCGATGACATATTTGACTTGCAACGAAGACATTCATTTTTACTGTTCATATCAACGTAGAAATGTCCTTCTGCAGTCACATTAGTACTTGAAAGCATATTGTTGATGCCTTTGGTGAGTCTTTGGGACTACTACGTGACCATTTTACTTGGTTAATAGAGGACGCTACGTAGTAAATGCTGAGTAATACTTGTTCATGCAACAGGACTAAACATCAATGTGAGAGACCCTAAACTGATTCTATGTAATGTTTCATGTATAGCAAAATTGAATCAGAGCAATTGGGACAGAGAAAATTGTAACCCATATAACTCGAATAACCCATAATACGGAATATTTTCAGAGGCTGGCAACATGCCGTGTTAGGATTTAAAATTTATAAAACACGTCACCCATGACATTGTCTCATTGGTGTACATTGAATTGAATTGTTGCCGTTTTCTGCATGTTTGATGACAGCATTTCTCTCTAAAATACATCATGTACAATATTGAAATGTGTTGTTTTCGTTTCATATTTCAGAAAGCTATGGACTGTTCGTTTCTCTGAAAAATTGTTCGTTCAGTCCTAAACGATTTGTAAATTTCCAAATAAGTAGCTTACTCATATTTAATAATCATCAGCTTAATCATTTTCGAAATCAGAATTTACTCAGTAAATGTGTGCCAAATATTTAGTTAAAATTTGAAGGATAAAAGTGATAAAATCGAGAAAAATTATTTGGATATTCTTCTACCGGAAAACCGGCCATTTTGAAACCAAGTCCAACTGTCTCCGTTCCAGTTGATACCCAGTGCAGAGACGTAACCATGGAAACAGTGATGCAAATACATAAACAGATAAATGAGCGCTGTAGCCTATACTTGAGTTTTAGAGGATATTTAATTCTATTTACATTTTCTGCAAAAATGTTGGGGAGGCGAATTAAGGCAGTTGCATTGATCCTGTTAAAGGGTGACGCATATCGTTTAGCAAATCGAACGCTCGTTTCTGGCATCCTTGCTGCAAGGGTATTTTACAAGTATATTTAGGCATAAATGAAGTCCTTTGAAGAAGGATGGTTTCTGGTGTTGCTCACCGTTTAGTATAAAAGGCCCGATCCCGGAACAATACTCAAGGGTTCACAGGTTCGATGTCCTTGTGTCAACACCTCTAACTGTTATATAGCATAAGTATATTATAGATCGCCACACATTTATAAAAGGGTGATTTTTATTTTGACAAATCAATTCCACATTTATGGGTGAAGTTTCAGGATCTTCTATTTGTGTATAATAAGGAAAAATTGGCATCTAAATTTCCCCATAACGTAATAGCACACAGCTTGGCATATGAAATATCCTACAAATGAAACAAAGCAGTTCTAATGCAATAATTTATATTGGCTGTTGTACATGTATTCTTTGAACGCAATCACTCTATGGATAACGTTTTCAAAATCATTATAAACGGATTACTTTATCTCAAAGACAATTTCTATAAACTGGATTTTACAGAACTCCCCTTATTTCTTAAAAATGGACTAATCCAGTTGATTCGCCTGGAGCCGCCATATTGTTTTTATACGGGATGCTTATCGGAACTTACTTCGGTCCAAAGCCTTCTCTATATTCCGGCTTTGAGGAGGAAGATTGAGCTGCCTTAGTATTATAAATATTGTAAATCATTGTGTCACACGCACAGTAAATATGGCATAATAATATGAAATATACCTTTATGTATAGATTTGAAGAACATCAGCTCACATCCCCGTCTGAATCTATTGTTATATTTGATTTCTTTAAGCGAGAATAATTTCAAATGTTATTCACGTCCAGAACCGGAAGCCATTTTAGCTACAGCGAGAAAATTTCACCATGTGTCAAAACTCCGAAATGAAATTTTGAAATATCTAAATCCAGACAAGCAACGCTTCATCCTAAATATGATTAATATTCTTAAAAATATTTATAAAATTTATTAAAAATGAGTTCTAGGTGCGTGTAGGTGCGTGTAGCACAGTACATACGAAATCAATGAAGTTTCGTCTAGCTGTAAGCTAGAGACTCGAGTAAATCGGAACCCTTTAAATGAGATCATTCCATCGTCAAGGGCATTCATTGATGGGCAAACATGCTAAAACGCATCCATCTCATTATTCAGTACGAATTAAACATCTGGTTAACTCTGCCAAAGTGCATTTATATACACAAAATCTGCCAATAAAGGAAATATCAGATTATTTTCACAAGCAGTACTTGTTGCTCTTGTAAAGTGATATAAATGTCAATGTCTGACGAATCTACAATTTGGAAAATTCCATAAACATTCACGTAGGCCATAAAGAAATATTTTACATAGTGTTTTTTCATATTTAGGTATATTTACCAAGCAATTTATCAATCGAGCACGCAATCAGGTGCATCGAGTGTAATATATTTTTAATAAGTAGTCTGTCTGCTGAATTCCCACTTTTCTTCATCAGTTGTCTGCTATATATGGTTGGGTGTAAGCTTGTTAAAAGTAACTTGCTGATAATCAAGCCATGTGGTACTACATTTCCTTCGAGTCACGTTGTGGGAAGGTGCGTCGTGAGGGGGTTGACTAAAGATTATAGCTAGACTACTGTATTTGGATAGAGTGAGACGATTCGCCAAAGGCATCATTCTATCCCTACAACATGCCCCCCTCCCTAAGATGGGGCCAGACATTTTTTGGGTCAAAAACTTTTTCAGCATTACTGGCCTTTTTGGGCCTATTTTTTAATTTTCAATTTTCAATAAATGGGCTTTCAATTTTTGATTTAGGGGCCAAACATTTTTTCAGACTTGAAATTTGCTCCGCTTTCTTGTTAGTTTCGAGATCTGTCCCCGCTCGATTAATTTATAATTTCACTCTCATGATTAATTTACTCTTTGTCAGGGCCAGTACAAAAGGGCATTCATAAAGCAGAGGGACAATAGTTCGTGGGAGAGCACAATCCCGTCAGACCAGACCAGGTATAACATATCATATACACAAGGCAGACGGACAATAAATCCTGGTTGGTTATCATTTCAGCGAACTTTATCACTGATCTCTTCGACCATACCCAATAGTGATGTCGTTATTTTGTTATGTTTAGAGTTTTATTTTACCAAGCCGGATTGATGTAACGTTTTATTGTAGCGGTAAAATTATCAAATCTCGTCAGCAATAAAGACTGGGAATCAGAGTTAACTGTACTGTGCAGGATCGCTCAATCAAAATAGGCACAGTAAAACTTGTTTAATCCGAACGCATTTGGCATCGGCTAAAAGCTAAAATGCGTCCGCATTAGGAGTCATGGTGTTCACATTTTGAGGTTTTTGCATTCATGAGATTGAGCTTGGTTTAGTATTCCCAGGATTGAGACTGCATTTTGAGGAAATGTGAACACATTCTAAATAACTACTTATAGTCACGTTATATTGACCACATAGCATATTGCATTCTAACAAATTGTGAAACTTGAATTCAAACAAATTTTTATTAGTCTCGTAATAGGTTTGGAGGTGTTTGGATAAGCCAGGTATTCGGATTCAAGGGTTTTACTGTACGCGTTCATCTTTAAGCTCATTGTATGATTCCTAAAATATTGCCCATATATAGATAGATAATTCAAAAAGACAAATTTCATCAAAAATGATGAGGTCAACTGTTTTTATGGGAAAGGGGGGGGGGGGCATTACATGTTTCTCAGGCCCCACCTTAAACAAAACTGGATGTGTTGTGAAAGGGCTATTACAAATCCTAGTTAGATTAAGAATTGACCTTGGTGGATCAGTGAGAGACATCATAGTTATCAGATTTTTTAAATGGAGTTTTTGTCATGGCGAGCTGAATGAGCCAAT